TCGCAGCCGGCTGAACGGTTTCCTTGTCTTTTCGCAGGGCCTTGTGGCAGAGTTTTCTGCTACGTTTCCTCGCGCGATTTTTTAGATTGCCCATTCTTTTAAGCTGTGAAAGCACTCCTCACTCAACCAAATTCACTGAGCGACTGACTGACTGCATTAGAATGGTCACTTTGGGGATGGACAGGATGTGACGTCAAATACAATCAAATTTTATATCGATTGGTTTACCATTTCCTTAAGCATAGGTGGTAAATTAGGAGAATTATATTGTCATTAAAAACGGATTGCACAGGGAGTTCAGTGTCTGCTGTTGGATGACTCATGCAATTAGGCTCAGACATCCACATTCATGTATATTTATTGCCAGTAAATTCATAAATTACTCTTGGGCCAGTCACTTTAGTTAAATCGCGAAGAAAAATTAATACAAAATATATTTTTTGCTATTAAATGGAATTATATTAGATTTCATTATTCAATTCTGACGAAAATCCATCTCTTTGAACTATTCACGGAAAATCCTCTCTGACTGAGTGCACAGAACAAAAGTTGTGAAGTCTCCTCAGCCCTTTGAAGAAGATTTTCAAAATGTTTAAGTGCTCACGGCTCGGCTGGCTAAGTTTCATCTCGTTTTGCTGCCACGACAACAAGAAATGAATTTTCCAACGCTTTTATTCCTTAAGGACTGGCGCTCATACCGAATTTATCACGCAGCAGTGGAGCGCAGGTAGGACAACAAGGTCAAACTGTTGTAAGAACTGCATGTTGGGGATGCATAAATATAATTGTGACCCAGAGGATGAGATCAATGCTGAGCGATTCAACGGCCGGCAATCTTGTCAAGGTTGTGACAGTGCATTGAGTTAATTTGCCGCATGCTCTTCTCGGTGCAATGAAACGCCAATTAGCAATTCAATTGCTAATGAAGTTGGAGAGACATTTGAACTACAATCCCCATTCAGATTTTCCGAAGGGTTGCATTGTTTCATGATATTATTGAATTAAATTGCAATAATGAAAAGCAAATCATGAAGGAAACCGATTGCAGGAAAATTGTTAAGACTTATTTGGAAAAGTTTGTTAGTGTTTTTTCATTAAAATATATTATAAAATTAAGTTTTATTGAGTTACAACTGATAAAATTACTAATGAGGAACTACTGTAACCAAACCACAAAACTCTTTGGTTCGATAAAAATTACCACATAATTTACAACCGCACTTTAATATAATTCCCTATAGAGGTCGGTTTTACCATAATAGGGAATTGACCACCGGAAATTATTTTTTTGGTGTTTAAATTCTAGTAAAGCTTTGTTGAATAAATAAGCAACTTTTTCCTGTTCAAGCGTCATAAAAGTTTCTCAGATTTTTCTTCCTACTTCAATATGTATGATTAATTAAAACTTACGAGCTTCATTTATACTTTATACAGATAAACTTAAATAAAACTTTTTTAAATGTTTTTCGCTGCAATGCTATAAATATTAGAGTTTGGCACACTGATTTGCATTGTTAAATGAAAAAAATTAAGTTAAAAATAAATGACAAAGTTAAGAACCATAATCAAATAATGCCGTTTAAAATTAATTCCATCGATTGAGCTTCTTCTCGTCTATTAAATAAATAATTTGGCCCGTTATAATAATTCAATAATGCTTATTGAAGGTTTGAAATGATATTTAATGTAAATGTTATTTATATTTTAGTTTGGCACTGCTTCGCGGCGGTTAATGAAAAAAATCTTCAAGATTCAATCAAACACAAAGTAGTTTATCAAGAATATAAAAAAAATTAAAAATGCCGCAAAATATTTGTTCAGTCAACTGCGATTCGTATTGTCATTTTTTTTAATTTAGTCACTTTTAATATTTAATCGCTGCTTTGCAGATTCAATGAAAAAATCTCACAGATCCAATAATAAACGAATAACTTTAGATCTAGCAAAAAATGCTGTTAAAACTTTATATGCTCTTGCTCTTCATTTTTAATTAAATTTTGCAAGTTTAATTAATTCATCACTGATTTATGGGTAAGCATTTTTCTCAGTGAAGATAAATTTACTGTAAGTAAAATGGATTGTTTGAGAGCAAAAGTTACAAGAAGATTTTGGATTTTAAATATACAAAGAGCCCAATTTCAGACAATGCCTAGCTTTTAAACAAAGTGCGAGCGAGTGTTTGCAGAAACTCATCCCCACTTGGCTTTTGCACAAACAGAATAAAAGAGAGCCCTCTCAGATCGATGACGTACGTTGAGCAACATCATCCGCTGATCAATATTTTAAGCCGGTCGTTAAAATTTCTAGCAGGACAATGATTTTTGTCAGCTTTCGTGGGCACGAAACTTTTTTTAACTGAAAGCAGGGCTCAGGGAATTGAGAGTGCGACTATTTATTAATGAAGCAACTAATATTATAATTATGCTTTAATAGATTTTCACAGAAGTGCGGGGCAAATTCAAGTAAACTTAGCTCAGCGTAGGACGGTTAATTTAAAATAGCCAAACAAATCAATTGAATTGAGACAAAGTTTTTTGGTCAGAAAGAGAAAAAAAGACGCCACTGATGGAGCAATCAAAGAATAACATGCGGGTGGATTTAAAAATTCAGTGCACGCAGACAGTCTTATTTTTTTTTTTTACGAAAAGTGACGCCCAACTTCTGAGCCCTGGTTGCTGCTGGGGCGCAATATAACGCGGGCGGAGGAGGAAGGAGATTTATCTGGAGACGTCTGCATGGCGCCTGAAAGGCTTAGAAATGCAACCCAGCCAGACGCTGAAACCCGTAAACGAGATTCCGCGCGACGCGTTCCTCTCGTCGAGATGAATTGTTTCGCGACGCGTGCAAAAACACCAATTGTCTCCAATCGTGTGAGATTGTTTTAAGCTATATTTTATATACATACCCTCGACGCTTGCTTAACATTTAGAGAACTTTCGTGCTTCAATATGTCTAGACGCGCTCATGACCGAAAAGGAAATTGTGTTATATGCTTGATAAGAAAATGTGCGGTTGAAAATGGATTTTAACATTTTAATCTACTATGTCCCTATATAAAACATAAAAATAACAATTTTAAATTTTAAAATCAAGACAAATTAATTCTACTTATTAAAATGCATAAAATTAGCACGCATTTTTTATTTACTACTGAGCATTTAAATTAAAAACAGTTTTGTTTTATATATTAAATGAAACATATACTTTACAAAATTCTAAAAGAAAATATTTATTTTCTTTTTATTAAGAATGTCAGGGGAGTTTTCCTTTCTTGGATTAAAATGAGATGAAACTAATTTGTATAATAATTCCCTTTATAATAATAATGTGGCATTCAATAAGAAAATTATTGCAATGATCAATCAATAGCTCCATGCCATACAACGTTTTTCAACAAAAGCGCTTCACCGCAAACAATTATTTTGAACGCAAATGCATCGCGATCCGCGCAATTAGCGGCTCATTGTTTCAGCATGGACAATGCATGTATCGGCTCGGCAGCTGGGAAATGTGCTTTTACATGCACCTCAATGTACATACAAGGAGAATGAATGCGCGTGTAGATCGCGAGTGTGAAACCTCAGCAGTGACACAATCGATCGACCTAGCCCTATATATTTGTACACAACAGGGAGAGGTGTAAAAATAAGCCCGATGTGCATATAGGAAAAACGGCCGGCGCGCGACTAGCCCGCGGCAAACATTATTCTCTCTGCTATCTCTGCGGCAAAAAGATTAAACTTCCGTCAATGCAGAGCCAGCAGCAGCGGAAATTGCCTTGCACTTTTTTGCAGGGCAGCATTAAAGATAGATTATGTGAAAAGTAAATACAAAGGACCTATTATTTGATTTTAAATCTATGCAAAGTGCAAAATGAATTTGGGCCATGAAAATATATTTATTTTATAGAAAGAGAGCTATTATTATGGAAAAAATCTAACTGCAGGTTATTCTTCTTCCTATTTTAAATAAATCGTCTAAATTTCACCTATTTTCATATTTTTTAATTCAAACATCCAGTCTCTGGACTCAGCGCAGTTCTAGGGCTCCCAAAGGATTGTTCAATCAAGTCGCTCAGAGGCGACCATTACATCTGTAAATGGTCCAATAAAAGTAGGTGGCGGCGCGCTATGCCATATAATGTAATCGATTTTCGGATTCGGGAGCAACGTCGGTCTCGGAGTAATAAATATCATCTCTGCACCTCGCCGCTGCTGGCCAGCCGCAAAAGCTCGCTTTAATTGCAAACGAAAAAGTAAGTTGGCTCCGCCACTCGTGAACTGGCGGCTGTTCTCGGTGGGTACTATGATGACTTTTCCGTCTGTGGCAATATTGCCCGCGAAGTTGCCTCGAAACTTCAGCAAGTTTGTTCTCTTATTATAAAACGTTAAACGTTCCACTAATTTAATATAAATAGGCCTATATATATCTGGTATTTATGCTTGTGGCGTTGTCAAAGTTTTCCAATTATGCGCCAAAAATTTAAGACGAAGGGAATTTTAATTAAAGCTTTGGAAATAATAATTTTTGAAAATATTTAAAAAAAAAAATTGTGCTTACAAATTTTTCAAGATTTATTTACTACAAGTTTTCAGTAAATAAATTTCTGGAATTGACCTTAATATTTAATTTCTGAAAATTTTTATTTAAAATAGCATATTTTCAGGTCCTTCCGTTTCTGAGGAAAAGTTTTTCCAAATTAAGCAATGTTTGTTTTGTTTATCTAACGACTCGGAAAGCCTCGGTTTGCTTAGCACAACATGTGTGTGTTGGTACAGAACGCCTGGTGTCTGTTAATTCGCGACGTAAGAAACGTTCTGGCAATAAATTATTTATACAGCGTCCGCTGTGAGCGCGAACTAATTAATTAATGGCCCCGACAATGATTCAGCCACTTTGCGCTGCACGAATAACAAAATAATTGCTCTTGCTCTAACCGGGATTCAAAAACTCGAAAATAAACACAACTGGAAGAGCGTCCTTCTGTTTGGACAACTCACCTGGTTGGCTTTGTTGATCTGCTTCTTGAGACCGGCGAACGCCATGGTTGAGGTTGTGTTTGTTGTTTGCTGCTCGGGCCACTAAATTATTGATTGCTCCGGAAGCGATCGCGCTGTTCACGGTATTGGTGCTTTGCACCGATCTGCAACAATAAAGAGAAATATCGTTAGAAAATATCACTTGAATTAGAACATTCATAATTTAAATACCCACAATAATACATCAATGAATTATTAATAATAAATAATAACATTTTAGCTTCAAAGGTTAATTCATAAATTTTTAATTGTTTTTTACTAGTCCCACATACGTTTCTAGCGTCAAAAATCTTGGTGAAAATTGAAAGTAAATTATGTAACCCCCAAAATGTGCTGGTCTTTTTTTGCTAATTTTTTTCCTTGATGAAGACAATTGCGGGTTTTATTTTAATATATAAATTTAAAATGGAATGAGAACAAAATAACTGGAAAATTCTTCACTGAACAAATATTTTGCAGGGAGGGAGAGTAATGGGAGAGGCTGCTAAAAGCTGGGTCACATTTTTTTGCAATAAAAGAGCCAGCAGAATGAAAGGAATTCATATCATCGTCAGTAATGGTCGCTATTTATATTATGTAGTATTAATTTCATAGTGTGCGCAGTGCCATGTGTATTCCTTGGTTGCAAAGTGTCCAAAGGATTCCCCAATGAGTAATAGAAGCGCGGTTGGAGCGCTCAGTGGAAAAAATCGACCCGGTCCCCATTCATCATAAGCCGCGCTGCTCCAGTTCATTCAAGAATCGTTATTTGGAGTGAGTTTGCAACCGTTGCAGATCCACCGGCGGGGTTTCCATCGCCAATTATACACGCCCTGCTCTCCACTGGCCAATTCAAACACAAAACTTTCCTAGCAGTTCCAGTACTGAATGGCCGAGTTAACGTTTGATTAATTTGGGCCTCCGAGGTCAAAGGAGCACTTGGGCTCTGGGAATTATTTTTCCACGCCGTGTTTGTTCGGGAGATGAATATTGAATGTTCCAATTTGCTTCAGCTCCTCGTCAGGCTGAGCCTGCAAAAATCGATTTCTTTGCGGCACCGCAAGAATTATTAATCAAAATTTCTAGTTCACCGAGGAATTGGCGGATTTAGATTTAATTTCGCGTGTCTCAAGCTGGAGCTAAAGAGTTGATTCGCATTATCGCCGTCTGCCAGTCAAACGCCCACGCACCAAGTGAAGCCGAGCTTGGCACGGTGCACTTCTTCAAAAGCCGGCAGATTCCATCTCGGCCTCTCTCTCTGCCAGAACAACTTGCTCCTGCATTGCAGGAGACTGTGCCAAATCTTCTCAACTAGAAGTACGTTTGAAGATTTAAAAAATTCATGACCTGAACGTCTTATGCTTGAAAATAATCTTAATTTGCAAAAGCGTTTTTTTTTACGAGGAGAAATTTCAAAATCGAATAAATATTTTTAAATTTGTTTGAAGTTGAGAGAAAGATCTGAAATCTTTAAAATAATAAGGCTTTTTTCCATTGTACTTTTAGTGACCTGGGTTCACCTTTGCCAGTGGTTTATTTTGAGTTTTAAAATAAATATACGTGACAGATATGCTGCTTTTCAAGCAATTATGCTTGTCTTGGGTCGTCTGTTCTTTGGGGGTTTCCTTTTGACCAAACTTTTTTATGGAAGGAAATTTTTTGCTGCTTGAACTACAATAACATTAGTTGCGTCTGCGAGCGTGGCGTGAAAGGGACTTTTTATCTGTGTGCACTAAAGTCGCAGTCGGCTCGAGTTTGCGGTTCGCATTATACAATAAAATATGTGTGTGCCAGTTGCATCACCAAGTTGCTATGTTTGCGTTCGCTGCCGAGAACTTTGCTGAATAAATTGCCACTTGGTCAGATGCAAATAATAGTATCCTTTAAAGCAAAGAGCCGTAGATATTGATTTCATTCTCAGTGATTCGGAACAAATTGTCAGGTACTAGATAGTTGGATAATTTTTCTTTGAATCCAAAAGGAAAATTGACAGCAATTTTAACGCATGTATGTTTATTACTCACAGTATTTTACTTTACTATGGTGTACGTTACATTATTTTGTTTCAGGTGCATGAATTAAATTGATTAATTTACTACCATTAACCATAAACTACAGCGCAATTCACACTAATCATTATTTTTTTAAATCTTTTCTTTCAATAATTTTCCTCTCTTCCCGTAAAGTCTTATGCACGCAAAGCTGTAATTCAAAGTCAAACAAAAGTAAGAGCTAGCGTCAAAATTTAAGTGGCACACGTCATCTCTGAGCAGATAAAGGAGATGTGAAAAATGATAATAAGCAAAGGCGCCGATTCTCACGCGAACCGAACAAAGCCAGGCATGTACATGCATAAGAGAAACGGCTTCAAAATCGTAATAAGAATCAAATTTCTCCTCTTTCCGCCTCGACAATGACACCAGTACTTTTTCCACTGGTGTGCTCAGCGAAACAGAATTTAAACCTAATGCACTTTCGCCTCGCGCTAGAGTTTCACGCCTTTGAAGCACAAAAGTGAGTTTTTACCAAAACGCGCAAATTAAAACCACTCTCAGGTCGCTCGGGGGTGGAATTCAGGGGTTGCTCACCTGCTTTCAACGGCTGTGAGGCGAAAACTCGGGTCTCCAATGCACCGCTCGCGAGGCTCAAGTGGAGCGAACTGCTGCCCCCTTTGCGCCGCGCTGCGAAGGGGGCAGCAGCCGAATCGAAGAGCCACCCCTGCGCATGTCAACCCCCGCGTGCCCTCGCCTGCAAAAGCAGCGCCAATGTCAGCAGCCACCCTCCAGACTGCTTTAATAAAGTTTCCGTTGGGCGTTTTGTTATATAATTCATTTGTACTCAGCTGCCATTTTTCCTTCAGTTTTCTGCTTTTTTTTCTATTCAGGGGTGTTTTCCTGGTGCGGCACAAAACTGACGAGCGGGGGGCTCTGGAAAAGTAGGTCGAATGCACTTCTGCCCTACTTTTCCCGCAGCTCGATATTATATCCGAGATTTGGGATTTAACGCTCTGTGATTGGAGCGTTTACAGTTGCAGGGTTTTGTTCTTTTTATTGAGTTTATTTATTAATGAATAAAAATTATTTGAATTATTTTATATTCGAATAAAAATAATCATCCCGAATTGTATAAATCAGCATTTGAATTACTTATTCCCTATAGTTTTGTTTTTCTGGGATTTGAAAATGGTGCTGTTGACTTGTTTGATCAAAATAAAAATAAAACATTCTGAGCTGTAAATTTAATTTTATATTTTTATTAATTTATCATAATTTATCTAATAATTTTCTTACTTCACAGGTGTTAATTTATATAATTTATGTTGACAAATCACACTGGACGTACTACAATAAATAAACGTTTTCATTTCCATGTTTGATTGCCATAAAATTTAAAAATGATTTTTGTACAAATATTAGGAAAGTAAATCTTGTTAGAAATTGATTAAAATTGTGTGCAGAAAGTTGTTTAAAAGAGAAAGTTTGTGACTAATGAAATACAAAAAGTTTTGAGACTAATTTTCATTATTTGCTTGCGAATAATTGCAAATTTTCTCTCCCTACTTGGCAGGCTTTTAACTTTTAATAATGGTCCCAGACCGCAACTCTGGTCGCATTGAGCCCATCTGGTAGGCGCAAGAGAGCTATATGGAGAGAAAGAGCGACTCCCACGACGAATCCTCTGCATCTCAAAATATCACACACACACACACTTACTCGCCTAATTCGGCTCGACTTCCCGCAGAGAGTGGTGACTTTTTCAGCTCGTGCATTAATTCACTCCAGCGGTTTGTTTTCGTAAATCCATTTACCATCAAAAGACAAAATCTGCAAAAGGCATTTTAAGCCCAAAGGGAACGCACAAAAATTCATTCATGCTGTTGTTGGATAATTGTTGCATGAGACTATTTATTATGCAAAGCGCGCAGCACCGTTGTTTACTCAAGCTCTGCTGATTGAATCGGGAATGAACAACAAGTAAATAAATTGTATTAAGTTTAATTAATTACAAATTGCACAAAATTAAAAAATTTTTAATGTTATAATTTAAAAAAAAATAAAATGCCTATATAATACAGTTTAAGAAATATATTTCAGCAAGGAAGCATAAATTCAATGAATAAATTATTTGTTGGAAAATCGATAATTGGTTAAAAAAGATAAAAATGTACGTGCAAATATTTCCAAAAGGCTGATTGACAAAAATGGGTTCACAATTAAAATTGTAATGAAATTAAATATTATGCAATAATTGTTGCCTTTATTAAAAATCTCTTCAAAAAGGTCGATGTGTTGTATGATAATAATATTGTCTTACTTTAATTCTAGAGATGTTCATTTGAGAAAATGTTAGAATTCGTCAACCATGAATCTTCCCTTTTGGCGTGGAAATAAAATCTCAAGCTCTCCAAGATACGAAATTGCCATCCTCGGAGTTTAATAGCAGGTATTACCCTTCACTTGCATCAATAAATCATCTTCAATTGTAATAAAAACTCCTTTTGATTCAATATAACACGGGCGGCGATAAATTCAGAGCGTAATATTTCCGCCACAGCAGGGCAACGTCCCTCGGGAGACGCTCGTTATGGAAATCTATACTGCTCGCTTTTTCCTGTCAGTCCATTGAAAAGCCGAGGAGCGTGCGTGGACAAATCGGGGAGGAATGGAACTGCGCGCCGAGAGTTCGCGAATCTGCGAGCAAGGAGGCATTGATCTGGCCGCGTTAACACTTTGTATCGCTTTTTGTGTTGCCGCCAAATCAATACTTTTCGGCCATGTGACTTCAGCTCTGAATGTAGTGCCAAAGTTTCACACAACATTTCTTGTTCACAGAAAACCTTGCGATGTAGGTTGGAAACTCATTGGTGGTATCGACATTATTCAGATGTTGTAGGCCTTTTTTGTATTGCATTTTTTTATTGAACATTTTAAAATATCTCAATAGATTAAAATTTTAAATAGAAACCTTCTAAACAAAAAGTTGAATTTTAATTTTACATTAATTTGATATGAATTATCATAATCTATAGATGCCAATGAATTAAAATTCAATTAACTATTTTTCCCTATAAAATATAGTTTCGTAATTTATTTATCTAGTCTCCTTCTTTAGAACAAATTTTTAAAGTAATTATGCTTTTTTCCACGGAATGCTCATATTTGTAGTCTAATCTGATTCACAGAGAAACCCTTTCTTGAGTTTCTTGCTCCCTTATAGTCTCAGAAATAAGATTAGCAATCACCCTAATTGGGTTAGATTCGCACAGCACTGACGTCTTTATATGCAATTATGTCATCGCAGACAGAACGCAAGTCGAAAAAAAAACAGGAGAGTGACGTGAGAAAGCGTCTCTCTTCTCTCTCATTGGTGTAAAAATAGAATTGCCGGTTTTGGCATAAAAAAGATCGGTAATTTCGGCAGAGCAACAACTTCTTTGAGCAAGTGGGTGATTTGGGCAAATGTATGAAGAGCAAAAAAAAAAAATAACTGCTAACAGGACCAATTTTGCTTTTTTGCTGGGCAAACAAGGTCGGTTGGCGCTCTTTGGTGGCAGCAGGTGCTGCCTGCCTACGCACCAGAGACGCAAATTCAATTTGAGCACGAGGGATGCAGGAATAAACTTTTATTTACGCCAAGTGCTCCCCTGAAAGGAACGAGGTCTGTGTGAAAGAGGAATTTGTTATTCTGACGTAAATGCCCACACAGACCATTCAGAATTGGTCTGAACTGTACGTGCGTTTTTTTACCTTAAATAAATAAACATAATTTATTGGCAGAAAAAAATTTAATAGCATGAGAGAAAATATTGTTAAAAGTAGTTTTAAATCCGCCAAGATCAAAAACTGGTTTTCAGAAAAAATCAAACATGAAGAGAATTAAATAATACTAAAAATAAGGAAAAGAACACAAAAAAGTATCTTCTGTTTTTAAAGAAGCAAAAATTTAAGCTTATTTTGGAACAAATAATTTTTGTCATGTTCTGATTAATAAAAAAAACTTACATATAAACAATAAAAAATTAGCATTAATTAAGTTAAAAATTCAATGTTTTTTAGATGGGTTAATGTGAAAGAGAAATCTTCATAGAAATTAAAAATAAAAGTTTAAACAAAAGAAAAATTTCCAATTATTTAAACCAAACTTAATAACTGACAAATACTGATTAAAAAAATTATCGAAATATAATTTTCTAACATTTTCTAATGGGTACATAATTTAAAAATTACTTTTTTATCAATAAGGTCAATTAAGTATGCATTATGCGGGGGCGTGACTGCTGCATTGCGGCACACGCGGCCATCAGGGGCAACTCGCCCCCTCGTCGGGCTCTCCGCAGACTCTGGGACGCCCACACACAAAAAGCACCCCCACGCCGTGCCCACGCCTTTCCCATTCACAACCTGACTTTTTGCCCAGTGTCGCCTGACAGAAAATAAAAAGTAATAAAAGCTTTGCCGATTCAGCGCACGCCTCGCGCAAAATCAATCTAATGCTGCTATATCGGTCGAAATGCAACTTGTTTGATCTGCGCACGCCATCAGTCTCTTTTCATTCATTAGACAAATAAACGGATGTGTTAAAAAGGTCACGAGAGTGGTCACGAGACTAAATTTTCTTCACTAAAATTTAATACAAAATTTAAATATATGCACTCGATATGAATTTGTTAGTACAATTTCAATAAACGCATGTTAAAATAAAAACATATCAATCTTTCACAGTGTGCTTAGTTCAACAATGAAAAAATATGTACAATCGTTGTCCCTGAGAGTGGCAATGGGAAGAGCGCACAATGAAAATAAAGTTAAATATGTACTGGAGCTTGTTAAATTCATATTTATCTGTGCAATTTTCCACTTAAATCTAAGGACTTTGAGTGGAAAACTGATAAATTAGCGGTGAACGATCTGGAGTGCCACAATCACCGCAATGTTCTGAGTAATTTCAGTCTGAAATTCAGTGCTTACCAGAAAGTCCTTCAACTCGCTCACGGTCACGGATCCTTTCCGGACTTCTGTCGCTCTCTCGGTAGGCAGCAAAGAAGCCTGACCCACAATTTGCGGTGAAATTCGCGAAAATTACACCTCCGAACTGCAGCTGTAGAGCAAACTGCTTTTTCTGTTTGTTTTTTACTTCTCCGACGACAGCTGGTTCTGTTTACAGGTGCTAGTTGTCACTGCGAGCACCATTCACGATTCACTTTGGTTTATTATTACGATAACAGATGGCCATACTTAATCGATCGACCACCATTAATGTTGCCATTAATTATTCAGTGGAGGTTTACGTAGGAGTTAAAACATTTTATGTAAAACAAATTATAACAAACTATTCCCTCTAATTATAAATACACAAAGACTCAAAACTTTATATTTTTTGTTAAATAATTCTTTAAATAATTTTATCCCTTGCTGAGTACACACAAATCATAGGAAGGAAAATTGGTTCCAAATCTCCTTTCAGAACACCAAATATTTTCCCGCGCCTCGGCACTGCTGCAGCTGGAAACGTGATTTTATTTGGCGGGATCAGTGCAGGTGATTCGACGGCACCCCCGCTTCATAGGATACGTCCTTTGTTTTAAGCTTATATTTCATTTAAAAACCATTGCATCCATGATATTTACATTGTTGCATTTATGAATAAGTAACCAAGTGACCGTTAGGCACAAATTCGTTCTTCATCGTCTGCATTTTGTTGTAAATCATCATGAAAAGCACTACAGGTATGGGTCAATTTTTAGAAGCCATGTTTGAGATTTTTGTTGATATTTATTTAATTTTCAATTTTGCTCTTTCGCATTCTTTGTATTGAAGTATGCTTATGGATGAGAAATCTTTTGTGACATTCGGCATCTCGGAAAGAGTCAAAGAACTGATTTTGATCAAACTTGATTTTAGGCTCCAATGTGACGTCGTCTGGCCCAGCGCAGAAAAAGATGAAGCAAGAAAGTAAGCGTTGATCTTTTTTTGAATAATTATGTATTTATTTTCATTAAATTTTTTTCTTTAGCTGTGCTGTCTTTCTTCACGGCCGCGAAAAATCGAAATGAAAATGGAAGAAAAAGAAAACTTAGTGAAACCAATGATGATGAAGTTCAGACTCTGAAGGTTGTTCGTTGTGGTGTCGAAATTGTTGATCCTCCCAAAATTGACGCCACAGAAGCATCGAAAGAGAATAACCCAGATTTGAAAGTTATTGCTCCAGAAAGTGGAAAGGCAGAAGACGAAGAAATTCCTGCTAAGGTAGACGGTCCAGTTAATTCTGGTGATAGCTCCAAGGACGAACTTAAAACAATGGATATTTGCGAAGATTCATCTGAAGACAAAAAATCTGAGGCGGAGGAAAGCAAATCAGAAGGTGATTCTTCCTCAGAAGCAGATAGCAGAGATGAAGAGGAACAAAGTGACGTAACCTCTGCAAATACAAGCTTGAACCAGTCAGGCTTCAATAACAGTCTTTTGATGGACATGTGTGACAAAGACTCTATTACGTCCATCAGTGATATTCCAATAACTCCAATGAAAACCACGCCTAAAGTACGAAAGCTCACCCCCAAGCAAATTCAAAGGCAAATGGAGAGTCTGAAGAGGAAAGAGGCCAAAGAAAAGGAAAAAGAGGAAAGGGAGTTGAAAAAGAAACAGGAGAAGGAGTTGAGACAAAAAGAAAGGGAAGAGAAAGAGCAGCAGAAAAATATGGAAAAATTAGAGAGACAGAAAAAGAAACAGGCTGAAATTGAGTAAGTAAATTCAAACAATTAATATTCCTTGTTTCAAAGAATTAAAGATAAACCTATTAAGTATTATTGTAAATCATATCATATATATTTTTCAATATAATGAAAAGTGGTTTTGGAATTATTTATAACAAACAAAAAATAATCAATTTTTTGTTCTTGCAGTCAGAAAAATGAAGAGAAAAAAGTAAAGGAAGAGGAGAAGCGCAAACTAGAGGAGAAAAAACTTGAAGAAAAGAAGAAAAAGGAGGAGGAAAAGCTGAAAGAAAAGCAGAAGAAGGAGGAAGAGAGGATGATGAAAAAAGAAAAGAAGGAAGAGGAGAGAAAGAAAGCCGAGGAGGAAGAGAAGAAGAAAATGGAAAAGTCTGCTGCTGCATTTGCTAACTTTTTTAAAAAGGCTGCTAACCCAGATGCTACAAAAGTTCAAGAAGAAAATGAAAATCTTCTAAATAACTTCATGCCTTTCACTGTAAGCTATATAATTACTATTTTGCATATTTTCCTAACATATTTATTTTCAGCTGAAGAAAGGTATGCGACTGGCCCCTATCCTCCGCAGCTCGTTAGAAGAGAGCAACCGAGTTGAATTTGAAACTAAGGTTGAGTGTCAGAGTGCAGAAAAACTGTATCTGCAGATGCTTCAAAACAAAGAAGTGATCCCCAAAAAGAGTGCCAAGACCTTCCCTGCCAGTGAAAATGTCCCTGACGATGATATCCGAATCATTGGTTAATTACACTCTCTTTAATTTTGAGCAATTTTCTCATAATTTCTTTTCAGAAAAGGAAGAAGTTGAAGACGAGGTAGAAAAATTTGGTGAGATTGTGGTGACAAGCAACGTTCTCGAGAAAAATTTAAAGCCACCTCGAGCCAAATTGCTCCAATTCTCTGAGAACCGTCGACCAGCATACTGGGGAACTTGGTCAAAGAAAAGCACAAGCATCACTCCTAAGAAACCCTTTGGCCAAGACAAAGTAATAAAAGAATCTGTAGGATTCAGGTTTTTTATTTAAATTGTTTTCCTGCAGATGTTTGATTATGAGGTGGACTCTGATGAAGAGTGGGAAGAAGAGGAGCCGGGTGAGTCTCTGCATGGCTCTGACGATGACAAAGAGTCTGAGGACGAAGAGTATGAGGTTGACAATGATGTCTTTGTTCCCCACGGATACTTGAGCGATGAGGAAGCTGGTAACAGTGCCGATGAATATTTGGTAAGGATCTAAGTTAATTCAAAAACTTCTTTATCATAAATATTTTACTATTTAGCCTGTTGAAGAACAAAAGGAGAGACTCAAACAACTTGATCTTGAGTTCCGAGAAGAAATGAAAAAGAAAGTGAAGCAGCTGCTGCCTAGAATGGTTACCTGCTTCCATCCAGACGACCCTACTAAAAAAGACGACCCTGGTAATAAATTTCTTAAAATACGTGCTTCACTTGTAAATTTTAAATTTTGTCTCTTGCAGTGCACGGTCAAGTCATGCATCTCCTGAAACAGTTTGCTGCCGTGGTTGTGATTGACAAGATTCCAACTTCCTTTAATACAGAAAAGGTAGAATGTGATAACTTGGAAGAAGAGCCTTCAGACGATACTGACGGCGCAACAAAGGCTGATGGCTCTGCCAAAAAGAAAAAAAGAAACAAGTTGCGAGTTCCTGATGAAGCAGTTTCCGATTTCATTCGTTTGCTGCACGGCAACACTAAGAACCGGCACTACCTCGTGAAAGAGTTCATCAGCTACTGGGATCGAAAAATGCATCCGGATATTGACCCTGACGCTGAAAATGTAGAAGAGCGAGTTCTCATCTCAATGGGGAACGCAAACAAAAAACTGCGAGAGCTGGCAGTTTGGCAGGCCTGTCCAGATGAAGGTCCAATCCAAGGTCGAATGTGTTGGTGGGTGTCCAAAGAGGAGCGAGAGAAGAACAATCTGACGGACCTGCCTCTTCCGAATGCTTGGTCCTATATTCTGAAGCCAGCTGCCAAAAGATCAAAAATTCCTAAAGCTGTGGAAAAGAAAACTGAAGACGCTAAGAAAGAGCAGTTTCCTATGGAAGGTGCTGCAACTACTCCAGAACCAGAAGCACCAGAAACTCCTCCCAAGATTCAGGGAACCCTGATCACAAAATTCACCAAAGTTCTCACACCCGAAGAAAGACAGCGACAAGTTGAGGTTGAAAAGCAGAAGGCCAAAGAGGTGAAAGAGAGAAGGGAAGCTGCTGAGAAGAAAGAGGCGTTGGAGAAAAAGACCCTCCCATTCAGCCCTGCCTCTGCATTTTTTGCCAAAGCATCGCCTCCCGCGTCATCCTCCTCGGACGCAAATAAACCATCTACTCCCAGCAGTTCTGCAAACCAGAGCGTCAACAAACCAAGTCCAGCCGGTGAGCAGAAAAAAGGACGTCGAGTGTCACTGCTATTTTCTGTGCCAAGAGGCCAAGCCATTCCCTCTTCTAGACCAACTCCGGCCTTCAACCCTGTTCCAATCGCAACACATAGCAAGGCTGATGACGATGATGTGGTCCCTCTTAACTAATTTTTCTAGAAGTGATGATAGCAACTTGCTCATATCTATTGCCTACAAGTGAAATATAATTTTCTTCCTAATGTAAACCAACGTTATAACTTTCACATCAAATGTAAATATCTTCGACCATACTTCCTGAGTGAAAACGTTTTGCAAAATAAAAAATCAACAAAATTATATAAATGTTGGGGGTCATTAATAATCAGGCAAAAGTAACTTCACAATTGAGGCCCCCATTTACAATTTCTCCAAACAGACTGGAATTTAATGATATGTACTAAATCATCCTCTTAACAACGTTTTTTTTAGTGAGTATATCTTAAATAAAATACAAATTAAATACAAAGAGGATTGACAATTTCATCAAACTCCTGTTTTAATACTTTCTAGTGCAATTAAGACATATCTGGTTGAGCTGATTTATTTTTAGCGGCCTGCGTTGGGAGCTTACGTTGTTTGAATGCTTTTTGTAAGTTGTTATTCTTTGACAACTGCATTAAGGCAAGCTGTATTTTTTGACAACTGATAAAAGTCATGTGCACCATTTTCTAGGCGCATTTTTAAACAACTACCTTAGGGGTTTCAAATAAAACATGGGCTCCCGTTTAGTTGTGTTGACGCAATGTATGTTTTGGTCGCAATTCATCAAATTTTGTAACTAACACGTCTGTTGTTCCTCGGCGCGTTGCCTCGTGATAAAAAGCGAACCTGTTTATGGACAAGGGACTATACCACCGTACTTTGAAAAAGTCGTAAAAACGGTCTCGTCATTTAATTCCTGGGCAAACACATAGTGCGCGATTTACGACACTTGTGGTAAAACGCCTAATGACACTCTTTAATTCTTTTACAGTACGTAGTCGCGCAGCAGGCCTATTTACAACTTTGCAAGGCATAAATTTTAATAAGGACAAAACGAAAGCAATGTGTTTTGAATTACTTGCTGAGAGCATAATAACCGATCACCGATGAAATTAAACTTTAAAATAAATTAGATGAACGGCTGAACAATAAAATCAAAGGCAACATTGAGCTTGTGCCAATTAAAGGTGCTGTGAAATTGGCAGGGCAGTGTTGAATTAAAGCTTGCAATTGTAGAAAAAAAAATTAAAATATTAATAATTTTTAAAAAAAAAAATCTTATAATAATTACACCAAATTACACTTAAAATATAAAAGATCTGAAGTACTTTAATTAACATAAAATTTGAGTTCAGCTTTTTGTAACCTCGAATACAAAATAAAATTATTTTACGCAGCCCTAGCTTAAATTGCCATTCATAACCGCTGAAGTAAACGTATTTCATAAAGCGTAATTGAAGTTTCATGTTTATGTTTGAATTTGTAGCAAGGGTCATTTCGATTACAATCTACTGGTTACTAGCGTTTATATCACAGGCACTGATAATTATAATTCAGAGACCAGCATTGCAATTTTTCATGTCTGTATACACACACAAGAATGAGTGTGTGATTATTTTTTTAAATAAATATATATACCTGGAGCGCAGCAACTTGTTTCTCTCATTGTCAGTTGGCACTGATTTATATATTATATTATCGAACAGGTAATTCCGCTCGATTTGCATTTGATAAATTATAATTCGCCTGCAGCTCAAAAAGCACTCTCGCCTTTCAACATCGCGCGTGTGAATTTTCAGAAAGCGTTTTAATTTATTTTTGCTAATTAACGCTCTTTATAATGCGTCATTGGACCACAACTCTTTGCACCTGCATACTTGCTGCAGGTGAGAAAAAAAAATTGCAAAATCACTCCGCAGTTTTGTTACAAGATTCGCGAAGCTTTTTGCGCCTGTCAGGATTATTTTGTGCCTCGCGTCGGCTATTTCTTTGGAGACTGCGTTGTGAAGTCGAAGGGTAGAGCAAGACACCTGCATGCAGATATCACGTCGGCGGGCGAGCCTGGGTCAGTCTTTAGCCTGCGCTCCAACCGTCCAGGTGTATTGTATTTCACGCCGCTCCAAATGATTTACTCCAAATTAGCTACTCACTTTCTACTCATACTTCTCGTATTCTCAGCACTTCCCCAAGGTAATCATTTCAATATCTTACACTTCAATAAATCACTCTATAAAAAAAGTTAAAAAAAAAGGAAAACATGATATATCTTTAATCGTTTTGATTTTTTTATTTTAAATGCACATCATGTTTCATGTTCAATCAATTTTATTAAAAAATTTATTAAAACTACTTTGGATTAATTTTTTGTTCAAAAACTAATTTTTGAAATTTTATTTTAAAAATTTTATGTTATTCTTAGTTTTGAATTTTTGGCAAGATCAATAAAAGACTGAGTTGAGCAATAATAGAATTACGTCAGAAATTATCACGTTTGTAGTAGTACATTGTTCACGTCACCTGCGCGCTTCAATCCACCCTAATGAAACAAATAGTACACGATTCGGAAGGCTTCTAATTCCTTAAGCAAATTTTCTCCGTTGTTAAAGCGCGCGGTGCCTTTTATCAGATTAGGCCACTCGAAAAACGGTAACAGCCGCAAATAACTATTTCTAGTAAAACGTACCAAATTGAATAATATTCATGCGAAATTGCAGGTGGTGAGAGCAAAGTCGACGAAAAAGAAAAGGAAAAATTAGAAAACGAAGATAATCACAAACATAAGCACCACAGCCATCATAAATGGGACTACTCGCGACAAGGTGAGATTAAAAAAATTATTATATAAATCGCATTATGAAAAAAGCACAAAACATAATTAAATCTGCGCAAAATATTTTATAAACTGAAATATATTAATTTCAATATTTTTTAAGGCCAGGAGAGTTGGCGGCACCACCATTCGGAATGCGGTGGTGAAGGTCAGTCGCCCATCAAAATTTCAACAAAGCACGCAGTCCCAGCGCCTTACCCAGCCCTCGAAATGGTTGGTTACCACAACCCTCTTCCAGCGCCGGTCACCCTCACCAATAATGGCCACTCTGGTAAATATAATAGGGCAAAACAACTAATTCACCATCAATCTGCTGGATTATTTTCAAGATTGAAGTTAAAAGAGGATTCGATATAAGTTTAAAATTTAATTTTTGGTTTGGCTCAGGTTTGGCTTTGATTAAAAGGTAAGGAAAATCGCCAACCTGCTCAGAATTAATTGCCAAAGAGACGTGCGACCAACATTCAATCGCCAAAACAATGGGGGACGAGACGCTGAGTTGCCGTGTTCATGTCTGGAATACCTTTTTATTACTGGTTCTCTGATAAATAATTGAAAGCCGATTGTCAAAAGACGAGCCGCGCATCCTTGAAGTGCTCGCACTGAATGCAGACGGTCCACTTTTTTTCAATTAAAAGATCCACGCGCTTATCCGGCGAATATCTGCGATTGCGCCAAGCATCCCCGACTGCCCGACACTCGCAATAAACATAATGAGTAATTGCAAAAAATGCGGTTTCAGTGTCTCTGAATGCCGCTAAACCCAACGATGAAGATGACGAGCCGATTCCGTATATATTCGGAGGGCCTTTGAAAGGCGAATACGAAATGGTCGGGCTTCACTTCCACTGGGGACGGCGCAACAACAGGGGGTCCGAGCACATCATCAACTCCATACGGTGCGCCTCTCATTACTCGCCTGTCACGGCAACTTAATATATTCTTGCAGGTTTGCCATGGAGCTGCACATTATCCACAGAAACAGAAAATACGAAACGATCACCGAGGCACTTAAACACAGAGACGGACTCACTGTGCTCGCCTTTTTCTTTTCGGTGAATTTAAAAAAAAAATGTTTTATTTTTCTTGTTACTTTTCATCCTATTACAGGCAGGAGAGAGAGGCAACGCCCGTCTTGATACCCTGATTCAGAGTTTGCCCTTGGTCAAGAACATTGGCGATAAAGTGACCTTGGAACACCCCTTGCCCTTAGCTTGGATGCAACCTCGAGACATTGATACTTTTTACTCCTACAGAGGCTCACTGACCACCCCACCCTGTTCGGAAGCCGTCACTTGGATTCTTTTTCCACAACCCCTTCACGTCTCTTTTGACCAAGTATTTTTATACTACTGCGAATTCAATTAAAGATATATGTTTCTTTCCTTTTTTAGATGGATCTTTTTAGGAAACTTTCTTTTGGGGAAGAGCCAATGGTGGACAACTTCAGACATCCGCAACCGATTTCTGGGAGAACGATTTATGTTCATCGGCTTGCCAACGGAACTCGATTCCACAACCATAATCATTTTCATAGATCAAAGTGATATCAAATTTTACTTTGCAATCGAATTAATTTTCACACACAAAATTCATAAGTGCCATGGATGTATGTAAATATATGAAAATTTAAAATAGGAAAGAATGGCTGTAATTTAAATCTGATTGAAATAGATTTGATCCTATTTAAAATGCAACAATTTATTTGACTATGGACAGGTTCTTTTTTCTACCTTGTTCAGCCCAGGTCAGAAGGCTTTACACTCACAGAAACAGTCTCCGGCTCTGCAATTGCCTTGGGCGAGTTTACCTCTGTTGACCTCTGCAGCAAATTGCGGCTGAACCACTGAGGTCGGGGTCGAGGTACTTCAACGACCGTCTTATTCTGTAGGAGAGACCAAAATTTACAATCTAGGATTTGAAAATTTTAATTTTTAAATTATACCTGAGCATCTTGCGGTGGCGACTCATTTTCGTAAAGGAGAATCACCTCCTTGTCCACAGCACTCAGGCCCAGCTTTTCTTGGACAAGATTCTGAGCAAGTTTTGTCTCCTCCTGAACTTTTTTATAGCAGTTGGCTAAAAAAGCAAGAAATAAATTAAAAATCTTAAAATAATAGTCGAGGTCTTACAACACATGATGCCAATTTCATGGTGGTGGCCGCATCTACTGCACACAGTCAAGTCTTTTCTAGGCAGAATTAATTTCCAATTTCCCTCGCATCCAAACTTCCTCTTCATCCTTCTCTCTGCAGTCCTCCTGTGCTTCGGAACTGCCCACAAAAATCCATTGCCGATACCGAAAGGATTCGAGTTCTGAGGCACAGGTGTGGACACTTGGTCCCAATTTGTAACTGGCACCACGTGGAAGTGCGGTTCTAGACAAGATGGTTAAAAAATTTTAATACATAACAAAAATAACATGAGATATAAATGTTTCAAAAATCATAAAAGCAAAAATCGAACGCGTTGTAAACACAAAAGATTGACAGGCATAGGGCACAGTTATTGGAAATAATATACTTGATGGACGTATAATCAAACGAATATCTTACTCTGGGGTAGTCTCAGTCCCAAAGCTACACTGCACAGTTCCTCAAACGAATTTATTAATTGTTTTGCAGAAATCAATGTGGTCCTCAATGCCATTTTTCAGCTGCTCTGTGCTCTGCTCTGGCAAGTGCAACGGCAAGTGTTTCCAACTGAAGTAGTGTATAGAAGGGAGACGTATAAAAATAATTAAAAAGTATAATTATTCAAATCAGAAAATTTTCAAACTTTTCTGGATATTTCATTCAAAAATCATAAAATATTAGATTTAATTTTCGTTTGTTTAAAACAGATAAATTATTTTGATTTACATAAATAAGTGGTGTGGAGTGCGCTCCTTCATAATACTCCTACGGAATGAGAATGAGGAATGTAAACACGAAACGCACGAAACCACACGAAACCACACGAAACCTTGCAATGAAAAACGAAACCGCATGAAACGGAGCGCGTAGATGGTGCGCTCTGCCGGGGAGTAGCTAAATTCTCACTAGCGCAGTCTGCTATGCATGCAGTGAACAAAAAATAGATTTGTTTCAAACGGTCACGACAAGTCTGCGTTTGTTATTTTCGTCAAAAATCTGCATGACCCAGTGATAATTCTCATTGACGGTGAGTTTCTTTCCGACATGTAGCAAGTAGGAATCGTGTCGCATCACAGTCCAGCGTGATTAAAACTGTTTTCTGTCACAAAACTCGTTTGAAACGAACGCACTGGAAGTGGCCGCGGGCCTCATAATGGCACACGTTCGACACACATTATGTATTTTCAATTTTCACTTTGCATCCAGCATCCGCGCGTTTCATCGACATTTTTTTGTCCGGCCTCGGGAGAGCTCAAAGAGGAGGCAGAAACTCTAATGTTTCTGATTAAGGTCAGGGCACACATGACTTTTTATATTACATATTTATTTTACAGGGCACTATTATTTTAACATAATTAGCATGTGTATTATTTTTTTAGTTTTTGCGAACAGTTTAGGAAACATGAAATTATTTATTGAAGCTTATCTTGAATTTGAAATTATGATCTCTTTTAATTAAAACAATTTTTAATTTGGAATTATGAACCGATTGAACTCTGAAATATTAGAAAGTTCAGTAATTAAAATATTTGTTAATCAATTAAATTAAAACATATCCCTTTTTTCAATTATTTAATTTATTTAGAATTTTTCTAATCGTTACTTAATTAATACGTACAAACTCTTACCAACTGAATTTATTAAATTGCACACCTGATTCCGCAAAGCACGTTTGTTATGAATCATTAATACGTATGCGCCTTCATCAGGTTTAAAGGAAAGGTCGTTGAAAGGCTGAGTGACGTCAGGCTCCGTTTTATTTATTCATCACAGGTTTCCTTGTCTCGTCACTAATCAACTGTTTAACATTTCAAAAGATCAGCTCCAATAGAATTTTTAATCAAAACAAATAATTTATTATTAATATTAGATTTGCAAAATAAGTGATAAAGAAATCTAGCGTCTTTACAATAAAAAAAAAACGGCTTGCACTTCTTTCAGGGTAGAGAGCAAAAAATATCTTAGCGCAGAATAATGGATGCTTTATTGTTCCAACCCTAGCTAGATTTGTGACGAGGGGAAATTTATGCAATGGTTTGCAGATGGGCCAATAAACCAACGAGATACTCTTAACATTCACCACATGGCTCATCGTTTTATAAAAATAAACTGCTACTTTAATATGTCTTTATATGCCTAGCAATTTTTGAACTTTTGCTAAGTCTTTGCGTGTCAAAAATTTGAAACAAAAATTGCAGGCGTTTGTTTAAATTGCAATTTACATGCAAAGTCAAAAGTAATTACCTGCACGAATACAACGTATTTTATTCAATCAGTGGTACTGCCAGACACGTTGAAACTTTTTCAATAGAAACTTTTCTAATTCTTTCAAAAATTTAACATGTTGCTTTGAAATGATCTTAAATAATTTTTTTTTGTGGAAACAAAGAATGTTTATGTTAACATTAAAACAATTGTTTTAAGAGCAATAATTTTTACCCAAGAAAAACATTGTCAGCCTGTTTAATCAAGCATCTTGTTCTTTTCTCTAAACATGCTCAGTTTATTTTTGGTTCATTTTTGAGCAGGCTGATAAAACCAACTCTTCTCAAAGTCCCCCTTTTGTTTTCCCTTCAGAGAGGCTGTACACTAAATTGCCACTTTCAAAACATGAGCCGCTTATTTTTGGCGGCCACCGCCCATCCGACCGACACTTAGGGTAATTAAAAAATGATCACTTGATTGCACGAAAGAACTGCAAGTTTTTGCCGGCCAATTTAAAACTATTAAAGCGACTTCAAATTAGTGGTCACAAACTCTTTAGCAATTTTGGTTTTCTCTGGAAAAGAATATTTTTTTTTTAAATAGCAATTATGTCGTTGGGAGGTGAAATTGGAGCAAAAACAATATTAAATTTTCCTCCTTCACCGCTTTCAACGCGTCAGTAATAATTGATAGATCGATGCCCTGAAGGTCAAATTCGCAGACAGCTGCTGCGTGACAAAAAAAGCGACAAGCTTGAATTTCTATCGATTTATGTTGCATTGATCGCTCTAGTTGCAGCCGATGGAGATGAACTGGACGGAGACTTCTCTTGTTTCAATCAAACCTCTAATGCTCGGATGCTCCTTAAAGAGAAACGCTTGCGCATAATATTTAAATTTCCATTGCTGCAATTAGACTTCAAGGTGTTTTTCTCAACCTGATTTCTAAACAATTGACTGCAATTTTCAATTTGCATTTTGCAAACGCGTTCAGACTATTTTTTAATCAAGACGCATCTAGGAATGCATTAATTGAATTTAACGTTTGTAAATTTGTACTTCTGTTTCAAAAAGCATGCTTACAAAATTTAATTTAAAATTAAAGATTAAATTTGCCATAATCTTGCTGATATGCTTTATTTGATCAATATTTGATTTTACATTAGATTGACTCATTTAATTATAATTTAAAAATATTGATTGGTTTTTTTAACTTTTTCACGTCCAGAAATCACAAACTATAGGCTTGGAAAAGTGATGTTTAGACGTAGAACTTTCCCTGTTCCAACTTGTTTTAATTTTTACCGTCGAAGCACAAATTTCAAAAATTTCATTTAAATCGCTCTTATCCAAAAGTAAATTTATAAAAGGAAGGCCTTGAAAACGAAAATAATAATTAATAAGCCGTGTTTCAAGGATTTCAAGACAATTTTGAAAACTAAAACAAAATAATTTGTTAATCGATTACTTATCTGATTTGCGGCTATTTACTTGTAAAGAAATTTTAATCTTTGTCTAGGTAATCTAAAAACTCTGGTGATTACAAGTTTCCCTCGCTTCTTTGAAAAGCTGTACTTTTGCATCGACACGGAAAGTATGAACATTATTTGCTATTTGGAACGACTCCAATGCGACCGCACATTATACACGAATGTCAAATCGGTGGCGCCTCAGCAGCACCGCAAACACGCAATGTGCCTTTGCTAGTAAAATTCACTATAATAATATTTTTGATTGGCTTCAGCGCTGGTGCGTGGCATTAAATTACTTTTTCGTCCCCTTTTCCAGAGCGCCAAAGTATCCAATTTTCCGGGGGGCGATGAGTCAGTCTAGGGGGTAGAAATTTAGCAACCCCAACGTGGCCGGGGTTGTCCATGCATCGCTATTTTCGAAACGCGCACACGGCGCCTAATCGATAGTGGGAGAGGCGCGGCGGCCGCGCCACAGCAAAATAATGAAATCATGGCCAGTCGAGCCGCTGACGGAGCCGGCGACGCACGTGTGAGTATCTTTCCGAATGCAATTGGCTTCTTTTACACGGAATTACGGTGCCTCGCTCGTGATCTGTTGGGAAAATTGGGACTGATTAAGTCCGTGGTTTGACACAGCAGGGACAGATTAGGGCACAGCAACAATAGTGAACAATAGAGTCGATTAAGTTCAAAGTTTTGCTGTGGAGTTTAAAGTGGTTGTCACTGAATTATGGATCAAAATATTTATTTTTTTCCCTCGATTTTTATTACAAGACTGTTATTTTTAAGTGCTCTTTGAAGTGCCTACTCACCAACAAAATGCAAAATTCACGGAGCCGCAACACTTTTCATTGATCATTGTAGCAAATTTTTATTCCAATTTCTGGGATATGTATATTAATTTTTTTGCTGGCGCAGTTAAATTTTTCACGTTAACTTCTAATTAAATTTTGCTGCACAGGAGAGTAAATTACAGAAAGATTTTTAAACCAGTTTAAATTTAAAATTTCAATATGTTTGAAATTCAGAATTATTATAAATAAAACGATTAAAATTATTCAACTTTAATTTTTTTACTGTTCTCAAAAGAACACAAGGGATTAGATAGTCTTAATTTGCCAAATTTAATGACTAAAAAAGTAAAAAGAGCTGTTTTTTTCTGCGTTTTCCAACATTCATTAAAAATAAATCTAAATGTTTTCTCTGAACATGACAAAAATGGATCCCAAAATCAATTTATTTGAATTTAATAAAAATTTCAATTTATTTAAATCTTTTACTTTAAATCCTTTTTATTATAGTTTTTATTATCTCTGCCCGACGTTGGGGCGGTTGCTCGACTAATTGCACGCGGCGAGCAGCGATAGTGAGTGCCCTTTTCAGTGATAAGTCTTTTAAGTCCCACAAATCGTCGCAGCGCAAACTGCTCACAAGCGAATTGTCTCATTCGTATTAAATGACCCCCGGCACTACTTATTCGGTTCACCTTTGAAGCGATACTTAAAACCAACCAGGGCACGCAGATCGAGTGTCATTTTCTCATTTGAATAAATATAACAAGTAGTGTGTATAGTGTGACGCAGCTAGCGGTCACTCGAATTAAATTCTCGAGTGCCTGAAACATTGTCGGTTGACCCATCGAATCGTGAGTCTACCCGCGAGCCAAATTGAATGTTTCCTGAGACGATTCAGCTGCCGCGAGAGACGTATGGGAGCGGAAATAATCCGCGCGGTGGATGTAAACAATTTTTGAGCGAGGGGTGCCGTTTTTTGTGCGCGAATCCACGCACAGATCTGGAGCCTCAATTCTTTCAATGGCTCTTATTTTTAGTTCCAAGCAGCTCTGTGTTGCGCTTTAAAAAAGGAGCCGATTTGTTGGAGGCACTTTTGAATCTGGCACGCCACAAAAATTGGATTCCTGTTTAACAAATAAATGGGATTCTTATTCTTAGAATAGTATTTTAAAGTTTCAAAAAAATAATATGAGATTTTCGATATTTATTGCTTCTTTTTAGTAAAAATCACTTTTGAAAACATCTCTTATCTTTTAAATTTAAATATATTGAGCAAAAAATTTGCTCATATTTTATCATATCAGCTCTTTCTGCAAACACAGAGACGGCGGTCGACGTTTTATTTTGCAACCTCCGACTCCTTGCACGGTTTACATTTTATCTTTCTCCGTATTTGATTTTCTGCTGCACTTGCTCTTGGTGTACATTTTCGCGATGCGAACTACACCTGCACGACTGTCGATGACTAATAAAGCGAGAGATAGGTTGCGCAAAGCGCGGCGATGACTGCGTTATCTGCTGATGACGTCCTCGCACTCGCGCGGTGACGTCGATTTCCTCGTGGAAACCGGCGCAAGTGTGCTGCGGCCCAGTTTAGAATATTTTTTTGAGCGGATATTAAACGCGTTTTCCCGCGGGTGAATTTTGCTCATTTTTATTTGACACGTGCTTGTTGACAAGAACGTGGGTTGTTTGTTGTTGATCACCTGCAATTACTATTTCACTCGAGGCGCTTCTGTGCTCAGAGTTCATCATCATATCAAATTAATGCATGGACGTGCAAGCAGGAATGCACTTTCGAGCAGTACGTGATACCCACCCGTTGTAAATCGATACGGAATATCATATTCTGTTTCGTTTGTATAATTTTTTACAAGTAGATCAAAACAGTATAAAATTTTAACTGTATAAAAATGTCTTTAAAATTTGTAGAAGCAAGGGCGTTGAACATTTGAACAAAAATGGTTTTGATTAAAAAAAGAAAAATCAATTGGTCTTAAAATTCCTCAAAAACTGTATTATTTATCTGTAAACCTTAATTAATTCAACTTTCTATTTTGGGAAACTCAAGGTCCGCTCATCAGAAAATTTCGATTGTTGCCGAGCTCTCTGATTGGGTACAACTTTACTTGTACCCAATCAGAGAGCTCAAACAACAATCAAAACTTTTTTCATTGTTGCTGATGCGCGGACCTTGGGGAAACTTTGCCGATGTACCTCATTTTCAAGATTTGACATTCAATTTTCACTGTGGTGATTAGTAAAACAATGTATTAAAATTCTGTGCTCATTAGTATTGAAATCGCAATTCAAGCCTTTTATGCTGTCCGATTGTGGGCAGAAATAATTTTAACCTCCGGCTTGATTGCAATGCGTGGAACACGTCCCAATTTATCCATGTACTTCACGTTATTTATTTATACACCATACATGAGCACATGTTCTTGCGAGACGTCTAGGCGTGATGTAAAAGACGAGACGAGCTGGAAGCCTTTTATATTTTACGATCAATTTGAGAGCAGCACGCAGAGGACATGTGCCGCGTGCGATTAATAATTCTTCCTCCTCTCAATATCCGCCACCAAATTCGATTGTGCTGTGTATTTATTTCTATAGCAGCCAGGGTGCGGTCCAGGGTTTGTTTTAGAATCGCAGGAAATTGCTCAACTAATCAAATTTCGTTCTCGGTTCCAACCCAAGTAATATTTGACTTTTTAAGAGAGCAATAAAAATTCTTTGAATAAATATTTATTTATTATTTATAATTCACTGCATCGTACTCGAATGAGTTTGAAATAAAATCATATATATTAAATTCATTGCATCTTTAAGTCGGTCTACATAAGAATTATATTTTAAAACTGTGTAGCGCTGTGTAGTTTGTAAAAGTCTATACGAAATTGTGATGACCCTTTCATTGCACTCTTCTCCCTTTTGGCTTGATGAGATCGCTCGCCGTATTGATTAGCTCTCTCGCAAGGCTTTTTATTTATTGTGTGCTGTTTATCCAAGCAATCTACTTTATTGAACGACCAGGCTATGTATAAAATCAACCGCACATCACGTCCCTCTTGCTATTAATAGAGCGTGATGTATGGTTGTACACCATATTCTCTCCGTTCATCAATTACGCTTACGCTATTCTCTTACGTTGAAAGCTTGATCGCCTTTAAATGGTTTTGTTGTTATAAATTAGTACTATATAGCTTTTCCTCTCAATAAACTTTTCAACGTGTGTGAAATTTAAATTTAGTTTGTTATCTATATTTGCACTGCGCTTAATATACTTGAACAATTCATTTTGTCATTAATTTTATTGCTACTTTATTTGTATTATTGCTGTTCGATTTATAATGTGATCTTATTATTATTTATGATCAAAGAAAATAGTGAAAAATTCCAAAACAATCAAAACTGTTAGCTTCATAATACATTTAAATTCCATTTCAATATTTTTTCATACAAACATAATATGAACTAAAATATTCCTTGTTTTTGGCCTCTTACTGCATTTGATTGTTATTTTCTTAGAAGTCTTATTGTTCCACTTTGATATAAACTAATCTCTTCTCCTGCTCTTCTCAATATTTCTCCACCGCTGTCTTAAAAAAATTATTTGCATTGTATATCGTGCTAGCGCATCAAACGACGCATAATATATGATAATTCATTCGATGGTCTGTGCGTATACATCAAAATAAACGCGTCAAGAGTCACTGACCTAACACGTTGATTGCACACACACTCACCCACACACCGTGTGCTCACTTTTCGTCTCTTCCGCCTGCCCGCAGCCACTTCCGCCTGCTCGGCGTGTGCGATGTGCCAGAAATATTCCGCTTTTACCCTCATCTCACTTCAAAGGGTGCCAATTTTGCGCAGAGCTGCGGGGCTCACGTCAGAGCCAGGGGTTCGCTCACTCGACTCCTCCTTTTGTAAACTAAGCGATTCATTGCTCTTTTCCGACAGCACAATTAGCGTTAATCATAATTAATCGCAGTGAAGCCAATAATTAATTAAATATTTTTTGTTGCAGATGATATAAAAAATCTTAGAGAATTTTTGCCATCAACACCTTTTCGGTACCTGATATACCCACCCAGCAAAGATGGGAACCCTTGAAGGTATAAAGACGAAGAAATCTTTTTAATGAAAATCACAATTTTTACATATTTCAATAATTTTAGAACAAATTGTCATGACGCCTTTGAAAAAGGCCCCTGGCTGCACTTCCTTGTTGGTGGAGCGTCAGAAAAGGGTGATCGTTGAAAACGGAGCCGGCGGGGACACCCATGTGGCGGGCGGCGCGCACCAAGGACTAGTTATTAAAAAGCGTGAAGGAGGTGAGCGTATTATTATTTACAACCAGCAAATTGCTTCCAGTGACAAATAAAATCCGCTTGTTATAAAATCTTAAATTTTTCTCTTTTAATGTTGCAGGAGCCGGCGAGCTTTCCCCTGCTCAGCTGGCCCTTGAGTTTCGAGTGTTCCTTGTCTCGGCACAAACTGGTAAACATGTTAAGGAAAGTAGGACCCTCAGATTTTGGTGCAGCTGTGCCGACGAGCAGCAGGCAACCCTCGCACAAGATTTCTTCAAACACCTCGTCAGCCCTAATGACTTCCCGAGGGGTATTAAAAAATTAATAAAACTTGATACATCTCCTTAAATCACTTTTTATTTTTAGATTATGTTGGTTTCATCAAGAAAATCATGAAGTTGCTGCAGAATGGCTACAAGGGTTTGGACAAAATTGAAGTCGAGATGCGGCAACTTGGCGAAACAGAGGAGGTTCCTGAAAGACCACGTAATACATTTGATAAATTTTAAAATAATGTGAAAATTTTTTCTCATTGCCTGTATGTTTTTAGAATCGGCAGACGAAGGTGCAACAGGGAAGCGTGTTGAGCTTACAGAGGAACGACTGATGGAAGTGATAGAGGCTGCTTATCCAAATCCAGTCACCCTGACTGAGCTGGCCAAGGACAGGTTCTGGGATGAGAACCACCTGGCTGAAATGTTTACTGATCTGCAAACAAGGGGCTTGGTGCACGCCCTAGCCGACCAACCAGGACATTTCACTAGAGCGGCCCATTCGCGATCTGATGTCATTCAGGTAAATGTAAGGAAAATTCATTTCAGCTCTTACTAAATACAAATAATTTAGGTGGTGAAAGCGATGCCAAAAGTTGTTGCCTCCAAGCAGCCTACAATTGCAGTTGTTACTGCGCTTTATTGTGAAAAGCTTGCTGTTGACTCGATGCTGTCCGACACAGAAACCTATGTCAGATTCACCACTGTTGGTAAATTTTCCATCTTTAACTTTTACGGTATAATGTTAATTTATGATGCTATGCAGGCGAGTCAAATGTCTACACTCTTGGGACTCTTGGCTGCCACAGAGTCGTAACTACTAAACTGCCAACTTCTGGTCACACTAGGGAGGCGATGACTGCAGCTGGAAATACAACAACTCGTCTCTTGGGTAATAACATTTTGAAAATTTGTATATCTGATTAAAGCTAAATGTTATTCCAGGCACCTTCCAGCAAGTCGAGTATGTGTTCCTAATTGGAGTGGGTGGTGGTGTCCCTCACTACACCGACGAATCAAAGCACGTGAGACTAGGTGACGTTGTTGTTTCGCACCCTGGAAACCCTCCTAAGAAGTAATGAATTTTATGAATTCACAAAAACAAAAATCTTATGCAGCAACTTTTTCAGCTATGTCTACTGCTATTGTGACTCATTGAGCCAAGATGAAAATGGAAAGTGTGATTTTGAAACCAAAAAATGGTGCCCTAAGAGCCTGGAACTGCAATCTCTTGCTCAGCAAGTAAAAGATGAGGCAAGTTTAATTGAACCATCCAACCATCCTAATTACTTATTTTTTAAACTTCTGGCTATTTAAATAGGCGGATTCTGGGGAAGAGCCTGCCTGGTTGCAACATTTATTGGCTTCTCAAATTCAACTTGGAGGAAACAAAGATTCAGAAAGCTCCATCGACTTTAGTAGACCGTCTGAAGACACCGACAAGCTCTACATGAACATCGGCCCAAGGGAGGTGATTGAAGTTGCTCACCCTACGCCATCGGAAGGGTCATCCCCTAGGTAATTATCAAAGCGGGTTTTCAAAATGAAATTTATGTAAATTTTATTATTTTTTAGACTGGAAGGCTGTCCTCGTATGCACTTGGGATGTGTTGCTTCGGGACGATATGTTGCCAAAGACGAATCTTGCAGACAGCAGTTTACTTCCAAATATGGAGTGATCGCCTTTGACCCGGAGTTGGATGCCGCCGTCCAAAGTGTGCAAGGCAACTGCAGGGACAATTTCATGTCCATCAGAGGAATTTCCGACTACAGAGATGGTTCTCGTAGAAATGAATGGCAGCCATATGCAGCCTTGGCAGCTGCCAGTGTAATGAAAGCCATTGTCATTGGTATGGATGAGCCTCTTGACAATGAATAGCTATTTTTTTGCCGTGCCATGATATATGAAAATGCTTTTATTAGGCCACATTATGTCTGATGATAATGATTTATTTAAATTCAACGCGCACAAACTTTATTTTTAATGTTTTTTATGATATGATGACATTGACACACAGGCATATGCTTACGGGACCTCCTCTTATAGGAATTTGTCATGATTACATTAACTAACATTTTTCCTTTAACTATAAAGTGAATTTAATAAATTTAAAACCAAAAACCTAGTCATAGGTTGATCATCCAGATTGCATGACTGACATTCTATTAAGTAAGAACAACATGGTATTGAAGCTTAGCTATATTATTTATTTTTGTAGTTTCATCATAATATGTTTTGTTTATTACTCTAATTGTTTCATTATTGCCAGTCAAGAGACAATCAATCTGTAGATTGATATCTGGCAGAGCCGTTAAAAAGTTTTTTCTTCATAAATGCACACTGTACATAACTGGATTATTACGAGAAATAAAAATTGAAGTATAAAGCTGAAGTATTTTTAGTTTTATTTTAAAATTTAAATATCATTATTTCTTATTATATAGAAATTATTAGAAAATCATCGAGGATTCCAAGTTGTAAATATACACTGCAATTTAACTTTTTATAATAATAAAACTTGGAAATGGAACTAAAAAAATAAATGAAGAGGGGAAACCATAAACATCGCTACAAATTTTTTTTTACAGATATTGAGAATCACAATAATGCATTAACATTTACTCTTTGCACTTTCAGTTCATATCAATCAGCGGGGAGTCATTCAATTGGGTTCTCCTCTTGACAACATGGATCCTTTTGTTGGAAAGGCAAATGCCAAGGGTGTAGTCTTCGTACACCACTAGAATAAATTTAATTTAGCCATTGAGGATAATATTTGTATAAAATTATTTAATAATTTAAAGCCGTTAAACCTGTTATCTTGTGGAATTTATTATCAGGGGCCGATCCTTGTTCCAAAACCTCGCTTGTGTATACCAGCTCCGTAATGCTGGTTGCAAGCTGCTCATCGTTCTCCAATTCACCTCCGGACTGGAATATAATCAGCAAGTTAAAAATTAAAATCATTTCTTGAAATAAATAGCCAGCTTACAGCAACAACTGCACCATCCTCAGTCAACACCAAGTAGCCAACTTGGTCTGGGATTCTCTCCAAATTTAACATTTTAGTTTTTTTACCTGAAAAGTATTTTAAGCAAATGAATAATTATCCAAATAATATTGGGTAAATAATACTTCACATACTTTTACTGAAACTAGAAAATCGGATATATATCGAAGAAATCCCCTAAATCATGTGACTTTTTGCTCGACCATTTGTTTACTTTTATATTTTAGTCACGTGATTCGGCAACGCCCACTCTTTGCTTTGCGACTGTGCATGATCTTTTTTTCTAAAAATAAATGCAGTCAACATAAACATCAAAGGAAAAAAGGTATAGCCTGAATAAAAAGTATTATCATCGTGTGTACATAATTAGGACAAGTATTTTCGGTTTTATAATTTTCCAATCATACTTTCAGACAAAAAGGAGTACAAAATGATCACGTTTGGAGTTTTAACTGTCAGCGATCGCTGCTCTGCTGGCACAGCTGAGGACAAAAGTGGCCCAGCACTTGTTAAGTTGCTGGACGCTCAGCAGAAATTCCAGTGTCAGGTCGTCCAGACATCGATTGTACCGGACGAGAAAAGTACGATCGAGGCAGTCCTCAAAGACTGGGCGGATACACTCCACTTGGACGTTGTGCTCACCACCGGAGGCACTGGATTCGCACCTCGAGATGTCACTCCAGAGGCTACAAAGGCCATCCTGGACATTGAAGCTCCAGGGATTTGCATTGCCATGCTGAAAGCTAGTTTGGACGTGACTCCGATGGCAATGCTGTCCAGAGGCGTAGCAGGGGTTAGAGGAAAAACACTGATAATCAACTTGCCAGGGAGTCCAAAGGGCGCACTGGAGAATGCCGAGACTGCGCTCAAAGGCGTTCCACACGCTGTTGCCCTTCTGAAGGGAGAGACGGCTAAAGTTGAGAAGGTAAAGATTTTTCTAAAGTCTGTCTGATATTTTGATTATTTCGGATTATTTAAATATTGGGAAAATATTACACAGCACATAATTTTAAATAAAATAAAAACCAACTTTTTTATAATTAATTGAAAATCATTTTTTTTACCAGGTGCATAACAATCTGCACTGCGGCTGTAGCCATGAAAAGGTGGAAACCGACCCCTCAAAAGTAGCTCACCGGCCTCGTAAATCGCCCTATCCAATGATCAGTGTAGAGGCAGCTTTAGATATCATTCTGGCCGAGATTGGCAACTTGCAGCAAACTACCAAGCTGCCCATTAGTCAAGCCCTTGGCTATATCGCAGCAGCCGACTGTACGTCTCTCTGCGACATTCCTCCTTACCCTGCCTCCACCAAGGACGGCTATGCAGTTCTGTCAGAGGATGGCGCAGGAGAAAGGAAAGTTGTCGGTGACATTGTGGCTGGTGGCGTCGACCAGAATCAACAACTTTCTCACGGAGAATGTCTCAGAATCACCACTGGAGCCGCAGTTTGTGGAGGTGCTGATGCTGTGGTTCAGGTACTTGGCACAAACAATTAATATATTTTGTATAAACAACAAATGGATAATTTGATTTTAAATTAGGTTGAAGACACTGAGCTATTGGACTCAACCCTAGACGGGAAAGTGGAGCTGAAGATAAAAGTTTTGGAGGCGGCTATTAAGGGTCAGGACATTAGGCCAAAAGGAAGTGACCTTTCCAGAGGAGAAGTTGTAGTCCAAAAAGGCACCAAGATTGGCCCAGCGCAAATCGGAGCTTTGGCGTCCGCAGGCCTCAGTCAAGTAACCGTCTATGAGCAACCGTCAGTTGCTATTTTTTCGACCGGTGATGAAATCCTTGATGTGAATGTGTCTGCGCACAGTCCTTTTGCAATTTACGACTCGAACCGACCGACCTTAATGGCGCTGTTGGTGCAGCACGGCTTCCATGTCCATGACTTAGGAATTGCCAAAGACATTCCAGAACAGATTGCAGACACTTTGAGAAAGGGATTTAATGTGTCAGATGTGGTCATCAGCTCTGGTGGTGTCTCCATGGGGGAAAAAGACTTTTTAAAGCACATCCTTGCAACAGAATTCCAGGCGCAAATACATTTTGGCAGAATCAACATGAAACCTGGAAAACCAACCACGTTTGCCACTTGCTCATTTGGTGGGCGGAAAAAGTTTGTTTTCGCTCTGCCAGGTAATCCTGTTTCTGCAACAGTCACCTGCCACCTATTCGCCCTTCCTGCTTTAAGAGCTTTGGCTGGATTTGACACAAAGTACCGAGGAGAAATGTCAGTGCAGCTTGCTGAAGATATCAAGTTAGACATACGGCCTGAATTCTGCAGAGCAGTTGTGGAGAGAGTAAAAGTGCCTTCAGAACATGTGCCAGTGGCTCATCTTACAGGAAATCAAATTAGCAGTCGCTTACTCAGCCTTCAAAGTGGAAGTGTCCTGCTAGTGCTTCCAGCACAAACGGACGAGAGGAAAATTTTATGTAAAGGTTCTTTAGTAAGAGCCTTGGTTATTGAATAATTGGCTGTATTAACATATGGGAAAAGATTTCATACCTATGCTAAGTAAATTCCTTTGTTGATTTTCTACCTACCATGTGTGTTTTATGGCTCATTATTTTTAAGTTAAATATGTTCAATTTTTAATAAATCCTGATATTTTTATACATATATAACTGATCGAACTACTATAAAATGTAACTACACATTATCGTTTGTTAGTAAAAAAAAGCATGACCGTACTTAATTTGCAAAATTAGTAAAAAAAATACAACCAGAAGGAAAAACTTCCTATTTTTGCACAATTTAATATTTACAGCCCATAAGTTTTCAAGGCCCCTTGGTGTCTCAGCCATACTAATCTTTTTCTGCTGATTGCTGACTCACCACAGCTCTCCTGTTGAGCGCCAGCAGCCAACTATTTGCCACCATCCAGCTCCCAGGCTCTTTCTTTGGACTAAGCCGGCTGTTCATTCCAAGACCAGAATATCATTATCCTTTAATGTGGTGGTTGAGCCTCTTAAAAATGAATATAACTTGTGTCTTATTGTAAGGGAATGCAATTTTTTGAATAAATGCTTATGGGACCTCCTCTTACAGAAATTCATGATGATAAAAGTTTATAGCAAACATTTTTTCCTTAAAATGAAACAAAGTGAACTTAGAATTAAATGGAGAATCAACAATATCATAGGTTGATCATCCAGCTTACATAACTGACACTCTATTTAGTAAGAGCAATGAATTTAAACATGTTGTCAAATCTTAACTATGTATTATTTATTTTTGTAGGTTTTCATATATTTATTGGATAATAATATCTTTGCTCAAAATTTATGTTATTCTGTATTTTGCAATATTTTTTCTTGTTCATTTTTCTCCTGACTTTTTTATTTGTGAAATTTAAGAATAATTATCATCCAAATTATAAAAATTCTTTAAATAATCAAGTGAAAGTGCAATTAATTATTCAATAATCAATAATATTAATAATCAAATCCACCAAAGCCGGTAATGTCTTCTACGTTTTTAAACTTTACAAGACACAAGGCGCTCTAGCAGGGACGTAACTTCAAAGTCGGGGGCCCTCGGACGCCCCTGTAAAGTAGGCAGCGCCTTGTCACATACGCGTTGTGGGTTGCCTAAAACAGTGGCTTCGGTGGGCCCTTTGACCCCGTGGGCCCTCAGACATGTCTGACCTGTCCTATAGGAAGTTACGTCCCTGCGCCCTAGACTTGTAGCCTGACCCTAAAAAATATGCTTAGTATGTTTTTTTGTGCTCTACATATTAAAAAAATAACTTATCTGCACCTTTATTTCAAACTATAATTAAATTTTCTCCCATTTAGCAGGGAGACTTATGTTCTATTTAAAGATATTAGAAAATAACGAGTTGTTTGATAATATGTCACAAATTTTTTCCATAAATCAATTTAGATATTTTTATTAGCTTTCAAAGATACAATTTACTTTATGCGTTTTGATATTGTAAGTAGTACAATAGTTATGTTGTGCGCGTTTAAATTCTTATCACAACACCTTGCAAATCTGATTTTTATTTTTTTGACTCACATTTTGCATTAATCGAACATTGCCACTCCATTTCTCCACAAAGATCACATTTTTTTGAGGGTTTAACTTGAAAAACAGTTACAATTTTAGCTCTGTCATCAAACTTGCAACTGATGCTAAGATCTTTGATGAGGAAAGAGTAAAAGTGATTTGCCCATCGATCGCGGAGATAAACAGAGCGAGGGTCTTCTCGTAACACACTGCTGATGGCTGAGATTGTGTGTTTTGTATCGTGGCAATTTTCTACCAGCTGCAGAACAGCCCTCTCACTGAATCTAATGACACAAACCAATTAATACTTCAATGATCTTTTTTGGTTAAAAAATTTAAATCTACCTGACATTCAATCGAACCACAGGGGGTTGTTCGATCCAGGAGGGCACCTTGACGGTGGGCTGTGTTTCGTTCTTGGCAGGTGTCAGGGTGCACACCACCGGCTTGCCTCCAACAGCAGCAGCACCGGGCAAGTCCTCTTCCCCGTCGGGCTCTTCCCGACAGCTCACAGATCTGTTGGGAGTGCTGGGAGCAGGGATATTTTTTGGAGACAAGTAATTTGCCTCTTCGTCGCTTGAACTGCCAGTTGCCACCTCTCTGTAGAGCCCTGCTGATCCTGTCGGCTCGTCATCATCGTCCTCTTGACTCAAACACCACGGGCTGTCATAGTGTGGGATGTACGGCTTGATATCCAGCACAGGTGTTCCGTCAACCATGTCTACACCAGAAAATAATATTGTTGCACCTGCCCAGAAAATACAATTGAATTGTCTTTTAAAATAGAATTATTCCAAGTGTTTTATAACCTTCGATGTTCTCAATCTTCACAAGAGAGAGTCCAATAGGTGATGGTCGGTGAGGACTTCTTGTGCCGAACACCCCAACTCGCTCTCCATTAAGTCGGGGAGGAGCAACCTTAGCTTTAACATGTGTAGCTAAATTTTTGTGGAAATGGAAAATCAGCCTGCAATAATTGAATATATTTATTAAAAATTTCTGAATAAGTAAAGCTAAAATTTTTACATACCATAAGTGTGAAAAATTGTTCAGCCCGTCCAGAGTGTGCTCCGGGTTTGTAAATAGATCCTTTTTCAGGGTGAGTTTTCCCATGCTTTCTTTGCAGACGCCTGGCTGCCTCGGTGTACCTCTTTTCTCTGTGAACCATGAAGAAACATGCCCGATGATCTGGAACGAAATAGTGTCTGGTGGTTCCGCAGGAGATGGATCTAACGAGGGTTGTTGCTGCTCAGATTTGGTCCTGACGTCAAGCAAGTTTGGCGGTTCTTGGAGCAGGAAAACTTCAGGAGCTTTCAGCAAGTCCTTAATTTTTTCCATTTCTTTTTTATGAACATGTCCAAGCGACTGAATCTGCTGACTACAAAAGGAAAATAAATTTGTATGTCCAACATAAAAATAATTCACACACCGTAAGTTTTTCAGCTCACTCCGAGCTACATTTATCTGCTGGTCCATGACAGTTTTATTTGCTTTTAGATTTTCCAGATTTTTCCCATCCGCAGGACTTCGAGCCATTACATATTATCTTAATTATGTTTTGATTGTATGCAAATGCAAACGCTCCGCTGAATTCTTTTTTTATCACCTTTTGCTTGCCAGGCTTGCCTCTGCTTAATTAGTCCCTCTGCTTTCTTGTTGTTATCAAGAAGTGTTGTTATTTTCTTCTCCGGTTTGTTGTTCGTTCTTGTTTTGATACGCGGAATTCGTGAAATGGGGGCGTGGCAATTAGTGAGCAAAAAGGCGAATGGCGGAAGTGGGCTCGGAATGCACGATACACAATTGGAGTGTTTATCATCAGATTTTGAGTTGCAAATCGTTTCTGCAGCAATTTCTTCGCGGTTTCTGAGCAATCTCGAGGATCTGTTTTAAATTTCTGACGATAATCGGTCTGTTTCAAATAAATTTCTTGATTTAAAAGTCGTTTTACGCCTTAAATTTTGAAAATGTGACGCTAAATTCGTCGCTGTGAAAAAAATCTCCGAATACCACCCGCGTTCACTACACACAACCACGTTTCTGCCTTGGGTAAATTTAATTTTTACTAACTAGTTTTTGCATTTCAATTTTCTCTGTGGACTTGCTGAATTAAATTTTAATATGTACTGCTAATTTTAATTGCCAGCAGGCAGCAGGAGTAAAAGTTTACCAAGCTGTACTGCTATGTTATCGTACTATTTGAATAGTATTTTCCCAACTACCCCTGTAATTTTGTTTTTTATAGTGCATAATATAAAATTACAAACTAGTTTTTGTCTTACATTTCTTTATTTTTTTTATGTAGCCAAGTATAAATAACTAAATTCTTGCTTCCTTTTTTTGAAAGCTTCAAAAAAGACATATTATTTTAGCTAAAACGAGGGATTAAAAATAATCCAAAACAATACTTCTCTGTATTATGAGTATCTATATTTATTTAGCGCATAATATAAAATTCAAGGTTAACATTCATTGTAAAAACTTTTCCTATGTTTCAGATGTATCACATTTGATTTTCTAACATGGAGAAGCCCGATCCTCTGAAGTCAAAAACTAGTGAGCACCATTTTGGCGAAGCTCATTTTGAGAAAAGTCTCAGCAACTTGAAAAACACCCAAGAAAGTATTTCACAGCTCTCTAGCTGGTGTTTACAACACAAGCAGCATCACAAAAAGATCGTCAACTGCTGGTTCAAAGTAATGAAAAAAGGTATTTATAAGGCATTATGTACCTGAGTAAAGTTGTTTTTTCACTTTGGATATTTGCTAATTTCAGCAAAAATGGAGAACAGGTTGATCCTGTTTTACTTGGCTAACGATGTGATCCAGTACAGCAAGAAGAAAAATTACGATTTCGTTAATACTTGGGCACTCTTTTTGCAACGAGCAGTCACCCTTGTTAGGTATATTTTTTCTGTTTAATATGAAAAAAAAATCAGATTTTACTTCACCCTTATAATTACAGGGATGACAAAGTAAAAACCAACATTACACGCATATTTAGGATATGGGGTGAAAGAGGCATTTACGATGAGGCTTTCATAGCTGACTTGAACGGGCTTCTGGATTGTCAGAAAGGGGTGTCTTCTGACACAGCAAAGCTTGTGGCCGAGTTTCAGGTAGGATTTTGTTTTTAAAGCCTTAAAAACTGTACAAACTCATATAAACATTTCCTATTCAGCCCCTGAGGCTTGTGGATAAGATTAGAGGGTGCAAAATTTTAGAAGATGATACAGACTTGAAGCTAAAGCACATCAAAGAATATCCTTTGGACCTGACAAATGCTGACACCTTGCGATCAAGTCTCAAAGGTTTTACTAATTAATGTTTAAACAATTGATGAAGTAATAATGTTTCCTTTTCTTAGATCGCAGACATGGTGCTGATTTGGTGTCTGAGGTGGATCAAGGAATGTCTAAAATCCAAAGCTATGTTACCTCTTTAAAGGAGGAGATAATGGAGAGAGCCAAGCTAATCGAGCTTTTGGAGCAAGGAGAAGTCTTTTATGAGCACCAAAAGGGAGAAGCAAAAATTGTCGTCACTGTAATGCTTTTGGTTGAAAGATTTTCACGTTGTAATTCTAAAAATTATTAGGCTTACAAGAATTTTGGCATAAAAGTAAAGAAGCTAAAGAAACATGCAGATGAACTCTTGCCAAGCTTAGCCAGTCCAGTCCCTTCGCCAGACATTAATGCTCCTTCGCCATCAGGATCTGATGATTTGCAGCTGCCTGATCCTCCGGGATCAAGTAATTACAATGAAGGTTAAAATTATTACATGTCACATTTTATAATAATCAATACAAAGTTTTAAATTAATCAAAAGATGTTATTTGAATTTTTCTATTGTAGTTTCTGAGCAAGTAGCAGCACAAACTGCTTACAACCCTAATGTATTTGGCCCCAGTGGATCTGACATGAGAATGGGTAGCTTTATTGGTTCAAATATTTCCTTTGACTTTCAGGTAATGAGTTTTTCAGAGAAAAGATTTTTCATACTAACAAAGCTTTTTTAACAGTCTTTTAGAGAGCCTCCGCCAACTATGCCTCCATTGGATAATGGCATCCCTGTAAGTTTTTCTTATTACAATTTTTTAATCTTATCTCTGTTCTTCTTACTCAATTTTTGTTTTTTTTTCTTAGAACAATCAAATAGAAGTGATAGGAGGCAAAAGCACAAACCCTAAAAAGCCTGATGAAGGCTTCATCATTGATGAGTTCCTCAAGTCCTTAAATCCAGCTCCAGCACCGCCAATGCAACCACCGCGACAAATGAACTTGCAGCCCCCTCTTCCTCCAATGCCTCAACATCTCGCCGCACCACTACTGAATAATTTCAGTGCACCACCTCCACCACCGCCTCCTGAGCCACCTAGACAAAGGGGCTTCCATCATTCGAATGAGCCTCCAGAGTGGAAAAATTTCAATGATTGGAAAGGGCCACGTAACCCTTGGAATAATAGTCACGATATTGAATGGTCTGCTCCAGAAAAGAAAATGAAATTTGAAGATGGACCACATTCACCTCCGATGTTTGAAAAGGAAGGTTTTAACCAACCAGTGCAGTACGACGATAGGTAAATAACAGGGAAAGAATTAGAAGTTTAGGTTACTGATTTTGTACCCTGATTTCAGGACGGGAGTTGTACCGGAGGATGTAGACCACAGAGGGGCGAGACTGAAAAAAGATATAGACCACCGAAACCTCATAAGTTTGACTGGGCCTCTAAATGCTGCTCTGAAATCAAACAGGAAGAGCATTGACGACTCTGACATGCGCAGCATTCCGCCTCTGCTGAGCAAAAAATTCGAACCACCCCTAGGAGTACTAATGAAAGAAATGCGCCGAGATTTGAACATGGAGAGCGTAGATATGGACCTTAGTGATGAAGACGGTGATCCGTTTAAGAAAAAAAGGAATGGCTCTGGTGGACCAAAGGCACCATTGCTGCCTACTCCTGCAGCTGACGAGGAAGATTCGGAGTGGAATCCTCCTCCTCCTGGCGCTGAAGAAGACATGAGCTTCCAGTCGCAGCCCGTTTTTGAAGAAATGAAGCCGCACATTCAAGGCCCAAGAGGACCGATGCATTTGGCTGAGCCCTTCAATGGTCCGCCAAATGATATGTTCACAAGCGACCATTTTGGAGACATGATGAACGACCAATTTGGAGGTCCTCCAGTAGGCTTTGGAGGACCGATGGGCCCAGTCTCAGGTCCTCCCCCAAGTGGACCTTTCAGACCAAGAGGCAATTATGGAAAATATAACCCAGGCTACACGCCAGGTTTTACAAACAGAGGTGGTGGAAATGGAAGCATGGGAACACCACCCATGCTTCGTGGTGCACCCCCCAGGTTCCGAGGACCCAGTCCAATGAGACCGTTCCGAGGTGGAAGGGGACGAGCTAGTTTTGCCAGATGGTGATGGAGTTGCGTGAATGTTTTATTGTATAGCTTTGCATTATCAGACTCAAAACTTCAAACGATAAATCGCATTAAAATTAAGAATGCTTGTTGTTTCTTAGCTTTGTTATTATTGATCTTACAAACAAATTGTAAACACTTGCAAACTTTTCGGATTTTATTACTTATTTTTTAGTCTGGACAAGATGGTTTTTCGGGGCTGCTCAAATTTTGTTCCTTAGGTTGATATAATATTCAAATATCCCTGGTAAGCCTCTGAAATATTTTAGTCATATTCTAGACTTTGAACTGAAATCATCTAACATTTGTAAAACTATTTTATGAAAAATCCTGCAGTGTATTTCAACAGTCATCCTTGTGATTCTATAAAAAATATTGCAACCACCCATTCGCAACTCACTGGCGTGCCATACTAAAGGAAAAAAGTGTCCGTCACAGTGGATGACAGGAGAGATCCGCTCTTTTTGGTGGTTCATAATTTTAATGGCTTCTTAGTTGATTCAGCTCATTGTTTAGGCAGGTTGATAACAAAAGTATGCAGGCACACATGTGTATATCCCTATGCATAATTTCATCTCAAAAAACTTACCATCAATGTAAAATAAAACTATACCAAGACATGACTGAATGTTTGCATCTACCCTCATGATTATGAATCGTGGCTTAGACTGACTTAAAATTGTAGCAACATGCCCAATTTTAAAGTTAAAATTATTGCAGCATTAAATTAAAATGATTTTTTTAAACCTCTTTCATAATACAAGTTTCAAAACCATAATCCAAAATATTCTTCTTTCTTTACTTAAATCTTTTGGCCACATGCCTTGATATTAAGAGTTTTTTCTGTTTGGCCTTTATTTTATTAACTGTCCAGATCAAATAACTCCCAAGCATTAAAAATCATCTTAAAAAGTTTACTATGGAACTTAAAAACTGAAGACTGTGATAATTTTTATAAGCTATAACGAACAAAAATTGTAGTAATTATATATATTAATTGAAAATAAGCAATTCAATTCAAAATAGGAGATAACAAAATCCCAGTGTTTATCTTAAATAAGAATAACTCTGAGACGGGTTTAATAAAGGAAAATTATTTGGTACATGCTCATTTAAAAAATGTAAATGTACCTTTAATGATTATAAAAATTTTAACACACATTTGTTCCATTTTGGAAGAATAAATTGGTAAAAAAAAAATGTAATTTATCAAATATATCCGCTATCTTGTACGCCTTCAAACAGAACGCAGCTTTATTGGCTTGATATATTAAGTTGAAAATTTATCTTCTGTATCTAGTATTTCAATCTATGTTACTCCTTTTTGTCTGATGGATGTACTAAACAAATTTTAGGACACTATAAGTGGAAAAGCCGCTTAAAATAAATAAAAAAGAACCTTTTCTAAATAAATCATATTTTTTATTTTATCCTGTTTTATCCAAACACCTGTGCAAGTTTTCAAGCATTATTTTCTTCAATTATGTTGTGGACAGATTCCGACTTTTCATGCCAGATAATTTCTCTGTGAGCAGTGCCAATGGTTTTAAAAGTTTTGCAAGTTAGACATTTTGTTCTCATAGAACCTTTGTTTTTCTTGTCTTTTCGCACTTTACAAGAATCACTGGAATTAAGGAAAGAGCCACAACCTTTACAAATTTTTCTCTTTATCGAAATGTCCATACGCAGCACACTCTTTTTAGCCACTTTTGACAGCAGTTGTCCATAATGTGCATTCAGCACTCGCTTGACATCTTTATTCTTAGTTCCAGAAACCACATTGCAGGCCTGATAGAGAAAATTGATACGGTGGAAAGCACTTCGACCCAGGAAGGCAGGCGCCTGCGATTTCTTGCTTGTTGAACTCATCCTGAAGTTTATCAGCGTTTTTCCCCTTATTTAAATTTTTGTATCTCTAAAACAATAATATTTTTGTCAATATTACACCTTCTACTTTTAAAATAAAATGCTTGATAATTTATTTCACGCAATATATTTCATTGCAATATTAAATATATATTTAATTTCTTAATATATATTAAATAATTTAGAATTTAGATCACTTCTTTGACTTCTTTATAAATAGTTTGAAGTGGTTTGAAGTAAAAAGTATGTAATTTAATAGAAAATTAAGATTGTAATGAAATTCAATATCGTCTAATTTCTGTTAATTATATAGAGCTGTAACAAATTGTTGAGCATATAATATGAATATTTGTATTTAGTATTATTTTTAGCCTTTATATTTATGTATCGTTTATGAAAAGTCACTTACTTAGATCTGTCAATGGTGAACTGGTGAAGTCGACTTGCGAGTCTGGGGTTTGTTTATTATTTTTGTTGCTTTTGAGAAAGGGGTGTGGCAAAGCAATCCTGATTGGTAGAAGCATTCCTACGATTTTCCTTGGGTAGGGTAGAAAGAGCTCTCCAAGGACGAGCTCTCCTTTGAAATAAAGTTTCAGTTCATTGATTTACTAAATTATTATTTAAATTAAATTATTAGGTCCATGGTTCAGTCCAATTCAATTGGCACTTATAAACTCACTCAAAGAGAATAATTTTTTTATTTTATGCTGTAAAATTATTTTAATTTTGACATAAAAATGTATGATGTATGCTTTAGCAACAAACCAAAATTTAAAACAACATACATATTATATTAATATTTTGTTCAAATAACTATATTATTTTTTGGTAAAGAAAAAAAATATAAATTTAATGATATACATTTCAATAATGTAAATTACGGTAAATTAAGCATAAAATATAAAACCGTTTATGTATTTATGCGAAATGTCAAAACAACTTAAAATTTTGGCTTTATTTAACAGTTACACTCATGATGGAAATGTCTTCGACTGGCTGGTCAGTCTTAGCATCTACTTTTACATTGCTGATATTTTGGACCACTTCCATTCCTTTTATTACTCTACCGAAGATTGTATGCTTGCCGTCGAGCCATGGCTGAAATTTCAAATGTTATCAATAACAAGTTTGTTTCTGAATTTAACCACGTATTTTACCGTCGGCGTCACTGTGATGAAAAACTGACTGCCATTAGTGTTTGGACCAGCATTTGCCATGCTCAGGGTATAAGGGCGGTCGTGCTTCAAGGTTGGGTGAAACTCGTCTTCGAATTCTCCTCCCCAAATGCTCTCACCACCGGTCCCAGTGCCTATAAATTAAACATTGGTTTTTTGATTCGGCAAAATGTATTTTTGTCATACCGGTAGGATCTCCTGTTTGAATCATGAAAGATTTGATGACACGATGGAAGATGTGACCATTGAAGTAACCATCCTTAGCATGGACAGAGAAATTCTCAACCGTCTTCGGACACTCTTTGCTGAATAACATAACATGGATGTCTCCGTAGGTAGTGTGGATAATGGCATTGTTGAAAATTCTCTGGGTAGCAGACGCCTCAGTGGCCGCTATGATGTCCTCCTTGGAAGGCTTTTCATTAAAGACGTCTCGGTCTGCATCCACAGATTTAGATTCGATTGGCTCTCGTCTATAAAAAAAATATGGAAATTTTTTTCTTTTAATTTGTTATTTCTACCTAGAGAAGAGATAGAATCGGTTTTTCTTGAAAGCAGTGCACACAAGCATAGGATCTGCTTGTGCATTGTCTAAAGTGGGATTTTCCGAGGCCTCCATCTCAACAGTTACTGCAGCTTTTACTCTCCTTGGTTTTCCCTAAAAGCATAAAATTTAAAGAGATTCTAGTTATTATGAATAAATAATGAAACCCACTTGGAAAAGCGCAAATTTCAAAACTCTCAAGTTTTCTTGTTTGCCAATGGTCTGCAGAACTTTGCCAGTCTTGATGCTGACAATCTTGACACCCAGCATAGTCGAGTACAAAACCATACTGCCCGATTCGTCGAATAAAATATTTCCCTGGACTTCATGTTTCTCTATGTCTCTTTCGACGGCCATCCTGAGAAATTGATTAAATCAGTATCATCCTCAAACTATAACCAAATTCTGTCACCTTCGGCCAAATTCCATGTGCGGAATTTGAGGATCTGCCTGCTGCAATTCAGAGTATCGTGGGAGACTTTCATCTATCACTAATTTCAGCTTCCCTGTAAGAAATTTGAAAATTCGAACCTAAAAAATTAAATTAATGACTACCGGCAATTGATTTAAAGATGCCTTACTTTTCTGTCTACAGCCAAAGTGGCCATCAGTTGACCGTCAGGAGAGAAGCTGAGCCCAGTAGGATAGGTTTTGTTTTTGGCAAATTCATACAAGCTTGTGTCAAGCTTTGACTCAAACTGGACAAAAGTAGGAAACTTGAACTGATGTTTGTAGGTCATCCAGTATTCAATTATTCCAGCTTGGTCAACAGACACAACGGTGGCAAAAGGGATGTTGATCTAAAAGTTTCAAAATTTGTTTCCTATTTATATTGTCCTTGATTTCTTTTCTTACCTTCATGATCACAACAGGTTTTGCATGCAAATGTTCAAAACAATGGACATGTTCTGTGCTGCTGCTTTGGCCGTCGTAAACATAAATTTTGTTATTCTCCGAATTTGAGCTAAAAACAAGAAAAATTAGGATTCTTTAGTTATATCAAAAGATATTTATTACACAGCAATTGTAGAAATTGCATCTCCTGGCAAGTGGATCCACTCAGCGCACCGAACGACAAAGTCCAGTTTGATCATGTTGATCATATCTGGAAAATATTTATTTAAATTTTGAATAATTTAGACAATATTGAAAGAAAATACCAAAATTGATAACGTCGAAAATCTTCATGGTTTTGTCAGCAGCTACTGTGCACAAAAGGGCGCCACTGTGGTTCACAACAAGGTCATTTATTGCACCGAGGTGAGCTCTGAAGTGTTTCACAAACTCGACAAGTTCCTCAGACTTCTTCCAAAATTTCACGTGGCCGTCACAGCTACCAGTTATTATAAAATTGGTCCTGCAATATCAATGTCAATAATTCAGTTCTGAAATCTATAAAAGTTGGCATACTTTGTGACAGCAACATGAGTGACCACATCACGGTGCATGTAGCTCTTCTCGTACGCTTCAGCACAGGGCAAGTTGTCCAGGTACAGTTGCTGGTAACGCAAATCTACCAAGATCATCATTTATTAAAATGTTTTCCTAAAAAAATCAGCATTAAAATGCCTATTTGCAATTTCTTCTTTGCTGGAGGAGGTTGTAGCTTATCCTCCTGGTCTGGTTTTTCTTGTTCATCTACACACGACTCATCCTTTCTCTTTGAAGAGGTCTCCTTAAGAGGTGGAGGGCTGTTGCTCTTTTTAGTCGACTTACTAGGCCTCTTCTTTTCCTCATCGCTGGATGAAGATTCAGAATTTCTGCTATCGTTGTCAGACATTTTCAGGGCCTTTAATTAATGAAAAACAGAAAACTTTACTTAAAAATTAAAAATGAAAAACACAGTAAAACGCTAAAAATTAAATACATTTTTTTTATTAAAACTCTAAAAAATATTCGCTCGCATTGAAAAACACATCGAGGAACTGCCGTTTTTCAATTCAAACAACATGAAACAAGCCTCGATAATTCTACAAAACACTTGTTTTTATGTTATTTTTTTCCTCGCCGTCCGTATGTATTTTAACAGAGTTTGTTCTTTATGATAATAACAGTGGCTTCCAAAATATTTTGCGGTAAAGAATTTGAGCTAAATCCTGAAATAAACTTACAGTAAAATGAAGAATTGGCGAGTGAACGAAAATTTTAAAATTTGTAAACAACTCGGCCAACTTGCAACGAACGAAGGAGTGGCACGAGCGAAAGCAAGCCGGTATGTTTTCTTTCAACTGCGCAAGCGTCACCAATTTAAATTTGGTGTGGCGCTAAAGCCATGTGCTTGTTTTTTTATTTTTAAATTTTAAAGGTACGAAATTTAGTTTGTGTCTTATTAAAATTAATTATATTCCTCATTTGATTTTTCTTGAAATGCGTTATTTCATTAATTTATCTTTGTGCGTATTCATAAATAAAAATATAATTAAAAAAATCATTCTTTTTATAAAAATAGGCATTGGTGTTATTGATGGTACTATGTTTTGTATTCTTGGTTGCCAATGGCAACAGCGTTAGTAAAGCTTTGCATTATTTCCGTCGCTACTCATGAATCATCAAAACGCATTTTGAGGTATATTACAAAATCGATGCCTTGGACTTTCAAATGCGACTTCCGAAATGCCTTCAATAATTAAAAGTAAAGCGTCCGCAGCTTGTCCAGCGGCTGGAAGGAAAAGTGGAATTTGCCTCTCCGGTTCACATGTATGTAATCTTCCAACTCAATTTTAATCTGCTGTTTTATTATTATTATTTTTTTCTCAAACTGGTTAATTTTATTTATTGATAAGCAGATGCATAAAAAAAATTCTATTTTTAGCTGAATTTGACTCAAAGACCTGGAAACACTATGTTAAGATCAACGTCGCCTGTAAAATCCTCAACAACAGTAGTTCCCCTTCAAATCAACAAAAGACCAAGACCAAAATCTGCTGTGCCGACCATGCGTCAAAAGGTGATTTTTATTGAAATTTTAACTTGTTGTATTAACGTTATTAACTATTATTAAATAAAAAATATTTTTAGTCACCAAACAATATGCAGAAAAGCCGACCTCTCTCTGCAAATGTTCCCGTCATATTCTCAAAAATAGATGAATTATCAGAAGCAGTTGACTCAAATTCTTCAAGTCCTACTTATCTTGCATCAGATGAAATTAGTCTCTGGATGAGCGAAGAGATGTCAAGAGCGGAGAACAAATCTGCGGAGTCAATGGCCAGCACTTCTAAAATAATTTCTCCTTTTTCTGACTCAACAAGCAGTCCTGCTGAAACTGAAAAATCAACACCAAAGCACTTGCGTTTTGCAGACGAAGGTTACGAAGATGATTTCATTAATTCTGTCGTTGAGCAGCTGAAAGAGCAGGTCAAATATGAGATGGATGATGTTTCGGGAGCAGTGCGAAGAGTAAAAGTAACTTCATCAAGGAAAAAGAGGCCAAAATCCTTGATTGAATTAATGGAAATTATTGACGGAGAGATTCCTATTGAGTTGAAAAAGAGCTCTCTTCCTTTAAAAACACACAAAAAAACATCTATCTCTGTTTCTGATTCAAGCAGTGGCATGAATTCAAAACTTGCAGAAAATACTATGAAAATGAGTGAAGCTACTAGGGAGAAAACATTAGAAACAACCAAAACAACAGTTAAGGAAAAAGAGGCATTTTTGGATAATTTTAATAGTATCACAGTCATCAAGGAAAGTGCAGAAGGTGAATTTTCTCATTTAAAATTTAACTTTGAAATAAAAAAAAAAATAAAAAATCGTTGCAGATATTGAGCCTCAAACCACAAAAGAAACGCAACAAAAGTCTGCAAGGGACTGCCTGAAAAGCATTTTCAACTTTTTGGACGAAGCAGAAAGAAGTGAAACACAACTGGTGCATAAAATAACGCCGTTTCCTGCGCCAGAGAGTGAATTAGCATCCAATAATATGTATGTAATAATAAATTAATTTAATATTAAAAAGTATTAAGAATTTTAAAAAGCAGGAAAGGAAGCAAGCAAATTGAAATTTTAAAGGAGGCGCTGGAGGAAAAAGCTGCACACGTACAGCTTTTAAAAGAGAGCTTACTACAGGCCAGAGTTGAATCAGCCGACGCTTTGGCTGCTGCTGACAAAGAGCATCGAGTTATGGCCAGAAAACAAAAACTAGACTACGAGGCAGCGCTGAAAAAACTTCAAGACGGAATGGAAAAAGTTATTAAGGACAAAAAAAAATTATTTTTCACTCCACTAATTTTTTCCATATGTGCAGCTTCTGTCCGACAAGAAATCTTTAGTAGAAAAAGTTGAAGAATTGGTGCAAAAATTGCGAGAGGCTGAGAACAAGCACTTAGGCGCAATTCAGGCCCTTCAACAAAGGCAGACGGTTGAAATAGCTAGGACAAAGCAAATTGCTGCTGCTGCTGAAAAAGTGCGACGAGAGAAATGGGTGGAAAGGCAAACAGCGCGTATAAAGGTTGTTTAAAATAACCAAAAATACTTTAAAATAACAGTCTCAAATGGAAAATTTTAGGAGTTAACAGTAAAAGGGCTTGAGCCTGAGCTGACGCGATTGAATTTGCAACATGAAAATAAAGTAGCACAAATTCAGGCGAATCACTCCAGAGAATTACAGTCTCAGATTGAAGCTGAGGCGAGAAGAGTGGAAGAATTGAGGAGTTTGATGTTGAAGGAGAAAGACGAGGAATTGGCCAGGGAGAGAACTTTGGTATCGGAGCGCTATGAGAGACAGTTGGCAGAAGAGAGGGCTATGATGGAAATACGAAGTGAGAGGATCAAGGAGGAAGCAAATTCGGAGGCTGCTAGAATGCAGGCTCACTGGAATTCGCAGAAAGAAACACTAATAGCTCAGGCGTGGCAAGAAGCGCAAAGGGTGCAGGCGCTGCACGACCAACAAATTTTACTTCTTGAAGAAAAGAAACAAGTTATTTTAAATCGCAAGGTTGCAAAACGAGAAATTTACTGAAGGTGATTTTAGGCTGAAATAGCAGCAGCTAAAGAAGAGTTGCGAGAGGAGCAGGCGACATGGTTAACAGCGCAAAACCGTAAAAATGCAGAGCTTTTGGCAGCCAAGCAACAAGAGTTGAAAGATCAGAGAGACCAGGAAATCGAAAAGGCTATCGAAAGATTGGAAGCTGAGGAAAGACGCAGCAAGAGTGAACATCAAAAGGAAACAGAAAAGAAAATTCAGTAATTAAAGCAATTAAAGAATACAAATATTGATTTTAAAGCATAATTAATTTGTTCCATTTAGACGTTTAAAGGATCAGCACAAATCAATTTTGGCTGACAGGGACCTGAATGAGAAATTGCTTCAGTCACGATTGAGTGAGGCACAAAAAGGTTTAGAAGATTCCGAAAAGCAACTGTTGGTGGCAAAATCTAATGAAAGTCGGCTGAGGCAGGAGCTATGCATAAGTGAGCAACGAGTTCAGGCACTTGAAGTAGAGCATCATCGCATAAGAGAAACAGTTGAAAAGCAGTATGCTAAACAGATATCAGATTTGGAGCAAAAAGTTGAGCAGACCAAAGCCGATCGTGAGGCTGAATTGGAACAAGTCCACGCTAGGTAAAGTTTTTTGATCTTTAATAATTGAGGAAAATTAATAACTAAATTGCTGCTTTCCAGGCTTAAGGGCGTGCTGGAGAAAAAAGATCAGCATATTGAACAACTTAAGGTTCAAGAGGGGGAGCTGACAAAACGATGTAAACACCTAGAGTCTCTTCTGGGTCGCTGAGTTGTCTTTAAATGTCAAGATATTTTTCTGATATTCAAATTTTTATTGCTATTTATTGCTATCAATAAATTATGAAACTTAGCAGTTTTAAAAATCTTCAGTGGTATGGATAAGTATATTGCTTTCTAAAACTACCTGGTCATGAAAATGACTGACTGAGCTAGCTATTTAATTAAGTATGGAAAAAAGAAGTATTAATATCACAACGTAATTAATATCCATGATATCCTTACTGGTGCAAACAATATCCTTTGGTTTGAGGTTCAGTTGTTAACCTCCTCCGTGCCGAGAAGAGCTCTGATCCGTTCGACACACAATTTTGAGCCTTCATGTGCCTCTTTGCTGATCTATAAAACCCAAGAGTCCGATAAATAAGTGCATGATAACCATTTAATTACGTACAAGTGAAAAATTTAAGAAGCCATGAGGCAGACTATCCAGTACATCCAGCTGAACATCGTTTCCCAAACTTTTAAGTTTCTTTGCAAACATGACGCAATCATCCAGGCAAGGGTCAAGTTGAAGGGACTAAAAATGGAGTTCCATTTATCATTTGTATGCAACTTTAAATGGATTGCAATTTACAATTATTTTAACAGGTGGCAATTGTTTTAGAATCTCGTCAGATGCAAAATATGGGCTCAGATATGGGTCCTTCGGAACCGTGAATTTGAACTCTTCAGTTGGGTCGAGGTCAAGCATTTGATCTAACTCCGACGGATCCAATGGAAGATGTGGAGATCTGATAATTATTCTAAAAAAAACTCTATGATGAAAATCACAGACATACCCGCAAGCAGCTTCTTGGCTCGGGTCTCTGCTCAATGAACGACTGGTGGCAGAAAAGTGGCCAGTGATTGAGCTAGCCATGGAGCTGAATCTCTCAGAAAGTGTAGGTGACTGTGGCCCATTATCAACTTGTGGAGCTTCAAAAATAACATCCTGCTCTTCGTCCTCCTTGTTCTTTCCATTCTGTACATAGCGATCTAAAAACTGGGCCACATATTTCCGTGACCTGGCCGCCGCCGAGTCTTCAGGTTGCGGGGCTGGAGGGGATACAAGAGACACAGTTGTCATGGAGTCGGATCCCTGGTCAGAGAACTACGAGGGCATAAAATTATTAATGTTTTGGAATTTCTATGAAATATTTACTTTGGATGGACTTCTCAAAGGCAGTTCGGTCAAATTGTCATCTTCCTCCACCTTGGCTTCATTGTCGGGTTTGGGTTCCGTCCCTGGAATTTCTCCCTCAAAAAAAGGAAGATCTTCAATATTATTTTCTTCGGGCTCGTCTTTCTTCTCATCAATTGACAAGTGTCCAGCATAAGCTTTAAATAAAAATATACATACATTTATTTTAAATTTAAATCTATATAAACTTGACTACCTTTGAGACAGCGCATCATGAAACCAAATGGCAACAAAGGGTCCATCAAACATAAAAGTCGAGCTGGTGAAGGAATGAAAGAGACAAGGACTGGAACATATGCTAGGAACAAGCCGTGTGGAGGTGGCAACCCCATTTCATAGCATTTGATTGCCACTCCCAAGTTGAGGTTGGCACCAGCCGAGTCACCAACCAGAATGACCCTTTCTCCAGTCGAGCCGAGCAAGTGGCAGTTTTGCCGAGCCCAGCAGTACGCATAGAGAGCTTCTTCAGGAGCACGAGGGAATGGAGCAGACGGAGCAAGGGAGTAGTCAACTGAGATGATGGGCACATTGAGTCGATTGGCCCAATCTCGAAGGTAGCACTCATGTGAGCGCGAGCTTTGGGCCACAAATCCTCCACCATGACAATGCACCAGCAAACACGGAGACGGCGGCAGTGAGCTTGCGTCGGTGGATTTTCCAAGCTAAGTTTTTTTGCTTTCTTATTTCATATTTCAATTCAATTTAATTGTAAATACCATTCCTTCTCTATGGTTAGCCGAGATGAGGCGCATCAAAACCGGTTTTGGCCCAATGTGAGAAGATGGAGCAGGAACAATCACATCTGAGCCATACACACCTTTTATAGTGAATGACTGGGGTGGAATGGAGATTTCCTGGTTAATAGTTACGGATGGTGTTACAAAGCTTGGCAACTTCTGCATCAAATCTAAAGATTGAAAAATAATATTGAAAAATAGGGAAAATAAATGAGGGACTTTATTAAAGATATACCGGTCTCTGTAAGTTGCCAAAAGGATTTGCAAAACTCTACATTGGAGTACTGAGCAATGTTGACAATTCGTCTGGCCCGTAGCTCAGGGTCCAAAAGATACTTGCTTCCAGTCAAAACAGAGTTAGTTGCTTTGCTGATCAAACTTCCATTGTTGTAATAAGCCTCACTGTAGGATGCCATGGCAATGCAAATGAACTGCAAGGCCTTCCTCATACTTTCGCAGAACTAATAAAATTATTATTTCAGTCGATTTCAGTATAAATTTAATATTTTTAATAAATTATATTGGTTTTTGTAAATAGAAAACAATTTACCTGGAAGCCAAGACACCTGCCATAAAAGCAATACTGGTTGATATTTTGCGCTCTTGCGAGCAGCTCTGCAGGTGAATGCTTTTCGTCAGGGAAGAGGTTGCCAGTTTCGCTCCAGTCGATCAAAGTGACTAGGTGCTGAAGGCAGGTGCCAAGTGACGCCAAGACATGGCTGCACGCCTCTACTTCCCTGTAAAGCGAGAAATTGATTACAGTTCACACAAAAATTTAATTTTATCGTTTGTATACTTCATATAGACAGTCTTGCGAAAGAAGAGACTGCTCTTGGTGGACGCCACTTCACGTGCCAATTTAAGACCATGCATGACAAAGGTGTCCACAATATTGACAAAGCTGCGATAGCCGTTTCCCGGAGTTTCAGGACTGAAGTCGTACAAGGGTGCAACAGCCCTGATTTTGTCTAGCGAGGGTCGGATGGTTGCGATGTGATCGGTGACGGCCATGAAGGCAGCGCTCAGCCTTTGCCCGGCCTCGCTCTCGTCAGATTGCAGAGCCTCGGCGTTGTCCTTGCATAGCTGCACCAGGGCTTCAACGATGCTGGAAAAGGACTCTTTGATTTCCTCTTCCTCGACTACTCCCACCTCCATGCCGGTGCGGGTAGTTTACTTATTCTCGTTACACAGTAGAAATAATTGATTTCGACATTATCATTTTGTCTGGTGTCATAATATCTCGCTCAACCAGATGTAAGAAATACGACCACGCCCCCTTTATTATTAAATTTTCCCTCACCCTCAAAATTTCTTCTGCAGTATTGTCTTGTATATTGATTCAAGTTATGTATTGCGTAAGTTTTTAAAAAGAATGTTTTTGGTGCAGACATATTATTTTTCTAGCCTGTAGAATGATTAAACTTTAGTTAAATCTGCTCTTAAATCAATAAAATTGCAATCCTTCATGGTTAGTGAGTCAGTTCTTATAAACTCCAAAAAAAGTACCATGCTTAAATCCCATTTATTTGGGTCAATTTTGTGATGAAGAAAAGCCAAGCAACACTGACAACAAATAACAATTATAATGAATCTTAGGGGTTGACCTCACGAAAGAAAAATTTTTATTAATTGGCTCTTTAATAATTTATTTTATTTTTGGAATGGAACCTTGAGAACATAGCGCAAGTTTAATGGCCGATACTGATCAGTCTACTCCATTTGGAGCAAAGTGGATTTACAGGAGAAATCAATTAAAATGCTGACGGAATGCTGGAAATATAACTGACTAGTCGACCTCTTCGATGGTAGGTCCAGAGCCGCCACCGCTGGGAGGAGGGGCACCAGCGCCAGGCATGCCACCGGGCATACCTCCAGGCATGCTGCCAGGGGGTGCAGCACCGCTCTGGTACAGCTTGGTGATGATGGGGTTGCAGACGCCTTCAAGCTCCTTTTGCTTATGTTCGAACTCCTCCTTGTCAGCCAGCTGGTTCGAGTCCATCCAACGGATCACCTCGTTACACTTGTCCATGATAATTTTCTTGTCTTCCTCGGGGATCTTGTCCTTCAGCTTCTCATCTTCCATGGTTGACTTCATGTTGAAGCAATAGGACTCGAGGCTGTTCTTGGAAGCAATGACGGTGCGCTGCTTCTCATCCTCGGCCTTGTACTTCTCTGCGTCGTTGACCATACGCTCAATCTCCTCCTTAGACAAGCGACCCTTGTCATTGGTGATGGTGATCTTGTTTTCTTTGTTGGTAGACTTTTCAATTGCAGAGACGTTCAAGATGCCGTTGGCGTCAATGTCAAAGGTGACCTCAATCTGGGGCACACCACGGGGAGCAGGAGGGATGCCCGCAAGCTCGAACTTGCCCAAAATGTTGTTGTCCTTGGTCATGGCACGCTCGCCCTCATAGACCTGCAGAAAGAGGGCATAAAAATTATTTAATGTGCTTTAAAGAAATTAAAAAACAAATTATTAAAAAAATTGCATCAGAAGACTTTTCTAATCATTAATCAGGTGAAACACGGATCCTTGAAAGGAATCATCATTTGCATTTAACTAACATAATCTTGAATAAATACTGAACGATAATTATAAAATGAAAATTAGTTATTAATGTAACAAACCTGAATGAGCACTCCAGGTTGATTGTCCGAGTAGGTGGTGAAGGTCTGGGTCTGCTTGGTGGGAATGGTGGTGTTTCTCTTAATAAGGGTGGTCATCACACCACCAGCAGTCTCGATACCCAAGCTAAGGGGAGTGACGTCCAACAGGAGAAGGTCCTGGACAGCCTCAGACTTGTCTCCAGCCAAGATAGCAGCCTGGACAGCTGCTCCATAGGCAACAGCCTCATCAGGGTTGATGGACTTGTTGAGCTCCTTGCCATTGAAGAAGTCCTGCAGGAGCTTCTGGATCTTGGGAATACGGGTAGAACCTCCGACAAGAACGATATCATTGATCTGGGCCTTGTCCATCTTAGCATCCCTCAGGGACTTCTCAACGGGCTCAAGGGTGGACCTGAAGAGATCAGCGCAGAGCTCCTCAAAACGAGCCCTGGTGATGGAAGTGTAGAAATCGATGCCCTCAAAGAGAGAGTCAATCTCTATGGAGGCCTGAGTGGACGAAGAGAGGGTCCTCTTTGCCCTCTCGCACGCCGTCCTGAGACGCCTCAAGGCACGCTTGTTGGTGGTCAGGTCCTTCTTGTACTTGCGCTTGAACTCCTGCACAAAGTGGTTGACCATGCGGTTGTCAAAGTCCTCACCTCCAAGATGGGTGTCTCCAGCAGTGGACTTGACCTCGAAGATTCCATCCTCAATGGTCAGGATGGACACATCAAAGGTGCCGCCACCCAAGTCAAAGATGAGGACATGCCTCTCACCCTGGCCTTTCTTGTCTAGACCATAGGCGATGGCAGCCGCAGTGGGCTCGTTGATGATCCTGAGCACGTTCAGTCCAGCGATGGTGCCCGAGTCCTTGGTGGCCTGGCGCTGGCTATCGTTGAAGTAAGCCGGCACGGTGATGACGGCATTGTTGACAGTCTTGCCCAGGTAGGCCTCGGCGGTCTCTTTCATCTTGATGAGCACCATCGAACTGACTTCCTCAGGGAAAAAGGCCTTGGTCTCTCCCTTATATTCCACCTGCAGTTTGGGCTTGCCATCCTCGCTAATGACTGTGAATGGCCAGTGCTTCATGTCGGCTTGCACTGTAGCATCTTCAAACTTGCGCCCGATCAAACGCTTAGCATCTGTGAAAGTAAAGTTTCATTTAATTTTAATTCCAAATATGGAATTATAAAGTCTAATAATTGATAATTCAATTAAAAATGAATATATTTTCAAAATCTGTGATGATAATGGGGGAAAAAGGAACGCAACTTTATTCATTAACAATGTCGAGGACATAATAATTTTGCAAAAAGGCTTTTACAACTTTCTACTGAAGAAAATTCCGAAAATTGTGTCAGATTAATACTTTCATTTTTATGATGTCAATTTTGCATAATGAGGGCCGCAATTGAAATTTCCTTACAAGGAAGGCAGAATTGAGCGCGTGCATTTTGTATGGATCTGAATGACTCATCGATGTGATGGTTCGAGGTCTAGAAACTTTCCAACTTACCAAAGATGGTGTTGCTAGGATTCATGGCCACTTGGTTCTTGGCGGCATCTCCAATGAGACGCTCGGTGTCAGTGAAAGCCACGTAGCTAGGGGTTGTTCTGTTGCCCTGGTCATTGGCAATAATTTCCACCTTTCCGTGCTGGAAAACTCCAACGCAGGAGTAGGTGGTTCCAAGATCGATACCGACTGCGGGGCCTGGCTTTGCCATTTCTGAGGGCAGAAATATTTTAAGTCAAAATCATTTCAACCAAAAATACAATTATCTCTCAATTTAGATTGCTAAATCTTCCACAAGGCTCAATAATTTCCGACGCTTTGACATGAAAAGCTAAATTAAAATAATTCTGTCGGTAGCCATTGTCGGCGTGCATCCGGCACGACCGTTGTTAAAACGAATAATTCTTCGAGAAATTAACAAGCAATCCCGAGTTTAACCATAAAAGGAGAAAATTTACTTCATGTACTTTGATTTAGATTTATAAGATGCAGAAAAAGTGCTCACCTTTAGCGGATGATTGCAGATGAAAAAGAGGAAATGTGCTCAAGAGGATCTGTCTGCCTCGACGTGCTGAGCGGTGTTCGTTATTTTAGAATGAGAAGGAAATTGTTGTTCCTCTCCGTTTTATGCCTTTCCAGTGTAGAATGTTCGAGAAGTTTCCAGCAGCACTTCTGACCAATCACGCAACAGCTCTGTATACAGGTACCAACTTGATTATTGATTAACATTAACATTGTAGATTTTTTTCAGCGGTTAAATTTCTTTACAATAATATAATTTTAAATTTATTTGAAAAAAAAATTCAATTTTTATTGGATTTTGCTTACCTTTATTAGAAAATTCTGCTCAGTACCTTTCTTTCACCACCAAAAGTATTTTCCATATGTTGGTAAATAACCTACGATTGGTGCGTTTAACTGCGCCCGACTGCGACTTTTCGTTGGCGGTAAAAGCTGCATGGATTGGGGGCAATGGTCGATCGCACGTGCGCACTTTTATGAACGTATAAATACTTACATGCTTCTTATATAATGCAAAAATAGAGCGTTAGGAACACAAGTTTATTCCGAACGAGATCTATTTAAAACGAGTAATTGAGAGCAAAATAAATATTTATTTTGCGATATTTTGGTTTAAACAGCATACTTAGTAGAAATCATTTTAATAAATTTCTGCAAAAAATAATTTTTCTAATTTTTATGTTACTTATATTTGTTTAAATTTGACGAAAAAAATACAAGACTTTCGGTACGAAAACCCGAAATTTCATAATAAAAGCTAATCAACCAGTTTGAGTCACTTGATGATGGTACTGATATTTTGTCTAAGAAAAAATAAGAGCGGTGGTGTTGGACGTTGGACTTTTTACCTTCCTCTCCGTCTGGCTTGTGACGCAAGTGCTAATAATGACGTTTCATCACGTGTTTATATTACGCATAGATTTCCCAGATAATTTTGAACAAAAATGAGTTTTTTTAAGGAACTTTGTATAATAAGTAAAAAAAAGTAATAAATAAACAGAAAATTCGTTTCTTTTAGGAGCCACTTAAATTTAATAAAGAAATGAGCAGTCTTAAAAAATAAAATCTTGAACTTTTCACAGAGTTGACCACAAGAAAATAGTTTTTCTCTCTGGCGGTGAATTAGTTCAGCACCTCGAGTCGTGGATTTCCAACCTTGGATGGTAACACGGAATTTCCTGGTACAGATGCTCTTCGTCGACCTGCGCGGGCTGCGGCACCTCGCGCTCTTTGCTGGCGCTCATCACCGCTTCCCACATTTCCGCCAGCGATCTTTGACCCTCCGAGCTGTGACATGACCTACTTTGCGAGGGCGGGTGGTCATAGGTAGCCTCTAGTGCCTCTGCAAGTTTAAAAAATAGAAATTGCAAAAATTTTTCTACTCACAAATCAATGTAGGTTATTCAAAATATGAAGATAACTGGTGGTCATGGAAAATATGTATTACTAACTTTTCGCTTCAATAATTTTGCATTTTACATTATAGCGTTGGGGGAAACACTAATGTTCAAAAATAAAACCATGGCATTTTTATAGAATTAAATCAGGAATTTAAAAGTAAAAAAAATGCAAACCTCGCAATTCTCTAGAAATTGTGGGCTGGTGACCTGATGGTTTGAACGTTCCCATTGAATATATGGCTGGCTGAAGATCAATAGACTCACAGCATGCAGAGAAACTTATAATAGGGGTTGATGGCATTTCCAAGGATATTGCTGGGGGGTAGAAAAATCAACATTATTGACGTCTTGTTATTCTTGTTCATAATATGCATTATTTTCAAATACAATCAAATAGAATGGTAAATAAATTGCTTAAGGCTGTTTCGGCGATCATCGTAGGGTACGCCCACTGAATTTGCAAATATTTTGAAAAAATGACTGCAAAATATTTCCAACAAATTTTTCTCTTTTATTTGCCCATTATAAGAGCTTTTATGAAAAAATTTTCCGACTTTTCCGGAAAATGGCTGAGTTATAAAGGGGTTTGCTTTTCCGCTTGTATCCCATTAAGTATAAGTCCTACGTTAAAAACGAGCATATATTCTGAATGCTGATAAAATTTCCAATATTTTTTACATTAACAATTATTTTCTATGAAAGGGTTAAGTACCCTGAAATCAGGGTCAAAAAATTTAGATGCCTGCCCCTGAAGTTATGCAACCGGAAAATTAAATCTGAGATAGCCAAAATTTGACGTCACTCATAGGCACAAACTTCCCCAAAGGAAATTATTTTTGCATTTTCCATTTTTGAGAAAATCCAAAATTTCCCAAAAAGGGTCAAATAGGGTTGGAAAATGCGGGAAAGCCAAGAAAGTGTGGTCATATGGCACATTGGCCGATTCGTTATCACATCCTTAATACGTGTCTAAATTTTCAGAAAATTTCATCTGCCCAAAAAAAAGTTACAGCCGATTTTCAAAAATAGCCCTATCTCGGAAGCAGGAAAACTAACAAAACCGTTTTATATCCATCAGCCAAAATTTAAAAAGGCAAGAAACATATCGTTTTTATGGTCTCATTCGAAAGCTATAGTGGCTAACTTCACGTTGGTACGAAAAAATTTCGGTTTCTTCTGACAGATATTGAGATATACCGGTTATTGTGTAATAAAAACCGGTATGGAAGTTCTAATTTCACCAAAATTCGGACTTTTTGCGACGAAAAACATGTATATTGTATAAATTTAGGTTTGTGCATTAGTTTATGATGGAAAAAAACGATATTTATAATAATACCACTCCTCAGTCCAAAATTATAAGCATTTTTCAAAAATATTTTACATACCGGTATTTAATTAACTATTCAGAAAACCGGCCTAAAATCACCGACGTTGTGCGGCGCGATAATAATATTTTCAGAAAAAATAAAAATATATACAATTCTTCTGCGCCGCATTATCGTAGAAACACCCTTAAATATCAATAAATATCTTCAAAGCTCACAGACTACAAAGTATATGTAATCAGAATCAGATCATTATTTATTTATTTGCTAAAAATAAAAAATAAATTAATTTTTTTGATAAACTATCGAATGAATAAAATAAGAAAAACGTAAGCACTCTAGGGGAACCTCCGCCGCAGAAAATGTGCATTTGCCTTTAAAAAAAATCTAATTGTGTGCAACTAAAAAATAGATATTGGTATACAAGATCAAAATTGAAGTAATAATAATCTAATAATTTCACAAATAAATCAATTAATTTCAATAAAAATTTTAAAATAAGATTGAAAGATCATGAAGAAGTAATTTTGGTTTGAATTTTTCATAAAATGTATGTAATCTAATTGTATTAGTTTTCAAACTGAATAAACTTTCATTAAACCAATTTTAATTATTGTATGGAAAAATGATCAAAAGCTTTTTTTATAAATCAATACCTGTTGGCAAAGGAGGTAAATGCCGGACAGTTTCTTGAGAACTGTTATTTTGTTTCTTCTTTCCGTTTTTCACGACTTGCTGGCAAACTAGGACGGCAAGGACAGTGCCTAAAATTAGAGAGAGCGCCGCCCCAACCACGACTAGGAGAAAAGCGTGTTCCTCAAAAAATGAATGGAGCGCCTGATTGTGGCGCGGGTGGGTCGCGACGCTAGTGTGAATGGAGTGGTTGTTCAACACAATCACCGAGTGCGTGAAGCCAGTAGTGCCAGCAAAGGACGTCGAACCCGGGTCGCCGCCGGTCGGAGGGGAAAGGGGCTGCGAAAAGTTTATCAAGGGGTTGGAAGGGGTGGGCTGCGTCTCCGTTGACGATTCAATGATTTCAGTAATTTCGGGAGTCACTATTTCTTTCGCGAATAGTGGGGTTGTTTCCGATGTAATGGAGGGGGACGTTGGAAAGGACCCCAAGGGATCCTCTGTTGACGAAATCGTGCCCAGGGTCACTTCAAAAGCGTCGGACGGTTGAGCCTCGAGGTCGTGCGTGTGACCTTCTTCATTTTTGAGAACGGAAGGGGAGGTTTTTGCAAGGGCTGGCTCATCAGACGCAGGTGAGCTAATTTTCAGCATTTCGTCACTAGGAGTTGTGTTTTCAACACTAGTGGGCAAAGGGCTCGGTGATGTAGGTTTTGTCGTTGTCGTAGAAATCGCTGGAGACCATCGTGGGGTAGTTGAAAGTGTTAACGAAACCTCAGAAAAATCTTCAACAGCGGTGCTTATGGTAGTTGTCGAACTTGACGGAACAAACTGCACTAATTCATACACTGAAAATTTAATAAAAGTAAGGATAAGGATATAAATATATTGTAAAAAATATATACATATAAAATGAAATACGACTCAAATAATATTGTAATCTAGGGTTGAATTAAAATTATTTTAAAACTAGCTAATTTTTTTATATAAATCAATATGTTAACGAATTAAATCATTACTAAAAACTTCCATTTTCATTATTTATACTTTGAAATCAATTTTGAAAAAAAAAAATCTAGATTATTTAATAAAATGCATATTTTTATTATTTATTTTCTCTTTGCGTAGCTATTTAAGCTGCGCGAGAAAAAAATAATCAGCTTGTTATATTCACTGTGAAAGTTTTTTCGCTTAAGCACAATTTTCCCTGCGCTTGTCCCCTCTACCTTTTTCGCATGACGGTCCATAGAAGTCGGTGTGACACTTGCAAATATCAGGCGCAATGCAGGTTCCTTGCTGGCAACCTTGAGTGCAAAAGGCCACACAGGTGTCGTCCTCTTGAAGGTAGCCTTTGCAGCACACATTGACCACCCGTGTTTTAGTGATATTCTAAGCACAGGCATTATTAAAAAATGGTATCAAAATTTTTATTTATAAAAATACCTCAACTTGGTATTCCGTCTTCAGCTCCGTTTTCTCCCTTGTACATCTTGGAGGGAATTTTGGACACCAGTAATTTTCTCTTACTTTGTAAGGTTTAGCATAGCTTACTGTTACAGGAACAGAATATCTATAAAATTAATAGTTTATATTGACTAATATTTGAATAATTTGCAAATGAGCTTTACTTTTCAATTTTGGCGCAGACATGATCTCCCATCAGTGCCTCACATAAAGATGTGAAGGAGCAAAGGATAGCAAGCACCAACGGCAAAAGCATTGTCCTGGAAAAATTAAATCAATTTTATTCTCCACTCGATTTTAATGTGAGACTAGCATTTTTTTATTATTATTCCTTAAAGCGATTAAACCAAACATTTATTTACACATTTTATAGGCGCTATTTGTGACCTTGGCGTGTGCATTGGGGTTCATTTTGAGAAGGGAAAATAAACAGTGCATTGGCCAGACGTGAATGATATAGTCTAAATGACGTCAGGTACAAATATTTGGTCTAAGTTTAGATTTTTTCTTAAAGCAGCTTGTTTCAAGAAAAAATTCTCGCGAATATACCGTCTACATTTTAGTCATTTCAAATGTTCAAAGGCAAAAGGACAAAAGATGCGCGCAGCTATCTGAAAAGAAGGAAATAATATAAGGATTGTAAAGCTTGAGTGTGGGAGTCTTTTCGAGATACAATAGAATATATGAGTATATATTAACAGCAACAATGACATCTGCTCTTGACGATAATAGAAAAATGATGTGGCAAGCAGCCGGATAATTAATGATTCACGCGTCTGGCTAAACAATCACTGCACTTTGCATCAAGTTTTTTTTTCTTTGAATCTAAAAGTGTTATTGAATTGTGCCCATACGCTGTTAATTATAAACAGTAAATGCCAATAATAACATTATTAAATAATGTCAATATTATTTGACAAATCAACATTTAAGGTTTAAGCTGAACAGTTTTTTCATGGTAGAATTTAAAATACCATTTTTCCTCAATGGTTTTTTTGAGCCGTTTATTGTATTTCCTACGAATCAAATAATGGACTAAAAAATATCTTTGAGGAAAAGGCAAATTTAAATTTAAATACCAAGAATAAACACTCAAACAAGAAATTCTCTCGTTTTTTTTTTTATTTTTATATATATATATAAATATTCAAAAAATTTCTATGAAATATACAGCAAAATTATCTTCATGCAGATTACAGATCATTTTAATATTGTTTAAAAATCCAATTGATTTAGTCTAGTTTTTAATAGAATTTAATTAACTTATAAACATTATTGAAGGAAAATTTGGGTGCAATTTTTTTAGAACATGCCGCTATACTGCAGAACGCCCCGCGCGCAAATATAACTTAAAAAGCCCATCACTGCGTTTTTAGAGCCGCTTCAACTGGTCCAAGCATATCACGCACGCACATCCGTCCTAAATTTATCACCAGGTCAATCTGTGAAATTATCACCACCACAGCTCGGCATTGTTTCCTGTTTGGGCTTTTCAATTCGTTATATGTGGGGTTGCACGCTATAAATGCAGCTCCATAATACACAGAAAAGCAAAGCAGTTTCGCCGAGTTTTGTTCGGATGCACTCGCAGGGAGCAAATGCACACACTGATCGTGAAAGAAAACTAGACTGCGTTTTGTTCAATCTCAAGGGGGCCTGCCTGGCTTGTCATTCATTTTCCAATTCGCCCTCTTGCTTCGGTTAGTCATGCTGCCTGTCAATTAGAGGTCAGAGGTTGGAAGGAATTATTAAAAGCGAGGGCCCCTCGCCAGCTCTTGTTCGGAACCAACATCTTGAAATGAGTCGTATATTTAACAATTGTACTACGTTACAAAAGCCTCGCGTTGAATTAATATAAGAGTCCCACTGGCTCTCTCGTCGTCTATACTTGTTGCTATTACGGCACTGTAAACGCAGCACAGTCACGAGGGGAGATTATAATCATTTATGCTGGACCAAAACTAATATGGGAAATTTCATTCTCGCGCCCGTGTACTTATTTTTACGCTGTGCTTTTTTTAATTAAAAATAATTTTATGGTGTTAAGCCGTGAATAATTTTAAATATATGGAAAGAAACTATTTCCAATGTTCTTAAATAATAAAAGTTGTTAATTTTAATATAATCTAGGAAAATTAATTACTTTTGTATATTAGTATTTTGTTTAAGCTAAAATCTGCCGGGTCGAAACAGCTTAAAAAAATGGTTCGATCATAGCCATTTATACTTTTTGGAACATTTTAAAACTGTTTATTATTTTTACAAGTTGACTAATAGTTTTGCAATAAAAAAAATAGAAAACTTTTTTGAAGCATTTTTTTTTTTATCAAAATAAATAATAAATGAAATATTGAAGTTAATTAGGTTCACTAAGAGAACATTAATTGGCAGTCTATTAAGCGGGATGGTTGAGAATAGCACTTCACAAGACCTAATGTCAGTTCTTACTTGGTCTCAGCGTCTCGAGTCCATCCTGCCCTTGCTGCGCTCCTAATGGCACTAAACAGGAGCCGCGCAGTCGGCGCACTGGATCACGAAGCGACTCCGAAACCGCCACTGTCGCGAGAGCGCAGTCAGCGTGAAATTTAACCCGATGATTAGGGCCACCGCGCGTTGTGGCGGATTTTTGCATTCTGCTCTCATTGTTTTCGTAATGAATTTGAGTGCCGCTCTATGCTTTCATGGTAATAGATCTATAAAAAAGCCAATTTTTAAAACTAAATAATAATCCTCGAGGAAGAACAATTATTATTTTGTTCACATATATAACAAGACTATTTTGATTCTCAGTATTTTTTTCTCAAATTTATGTGTTTTGTTTTTAAATTGAAGTTTAATGAGTGTTGATTTATAAAATACCAGCACTAAAAATACACAAGTCTGACGGTGGCTCTCATTTCGTCGCCGCCTCATATTCTCAACTGGAGCCTCAGCTTCGTCTCTCTCACAATACTCATAAAAAATATCTTGCCACCATATGCCAAGTCAGCACGAACTTGACTGAATTTACACATTTAGTTACTCTCGCATCATCCAAGAATTATGTCCTAACAACGCGCAGCACATGCGAGTAAAAAAATTGAAGCTGCTCCGCGCCAACCATCAAGCATTCACAGGAGATTATAGGGCTGCCTAAAAAAATTGCAAGTTGGTTCCGCCTTTATAATTCTCTCACCAAAAAGGAATAAAACCAACAAGAAATATTTAAATAAAGAGAACATAAGTTTTTAATGATAAAATATCAACATCAGTATAATAAATAAATATAGCACGTGAGTGTCACCAACAATACTGAAAACAACGATGGTTGAAGAGATTTGGCCGTGTTGTAGAATCCTCCGTACACTTGCAGTCCCGCAGTCTCTATACTGTGTTTGCAGTAATCCCCATCTGCAAGCGAGAGTTGCACCAAATTAGTTGCACCAAACATGCATTTTATCAAACCAACCGTAAAGCCAGCCAATGAACTCTTGCGTCCGTAAATTTTCCTTTCGCAACCACTCTTGCAACGGGTGGAAGTACTCGAGCAAGGCTGATGGATTCAACTTCCTCTCCCCTGTTATTTCGTAAAGGGCGTCTTGCCACGGCCTGCTCGACCCCATTGACATCATTTTTCTAATAAAATTAGAAATGTTGTGCTTTCAATTGAGATATGTGGTCATTTAAATATAATATTTACTTTAAAAGTTCCCCAGCCGCGTGGCTCCTGCTGATATCGCACTTGTGCAAGGGCTTGTGGTGCGGGTCGTCAGGGTCGTAGCGACCCGCTTTAATGCACAAAGCTCTGTGAATTTGGTATTGCAAGACGCTACCCACAAAGTACCTTGAAATTAAAAATGAAATCAATTTTATAGATAAGATAATAAAAAAAAATGTAATAAACTCTATAATAATTAATTTTTTAATTCATATAAATTTACCTGATGTAAGGTACATTGGCAGGAACGTGATATTTTGATCCAGGGTCAAAATCGATTTCTGATCGGAGCAACGGTGGCTTCACTCCTGAATATTTTTCTCTGTTTGCAATTTAAAATTAAAAAAAAAAAAAAAAATTAAAAGATATATGAAATTTTCAAACCTTAGTCGCCACCAGTGGCAGTTGTATCTGTCCTTTCCGATTGCACCACCCCCGAAAACGTCCCATCGCCAAGTATCCATGGTGAGCGCAAACGCCATAAAGGGCAGCTTGTCTAGCGCTTGCGAAAACAGAAAGTTTATGTCGTGCGCCAAATGGTCCACTGATCGAGTTAGCAGACCCAGCGACTGCAAATGTTCAGGCGTAGAAATCGACAGTCCTATCGCATCTCCAACTGCCTCATGAAACGCTTAAATTTGAGTTTAAATTTGAAAAGGCGTAACAAATAAAATATAATAATAAAACCTGGATTTGCGCCGTCCCTAAACACTTTTGGTAAATGGTTGTAATGCATGAAGTACTGGATGTGTGCCATCTCGTGATGCGCCGTCACAAGATCTTTCATATTCACATGAGCGCACATTTTTATTCTGAAAAAGAAAACGAGTATATTTATTTATAAATTATTGTCAAGCTTTAAGCATAATTTAACCTGTAATCTTTTCCGTTACAAAAGTCCCAAGCACTTGGTTGGCAAATCACGTGTCTGTCAGGCAGCTCCTCAAAAATTGACTTTTCCCAAAACTCGGGCGGCATCGGAGTCATATTCAGTGACAAGTAAAACTGTTCGGCGATTTTAAACATTGTTACTGGCGTATATCCCTAAAAGAAAATTAAATTATTATCAAATTATTTTTTTGCTTAATTATGAATTCTGTGAGTGAAATCACGCAATTTATAAATTTTTCAAACCTGGGCTTGCATTTCAGGTGTCACGTCGATGAAGTGTTTTCCAGGATATGGAATCGTAACGTCCAAAATATTTCCCCACGATTGGCCCCACATGTTTCCTGCAGAAAGTAAATTAACTTGTTTCGGAGCAAAAGTAATTCCTTCCATACCGAGAATATGTGCGGGGATGGGAGCCCTGCGGTGAATTTTCTCCGGTCCATAGTGATCGCGAAGTTTGCGCCTCACGTAGGTGTGCAGCTGCACATAAAGTGGCTTAATTTCATCCCAGGCGTCCTCAACGTCGAACCGGAAGGTGGGTGACTCGTACGGAAACATCCAATACTCCCCGGTGTCCGTGAAATCTGCAATTTATTTACACGTCTTAATTTTTCCTGAAAAACGCGCGATATCCTGTAGCAATAAAAACTAAGTAAGACCTCAATTTTGAGCTTTAAAAGCGTGAAACATATAATGATTAGTTTGAATTATCCAATTTATAGTAATAAATATCTAAAAATCATCGTAAATATTATTGAAGGGAGAGTATTTTGTTAAATAAAATTAAAAATTAAGCCAAATTCTCAATACCTACATTTTATTATGCCTTTAAATTAAAATTGTATCAATTTGAAAAATGGTATAATGAAAATTGAATAGGTTTCAATAATAAAATATTAATTTTCTATTTTGGTAATGACATAAGCATTTAAAATACAATCTAAAGTATTTTTAATTAGACAGATAATAATGATTATTATGCATATTAAATTTCTTGATATAGAAGACTGTCTTCATGCATGCTTGTTTTAATATTATTAAAAATAAAAACATGTTTTTTAATGGTTAAAAAAGCAGCAAAGAGATCAAATTGGCTTGTTGTATCATTAATTTAGAAAAGCATTTTAATTTCAAAATAAAATTAAATATTATGATAAAATTGTTAAAATAAAAATGATTAATGCTCTCCTACTGTTCATTTGAGCCGCTTGGTTGCTGACATGGGCCATTTGTTCAAAGAGGTCCCTAATTTTCTGGCCGGTCCGTCTGCGCCACTCGAACCATACGTACTGCAGCTCGTCCCAGTCTCGACTCCGCGCCATAATTAAAGTCAACTCTATATCATAAATAATAGCGTAATTAAATTAAAATACGTATTAAAAATCGGGTCGCGTGTGTGAAACGAAGGTGTTGCCGCGGAGAAAAAAAATAGCTGATGCGTTCGTTTGTATCATCAGTGAAATATTAGGCTTAATAAATTTCATTAAGCAGGATCATTACGAGAGTGGCAAAGGCTTCCTGCTCATTAAGGGCGTCTGTCCGCGGCGAGGGCGGAAAAGCGAGAAACCCGCCTACCAGGCGCGAAATAAATCATGAAAACGTTACCTGGCTCGAGGCGTAATCCACATTTGAAGGGGTCGTGGTGGGCGCAGATGGTGGCCGTGTTGTAAACCGCGAGCATGTCGTTGATCAGGTGGTGGTACTGTGAGAAAATAATCGTTAATACTAAAAACAAAACAAAAGCTTGTTTAGTGGGAAAAAACGCTCCAATATACATTTAAATTTTACAAAAGTATTTAACATTTTAAAAATTATTTTGCTGTATCAAGGAAAAAATTATTTTTAGAATTGCTTCAATATGTATAAAATTTATTGGATGTAATAAATTTTAATGTCTCAAATAACTCACAGTTACCAAGGTTAAAATTCACGAGTCAAAAAACGAGAGAACAGTTGCATAAAAAAATTACATAATGATAAACAATATAAATATACATTAACGTTTAATGAAAATAATAATAAATTGAAATTATATTTTCTTAAATTATTAATTTTGCGCCTTATATCAACATTTTATTTCAAACTTTTAACAAAAAAATATTTTAAATCTTTTTTTTATTAAAATTATTTGTCCCAACTAACCCTGTCAAGAAGATCTGGTGGGAGTGCGGCAGGTCCAACTGTTGCCAAGTGCTGTAGTTCGCGCCGGAACTTTCGGTCCTTTACATGCTCCAGTGGAATCTTATTGATCACTTCCCAAACTGCGTGTTGAAATCGCGCGTACTCCAACTGCTCTTGCAACTGCAAAATGCAAACACAGAGCTTCTGTCAAAACAATGTCAACAGCAGAAATTCAATGCGATTCCCACACTTCACGCAATTATACAAATTTAAAGAGCAAAAAAATCGGCGCAGAGTCCTTGAATAAATCATTGTCGTTTATTATAAATTGTAATTTTTCCGCTGAAGTGACGCAAATTTTTTTGTAACACTGCTGTTGTTACAAAGTCGCTTATTTTATACAACAATGAGAGTTTTTAGCACTGAAGAGAGCACAATAATTATAATTGTGTAACCTGAGACGTATTTTCTCACCATTGGTGTAAACTTGCCCTAGCAATATCCATCAATGATTATTAAACCATGTGGCAGGATGCTTCAATAAGTAGGACTAACTGATTATAACAATATTAATTCATTTTTTTTTTAATCTCAAGAGTTTAACATGAAATTTAACAACCCAGACAAATCTTATTATTTCCTTCTTAAGTGCGTGCTTTCTCTATATACTTTGAAGAATGAATTTCTCACGTCCCTGAGCAGCGCGCGACTCTTATGTGCGCTTATGGGCGGACAAGCAGAGCCTCTGAATAAACGCCACTTTTGTTATCTCGCCACAGACGCGCGACCTCCTTCACAAGCACCACGGTGCAATTTTCATTTCGCTTTCCTAGTTTTGTAATCGGCTGCGAACGTAAATTGAAATTTTGCTCCAGTTTGTGGGATGAAACTGTGGAGCGCCAAAAACATAATACGTCTAATCTACAAAAACAACACTGGATATTTAGTGGATCTTAATAATTGAAAATATCAAAACTTCAAAAATAACTTGCAGCTAAAACTTATCAAACGCTTCACAAGTTAAAAAAAAATTAAGAAAAATGTTCTGTATTTTTGTCAGTTATCAGGTATATTTAACAACAAAATTAATTGTGAAGAAATTTTGAAAATATTATTTTTATTATTTATTCATTATTTTTAAATTTCAATATTTTAAATTTAATGTTGTATACAATCCTAAACATTAAAGAAGCCAGTTAATTAAAAGGATCAATTTGACTTTTCAATGATAAGATATGCCTGTGCTTTTTTTTGTTTGCAATTAATGACAATGAATAGCATTCCAACTCGACTAGTCATATTTTCTTTTTGTCCAAGTTTAACTGTTTGTTCTTGTTTTTCCTAGAGCACGAGTAAGTGTGAATATGCAGAAAGAACGGTTTGTATTGATAATTTTCGGTCTTATCAGGAAAAGGGGAGCTCTACTTTCTCTGCTTCCTGTATTGGCGGTAGAGTTGTAAGCGCCCGCGCCGTTAAAGAAAAACATAAATTTAACTATCTTGGTCACTCAAAATGCGTCTAAAAAATTTTAATGTTGCTAGCAACGATTCATAAAAAAACGAGTGCATCTCCAATCGCAAATATTTAGAAAATTATTATTTCAATTATAAAAATTGCTTCTATGTAAATTTTAAATAATAAAAAGTTAGGAAAACTGGAATAGGTGTACCGTTGTTTTTATTATTTATGGCAAGATTATAAATTAATTTTGAAGAAGCAAGATGCTTATACCAGGATTTGTTTTTGTTGTTTTGAATGAAAACTAAATAGAAAATATCTATTTAAAAAATAATATAAACCGAAAAAATATAAAACTTACAGCAGAGAGTTGTGACACCTCGTTAACATCCGTCTCGTAATTCCACTGCGCGAGAACGTTGCTGGTGCACTGCTGAGTGCCGAGGTCGTCGATTTCCTGCAAAAGGGCGGGCACGTCGACGTTATTAAAGTGTGGCTTGCCCTTCGAGTCTTGTTCCTTGTCTTCCTGTAAGGGCTCGAGGCTCAGCTCGATTCTCCCCCGGTCAAAGTTTCCTCTTGATTGTGTTTCGTAAAGGGGTGGCAAGTCGAGCTGACCCGCGACGGTCGCCAGAATTGCTAGGAGCACCGTCAAGTGCTCAGGACGAGGCATGGTGCGCGACTGTCGAGTCTGGGCCCCGCCACCTGAACACCTCGGCAGGCGACTTGCGATAAGTCGCACGCTTGGAATTGCCTCTTTTCTGCTTAATTTTATACTTATGAGGTTTGTGGGAAGTATTTTATTATGCATCAAGGACGTGTTTGCAATAAAATTATTATTGGCTTCATTTTGAAAATAACGTAATGTGTATTAAAATTAAATTAAATTACCCAAATCTTCAGTAAAAAATTTTATTTAATGTTTGTGTCACGTTTTTTCCATGCAAAACAGTTATAATAAAATTTATTCAACATGCTAATAGAAAGTGAAAACTTAATCAAATCCATTCAAATTACGATTATTTTTCTATTTTAAGGAAAGCAGTAAGACAATCTGTGGTTCAGGCGTTCAAATCGCCATTGTGTGAATTATGGTGTGTGGCGCGGCACACGGCGCAGTTTTATCGATTTTCATCCCTCTGACTGAAATAATCCTTCACACTTCATAAAACTAACTGCGGCGTTCAACGCCAAGCCGATGAGTAAAATGTTCCCTGAGTGAGGCTGGCTGTATTGTTATGATGCTGCAAAAGAGATTTGCCCCGCCTGCAAACAGCACAAAAGCTAGGGAATAAAAAATATGCTACAAAGGAAAATAGAGCATTGTGGTAAAAATTTACCCAACTTATACAGAAAATAAATAATATTCATTATGATTTATCTTTTGATAATTGCACCAAATTGCATATTTTTGAAAACCTACCTTTTTTATTCTCAATTTCAAGACAATCAAGACTCTACAGGCCTTGCTATAGCTAAATTGGACAATAAGTTTTTTATTTTTCATTTTTAAAGTATGGGTTGAGCAATAAAAAATTGTCATCGAAATAGATCAACACCTGCGGAACAAATTGAAAGACAATAATACTCCAAAAGTACACAAAAGAGCAGCTATTGACTCTCCTTTTCAAGCTTGCACTTGAGTTGAAAATGACGACATTGATACAGCGCTCGTCGGCACATGGTGACACACGCCGAGAAATAAATAAAGGAGAACAATGCCCCGCGTTCATGTAACACCAACTTTATTTCTCACATTTTACTTTCCCTGCTTGTGGATGCCTGAAAATTCGGTCAATTATGACTAACTCTGGACTACTTTTTATGCACGCATTTTTTCCTCAGGAACGTGCGATAATGCGACTGCGGAACACAAAAGCGCTTTTCCCTAATAGGCGAACGTCGCTGTTTCAGGCAGAAAATGAAGCGGACCATTGTTTTACACAAATGAGAAGGAAACGCGTGTTGGCGAATTTGTGCGTGTGTTTTGCCGCTCGTCGTTATTGATGTCCAGGAATTCCTCGCCTTGCTTTCCCAGCATATTAAACCCCACAAAACAGCAAACTCAAAAACATTTATTATAAAATCATATTTTTACAGAGCAGGGAAAGTTTTTCTGTCGGATTTAAAATTTTCAGTATTCTGAACGAGAACTTTCAATTTAAAACCTTATTATTATTATATTATAAATGTACATAGCAATTAATTGTGTGCTGGAATTGCATCGAATGAATGAAATTTGATAATAAGTTTAGATAATTCATTCATATTTTAATGTATAAATTTAAAAATATATGAAAATGAAATTTCATTTTTATTATGAGGCTTATATAACCTTAATTCTGCAACTGGAGAAAAACTAGCGCAGCCCGGTTGACGTAAATGCACTGCGTGTTGCATACCTTTCATTATTATTGAATTTAATCAAGGAATTAAATAAATATGTAACTTGCACGTAATTAAATAGTTAATTAAGGTCTGGCAGACACAATTAACTGGAGCAAAAATTAGCTCACATCTCATGAATAATACTTAAATGCGGCTCTCGTCATCATCAGTGTTACTCAGAGAAAACTTTTGCATCTAAAATTTTCCCACGAAAATCCTTCTCACAACATAGGTGCTATTAAATAATAACGCACATTCCTGCTAATTAGACGCAACGACGTAGTGCGCAATTCTTTTACAAATTATATTATTAGACGCACTTCTTTTTCGACAGCCGGACGAAGCCTTGAAAAATGCGTGTTGTCTGGAAGGAGGAAGAGAATGTGACAACCAATTAGAACAGGACTTCCTCTGCTTTTGCTTGAAATATTAATCAAAATAAGTAATTTGATTTGAAGCACCTCAAGTCTAAGTCGCGGGGCACAAATTGGGAGTATGTACTTTTACCTACAGCAGCGCGTTGTTTTGCGCGAGAAAAGAGACCACGGACGCGGGGAAAGGATTTTAAAAGTCTGCGCGCCGTATATTAAGGAAAGAGGTGATTACATTACAAATCACCTCAACGGCAGAGCGCAAAGGGCTTCTCCGTTTTACACTGGATCAGATTACGCACCTCATAAAATCAGACTCTTAAATCTTTTTCTAACCCTTGCCCTTGTTGAAAGTCTTCGTCGGCTATTTAAAATATCTCTTTTCAATAATGATTTTCTCTCTACAGGGGGAGTTGTTTTAAAATCTTTACATTACTTAATTTTCAATTAAATGAGTCCATAATACGTTAAAATTATTAATTAGGATATAATATTAATCTTCAGCACTTACTAGTTTTCTTAATAAAATTTTGAATTTTATCATTGACCGTTAAGGAAAGGTTTCATCCGCTGAAAGCCTTTAATTTTCTTTGATTTCCGCATGCCTTCAAAACTCTCAGCCATATCAAATCTCTGTTATGCTCAGTTGCTTCAAACGAATTCTCTCCAGGTTCATCCTGTGTGCGGGGGTTAACACGCTCCTCTCACTCATGATGGGCATACTTTGCGGTGTAGTATGGTTTCTTTATCCGGTGACACCATAATTGACTTGTCTGCTCAAGTTGGAGGTAACAAATTTTGCAACATATTCGTTTACAACAGTTAACAAGACACATTTGAAGTTAATAATTGCTTTACCTGAGAGATGAAAATGGAACGAAAGAAAAAAAATGATGGTTTAAAAATAAATAAATAAAATTTGATAATTTTATTTGAATGTATGTATGATGTACCTGGGCAGTAATTGCCTTCTGATACAATCAATAAAGACACTTTGCAACTAAAAATAAAATGAAAACTATCGAGCATATTAAGAAATACATTTTCATTCAGATTACCGGGCCCCAATATAAAAAAGTAATTAATTACGTAAAATATGATCTTTATAATTATTAATGTAATAATTTTGTTAAAAAGCTGATTTAAAGCTATTTTTTTTTTAAATTTATACAAAATATTCAAGCACTATAATGCAAATGATATCTGAGCTTAATTTTTATCTCAAGTTTCCAAAACATCTTTAAAAAATCTTTTAACTTGAAAAAAAAAAAAATATTACCCTAAAGGAACATTTTTTTAGAAATAATATGTTGTGGCAATGATGGTATCCAGAAATTTTGAAAAAAAAATTATAATAGTTTGGATTAATTCACGCACTAACAAAAATCGCAGGTTTGAAAATAATTGCAATGTGGAATACACTGCTCATTTGCTGTTTTTGGTCATGGTTATGTTATGTATTTATCAAGCACAATTAGCAGCCACTGTGGCAGTGTAAGCGCCACCCCGTCGGTGCGCACGCCACCCCCGCAGTGGCTCCTCCCCTGGAAGCCTTGCGGCTCTCCGGCGGCGGAAGGTGAATCGCAGACTCTCTGCACAAAGACACATGGCCTCCGAGAGCAAAGAGCCGACCAAGCGGCCGTCGTCGCCGCGCCGCTTCTTCGCCAGAATCTATGGCGCCGACTCGCCGCCACCCCCGTCGGCCCCCGCGAGCCCACCGGCGGCGCCCGTGGCGCTGATGGTGGCGCCGTACCTGCACCGCGCGTTAGCCGCCGGCGCCGAGAGCGGCGCCTTCGCAGCCGGCTTCTCCGCCTTCCGTAAGTTTGCAGATTTTTTTAACACCCATTCAGCAGCCGCGGCGCCGCCGGGGGTGGAAAAGAAGAAAAGCGGATTGTCCGCTCGGGCGCGCCCGTCCTTTGTGCGCGGCTTAATTATTATGTGATACAAACAGTTGTCAAGTTATGGCGCCTGCGGCTGTTTTGTTCGCGCCAATAAATTTAACCAAGGGAATTACGATTTCCGCGCCGCGAAGCTGTTGATTTGATTATTTTGCACGGACCGATTCACGTTTTGTCCGCTCCTAATTGTGCAAGTCGCGCGCGCGGCGTGGGAGTGATTTCGAGTGCGCCAGAGACTTACGCACGTAGCGCGCGCCATTGAATAATGTGTACTTACGTGTGTTTCTTGCTCGAGTGGAACCGATTACATTATCATTTGCAAGCATTTACTGAGCGTATTGTTATTAGCAAATCGCATATGCAACCGCTTTGTCTTCTAGCTTTAAATTCTCTTCATTTATATGCATTATGATTCACATTTTCCGTTTTCAGCGTTTTCTGATTCAGTAATAAATAATAATGATGTAATTAATATACTGGGATGGATTTCATTTTTGCAAACTGTAAATTCAATTAAATTTGCTATATGATCGTTTTCATATCCATTATTTCTCTTAATTTTAAATTGTTGAACTTGTTATATGGATACAAAAAATGTAGTTAAGATAATATATATAGTTGTGGAATTGTTCTAACTTTATATAATCGCACGTTAAAATAAAAAGTTGCGAATGAATATGCAACTCTTACAAAGTCGCAAATTTAGGTTTTTCCCTTTCCCACTTTGTTTGTTAAGATTCTACATGTCTATATGGAAATTTTAAGTTAAGTGCAAATTTTAAAGAAAAAGATTAAACCAAGACAAACAACTGCACTATTGGTCCTTTGGGCCATATCTGTAATATAATATTAAGACAGCCACCGCTAAAAAAATTGCTCCAGAAATTCATTGTTTACAATTTTCCATTTTAAAAGAAAATGAAGCTTTCTTGAGAAGATTATATTGTTGTTATTTCACGCAGAAAATTTTTTTTTAAATTTGAAAGGAATACTGAAACCAACTTATTCAACTAAATCTACAAAATAATTATGTACTTTTTTATTTTTACTTAAAATTACGAATAAAAGACTAAATTTATAAACAATTTGGGCTAAAAGAATGCTCCATTTATTAGTCTTACTGGATAATTAGGCATATTATAAAATTTAACTTAACGTAAAACCGCCCTATATTAAAAAATATACTTTTCCTGTTTTGAACCAAAAACTAGGCACTGTACAATTGTTTACAATCAGAGCCAAACGAGCGTAATAATTTTTAGCAGACGAAGCGGAAAAATTTTACCGCCGCTCTCAATTATTTCCATTCTGACGGCAGTTTTCCATTGACGGCAGGCCGCGTATTTTGATCATGCTACCTGAGGCTCTGTCCCTCCGCACACCTCTTGTTTTTGCTGTTTCGCTCTGCTGCTCGCGGTCGCACTCTTATTTTTTCCTGTGGCGCACGTTTTTCTAATGATGACAGTGATGAATCTCGATAAACGCGCGCACGATTGCATTTCAACCCCCCGAAAGCTATTATCGGGGCAAAATCATCCCCGGAAGTGATCGCTTATTAACACTTTGCGTGTCTTCGTTTAATCAACGGATGAAAATGCGACGCAATAAAATAAGTTGCATGTGAACTGCTGATATTATTCGATTACAATTTTCAGTTACTTGTATTAATACTGAATCGTTTCCCTCTATAAAAATATATAATTTTTTTTAAATACAACTATAATTGAAAATTCGCCTAATTTTGATTGCAGTAGCACGACGGAGGCGCAAGGAAGGTCGAGGACCTCGTCGGCAAAGAACAACTTTCAGTTCCGAGCAGACTTTGCGTTTGGAACTCGAGTTCAGCAGGTCGGAGTACATCTCTCGATCCCGGAGATTTGAACTGGCGGAGAGACTCTCGCTCACAGAGACGCAGGTCAAAATTTGGTTTCAGAACCGACGGGCCAAGGACAAGAGAATCGAAAAGGCGCAGCTTGACCAGCACTACAGGTGTGATAAAAAATAAATTAATTATAAAGCAATTTAAATAAACTAAAATTTTTAAATATTAATTTTGTATTTAAATATACCTTTGAAATAATTATAAAGTGAACCATTGTTATAATATTTAAATATTTCCATTTTTTTCTTTCTTTTGTTATAGAAATTTGGCAATGGCCAGCGGATTAGTTTTCTGCCCACCGTACTGCACCCTTTGTCTTCACCCCCCAAACCCAGGATCACCCCTGCACGATAATCACAATAATAATAATAACTGCTCGGCCGTCTCCGCCTCATTATGAGAAAACGGTCTATAGTGTTCAAGCGCGCTCAAGATGTTCTCGGGGCAGTTGGAATGGAATAATTTTACTTAATGCCTCCAAATTTCAATTATTTGTAATAAGAATTTTTCAATTAAATGTGTAAGTAAATCTATTTCTCAGTTATTCAGAATTTTTTGCACTGGGAATTATGTTTTTATGAACAGCTCTTTATTTACTGATACTTGCTTGCATTTTTATATCTTTGTGCTTTTCACTGCCCCGATCAAGACGCTTGTGTCTTTTATTTATAATGAAAATCGCGATGGAAATCAAGAGAAATAAGGAATATTGTGCAGAGTATTGAGATGAGAGTAGCCGCAGCAGGCCGTTTTTAATCTCGCCTCGCTCACCCAAGCATGCCCGCATTAAGAAATGATTTCTTGACTATGCTCCCATCATTCCTTCAAGCCTGGCCGGCGCGGCTGCTGCTGCTGAGAAGTGGAGCATCTGCGCGGGCGGGGGTAGTTTGATATTAATTCACATGCAAGCGAGCGCCGTGGCCCACCCCCTCCCCCACTCTTTGATCGCGACGAGCTTGGTAGATTAAACCTGCGATATTTCATCTCTGACCCCGCCGCAAATTAAACTCAAAGAGAGAAAAAGTTGTATTGCAAAGTGAATCAGAGAAAAATGAATTCCCTTGCTCCAAAAATGTTATGTAATCTTGACCAAATCAAAGTTTCACTTACTTTTTCATCTTTTGCTTTCGGCCGACGTTCGTATTGAAAAGAATATAATAAAGTGGATACGTGAAATTGGCTCGGTGGTTGAACAAAGAGAGAAAGGAAGGCTGGGCGGCGAGGGAGAGTTTAGCCATATCGAGCAGCAGAATCTCATGTGAAATTCCACAGGTGCACCGGTAATCAAATAAAACACTCTTTGCGCACTTCATTAGCCAAGCAAACGAGCATTTTGTATGCTTCACGATCCTTAATCTGCGGCATATTTATTACAAAGCAATTACGCTCCAACGATGGCAGTGTATATCGTTTATTAATTGTTATCTACGGGGGTTCGATCTCTTTTGTACTTATACAAGCTCATTTATTAAATACCCCCTCTCTTATGTGCTGCACTCATTTTGTCATTCGAGTAATTATTAGTCATCTGCACCATCACCAGCTTGTGTTTACGTGTCTTATTTATTATAATTATTTATTAATGAGTAATTTATTAGCTCCCAATGTACATTGAAATTGATGTTGCATGTTGACAAACTAATAGTAATTAACTTAACTGTCACAAATACAACTGACAAACAATCAATAAAAATAATAATACTGCACTGCAGAAAAATAGAAGATCTTTGTTTTTTTTTTTTTACATTAAATGTATCTATTTATTAAAAAAATTCTTAAAAGATTGTGCCCGATTTTGTAAGCCCTTTTAAAAAAAACTATTTTATCAAATTTAATCAACAGATAAAATTAATAATTTAGCATTTTTTCACATTTTTGTCAATTTTACAATGACCTTTATTCTATAAATCACTCAATATATTAAAACCAGGTCATTAAATTTGGTCGCAAAAATGGTGAAAAAGTGATTAGCTGCGTGGATTAAAAATAATAATATACTGGAGTGCGTAGAAAGATTATAATTTGTCAACCATAAAGCAAATAAATATAAAAAAAAATCGTTTTTTTATCCTTCAAATCTTGTTGCATTTTACGAAAGAAATAAAACATAATTTTCTTCTATAAAACAGACACCAGCAAAATTGAATTGATTTGTAGCTTAGCAGTACAAACAATACCAGCACAACAGCGGCCGTCACCTCTTTGAACGCAATGTGCTCCTGATACATGCTATGCGCTGTTGGATCCAGCCATTGAGAAACGGCACGTGGCAGGCAGACTGAGATTGCGTAGAGGGGCGTCAATTTTATGATGGGATAGCAAAAAACTCTTATATCGATTTTCAAGCGCATTGTCAGTGGTCATCATATAAATATATATTAAGTGACTTTGCTTAAAAAGTTTAAAAACGGCATTTAAGATTTAAGTATAATAAAGCTGGGCATTACCGCTTATTGATCATAAAATAATTTAATTATAATAATCTTTTACTGAATCTCAAAATTTTTATTTAATAAAGAAATATGGTTGGCTTTTGTAGGACATTGAAACCAAATGAACGCTCAACATTTAAAATTTAGGTGTAATACGACAAAGACTTACTTTTATTCTCATTCATCCACAAGTTACATAAACACACTTCAGATCTTCGTTTGCTTGATCTTTCGGTGCAATTCTTCAAACTTCATGATTTTTCTGATGAAGAACTCACCATACCTGTGCGCAACCTTGGTGTCTGCAATGTGGATCATGTCATGGTCGATGTAAAAGTCAAGCTCTGATCCTGACTGGAACTGGCCCTCCAGTCCTGAGGCACCTTTGCTCCAAACGAGGTTCTTCATCTTGTGCTTGAAACACAACAGGTGGATGATCAGGTCCTCCGTTTCTTTGGGAATGTCGACTTTAGCGACGACACCTTCGCTGGCTCCTTCTGAGCGGGCCTGCTGGGCCATGAAAGAGGCCAGTTTGGACACAGGCAAGGTTGTGTACAGCTTCAAGTAGGAGCGAATGGTGGGCAGCATTTTCTGCTGACGCACTTCGTCCATGAAGACGTTGGTCTGGTGCTTCATGGCCTCCTTTACCGAATCCTCAGTCTCGGTGCTGCTTGAGCAGGGAGAGAGGAATTTGGGGCAGCCAAAGTTAAAGCACTGCTCAAACTCCTGCAGGTCACCATACTGCATCTTGTACATCTTCTCATGGTAGCCTTTCTCTCTCAGGGCTTGCTGGATGGACTCATCGACGCACATGGGGTGCAGCACCAGGCAGATGGCCAAAAGGGTGTACATCTGATCAGTTTGTTTGTTTATCTAGAAAATGAGATAGAAAGACTACAATTAGATAGAAATTCTTAGAATCAAATATAAAACTTGGAAAAAAAATTCAACACAGAACTTGACAAAAAATTATTCAAATTTAAAATTTCAATTTATCCTCTAGCTCTCTAATTTTCATTTTTCCAATTTCATTTTTTTTTTTGTATGACTTGAGTAGAATAAATAATAATAATAATTTGTGTGATTTGTCCTTGAATAAAAATGAAGAAAATTTAAAATTGAACTTGGTTTTTGGTTTATATACATTCTTGATTTTTTTTTTAAATATCAATCAAGTTTTTAAGTATTAATTTGTAGAGAAAAATGTAAAAAATTCTTATCAAATACCTGATCATTTTGGTATGATCGAGTCTGGAAGAGCTGCTTGGTGCGCTGAATGTACAGAAGGATTGAGCTGAAGGTCTGGATAGCATCAGCGTATCTCCTCATCATCATGTACGCAAATCCAACATAGTAAGAAGTTGTGATTTGACAAGCGGGTACATGCGAATACTAAAAATAAATTCATTTCTAGAGTCTCGTCTTAAAATCATGTCTCGACAAAAACAAACCTTCTTGTGGATTTCCATGTTTTCAAGCACCTTGATTGCTTGGTAATAGTCACCCAAGAGGGAGTGCAGCCTCAAAAGGCCGACCAGGCTGAAGTATCCCAGCATCTTGTAGAGCGAGTGGCGCCCGAAATCTCCAGCAACGGAGTCTGGGTCACCACCGCTGGCATAAACCTCCAGCTGCTTCTTAATGTTCGACTTGTCGACCAACGAGTGAAGAACGTTCAGGACGCAGAAAACATTCCACATCTTGTTCTGGTTAAGAGCCTCAACCTCTTCAGGGCTCCTCTTGCCACCTCGTGCTCTGGCAAAATAAATATTTGTTAATTTTGAGATAGAGATAAATTAAAATGATGTAATACCTAAATTGAGCAAAAGTTTGGAACTGGTAGACAAACTCATCCACGAGCTCCCACAACCAAAGGTCTGGCAACTCCAAGGTAACAGGCTGCTCTCCATTCAGGATGTAGTTGAAAAACTCGCAGTAGTTGTAAAAAGACTGCATCCGCTGTTCAAAGGTGGGACCACCAGGAATTCGGGCATAAATATGCCGGTAGTACAGCTCCTTGTACAGGATCAAGAAGACAGGGTCGTTGTCGACGAGAGGTGCAATATCAGCCTCTTCTGGCCAAGGTTTCTTGTCAAAGAATTGCTCGGTGAGTTTGGGAAACCTTTAGCGAAAAATGAAGGAGGATTAAAATTATGTGAATTTTCTCCTCTGATTTTTACAATGAAACATTGCTCGAGACTTACGAGTTTTCGTAATAATTTTGTATCTCGAAAATCATCCCTTCAGCGATAGCGTTTCTGAAGTAGGTGATGAACTTATTGACGACTTCAGGCACCTTGTAGGCGTACTGTCTGTCGTATTCCATGTCTAGGTGCGGATCTCCAGTATGTCCATCGTAGTCACCGCCGTAGCTGTAATCGTACCCCATGGGTTGCTGCAGGAAAAGAAACCATTTTAATGAGAAAAAGTTCGATTCAGTAAGGCTGCAGCGGTCTTACCGACTCCCCGTAATCCTCGGAATACATTTTAAGCCGCTATTTTCTTCAAAATTAAAAAAATATGGCCTGTAAACACGTGAAATTGGCCGGCCACGACAATGCGCCGGAAGTTTGAACTATCACACCATCTATCGCTGCTCTCGGAACTAAAATCTCACCATACGTTGTTTCGCAAAGAATGCGCCACCAGCGGCCGCTGGGAGAAGCTTTTGGTGAATTTCGCGAATCGCGGGGGGTGCGAGCGTTGAGGTAATAATCTACGGGGAGGGGTTGATCGACCGCAGCGCCGTGAGGTGGGCGTGTGCGCGAACTAATCATAAAGCCGTATGGCGGCGAGAGTGGAAAGTGTTTACACTGTTTACAGTGCGTACCTATGACTCCGTATTTATGGCTTCTCGACCGCTTTTCCTCTGCCTTTTGTGTACAATAGCAGCACTAGGCTCTGTCCAAGGTGAGTCACGGGTCCTCCGGTGCCCCTGCGCCCTTTCCCGGGCGTAACGCGCCCTTCCCCAGTTGACAGTCAGGGAGGCATGCTCGGGGTCACGAGTGTCCGCCGTTTCAGCGCCCGTTTCGCCGCGTTTACACGACAGTACGCTTCTTTTTAATCTCCATCACGTCAATAACTTAACATTTTAGTGTCCCACGGGCCAACCAAAGCCGAACGGTGTAAATATTCGCGAAAAACGCGCCCGCGGCGAACACCAGCAGCGTGTGACCGAGAGTCGCCTGCGTGCAAATTCGATTTGCGCCGCATTTGTTTGGGTCCCTGAGCGCCCCTGGCGGGCCTCGCCGAACTTGTCGGCCGTCATTATTCGGCCAGACCACTCGTGCCGATTCTTGATTTTGCATAACAGGGTGACAGGGTTTGCGTGTGTGGGGTGTGGGAGGGCGTCGACCCCCGTGCCAACCCACGGGGCGTGTTTTTGCGCGTGCGGGGGTGGCTGAGCCGGGGGCGGCTTTCAGCTTTCAGCCTCCTCGGGAAAACTAGGAGCGGCTGTGCAAGGTCAAGGACTGGCGTGCGGAATGCGCGGCCTCTTTCTTTATAATGTACCACCATCGTACTTGCATAAATATGAATATTAGGTTTTGCTAATTTGACACTCTTGATTGTCAAGCCGACCGAGAAATCCGAGGAATTAATTTCCTGGCTGAAATCGGTCTTCGTCAGGTCGGCCGGTGCGCGCCTGTTGACGCTCGTTCTCGGGGGGCCCACGGAGGGAGGCTAGAAGAGAACCTTTTTGTTACGTCTGGAGGTGGCCTGTTTTTGAGGTGTTACAAGGGCGGCCACTTGCCGGCCCTGGCGGCCTCTGGCCGCTTGTAGAGTGCGGAGAACGGAATAACACGTCCGGTCGGTTCGGGTTCCAAGATAATTCTGACCTTTATTACAGTGTTACCAACAGTACAATATATACAGTAGTCACCAACATAACATCTCCCGCCTAAGATAAAAACTCAATTATTTTATTTTAAGACAATTAAGAAGATGTCATACCATCAATCCATCAATCAATAATTCCAATTTGTGAGAATTAATGCACAAGAATTTGGTTTCAAAAATGCAATTTGAGAACTACTTTAAATTCACTCTTGAATTGGAACTACAAATTTTGCACTTTTGAAATTTACTAGAAATTTTGAATTTACTTTCAACTTTTGAATTTTCAAATTTGCTCTAAACTTTCTCAACTCAGAACTCTTAAAAATCCTTCTCAATCTCAAATATTCACTGAACTTATTTTCACCGAAAAATGTTCACGCAATCTGGATACGGCCTGAAATTCCAGTTGCTGCTTTTCTTCTTTTTCTCTCCTCCTCGTCTCAGGAATTTTCACCTCAGGCTCTTGTTCGCCTGGCACTTCTTAAACGACCCCTGAGGAGATCCCCTCAACTCAGGTCGAAGGCTCGAGGATGCGGTTGCACCCTCCGAGTCACTCACACGTTGGCCAGAGAAGGCGGCTGCCTCCTCCTGGCGTCTCTCTCGTACGAACGACAGCGCCACACGTCCTCTGTCTGGTGGCCGCTGGTTTTCCCTGGACTCAACTTGCCCTTCACTTTCCTCTTTCTTGCGCTCAGCAGACTCTGCACTTGAAGACAAGACTTGGCTCGTGGTCTCTCTCCACTCGAACTCACGATGACGAGCCCAAGTCCTCCTCCTTCCTCCTTTCCCTTCTGGCCCTTTTTCTTGAAGGTGACGAACACGGTGAGCTTCCCACCCTGGGAGAGCTCTTCACTGGGTCGCACTCTGACCCTTTTCGGCGACGCCCTTCTCTGACGCCCCGACACACACCGTCCTCTTCCCTTGTCCGAGGAACGGCTGTCACGCTTCGTACTTTGCGGCAGGTGACTCTGCTCACCCTTCTCTTGCCGCTGCGACTTTGCTCGCAAAAACACTCTGGGCCGCGGGTCTCTTGATCTCTGGCCAAACCGACTTTCACACTTGGCCGGCTGGCCGCCTCGACTTGAAAATGTCTGCTGACTCTCACCTCGTTTTTGGCTGATGTAACGCCCGGCTTTTCGCAGCCTCACGCGGAGAATTTCTTCTTGCCCGACTTTCCTCCCGCCGGAAACTCTTCGTTGGCTCCTTCGAGGTCTCTTTTGGTGCCGGACAGGTCCGCCTCCGGACACCAACCCAAGCCAATTTTGGGGAATCACCACACGCTGCACGTGGTCGCCGTTCTCGCACTTTTCTCGCTCCGCTCACCTCTTCCTCCTTCACCGAAATTAGTTTTTCCTCGTCGCCATTTGTTACGTCTGGAGGTGGCCTGTTTTTGAGGTGTTACAAGGGCGGCCACTTGCCGGCCCTGGCGGCCTCTGGCCGCTTGTAGAGTGCGGAGAACGGAATAACACGTCCGGTCGGTTCGGGTTCCAAGATAATTCTGACCTTTATTACAGTGTTACCAACAGTACAATATATACAGTAGTCACCAACATAACACTTTTCTAGGCCTTGGCCTCCCACTCCCGCCCTCCCCTCGACCAAAATGAAACCACCGAATAGGAGCGATGGACGAGCAAACACGTGCAAAACGAGATAAAAAAAAAACACAACAAAATCATAATGGATCAAACATAATGAACGTCTCGCGAATTATTTTCGCCGCCGGTTTCGCTCCCTCGCAGCACAGACGTCTTGCGAGCATTGTTTTGCTCGCGATTTTCGTCCGCCCTCTGCGGATTCGGCTGCATTTCTTCGTCTCCATCTATTCAACGAGCTTTTATTTATGTTCCGCACATTTGGCATGCGAAAAAAACGCACCGATTCACAACGTACCATGATATTCTGTCCAACTGGTGAACGGAACGGAAATTTGTGCTGAAATCTGATGCCCTCCTCTACAGATTCGATCGACACAAAAAAAAAGATGAAATTGGCAATTTGAATTTGTAAAAAAAAATTCGCCAATAATTCCGGTTTATTAGAGAGAATTCCGCTTAACTAAATTTACAAACAGATAATTGATTGTTTCAAATAACACGAGTGAATTATGGAATTTATTTGATCTCGGTAAAAATTTTCAAACATTATTTGCCAATATTTAATTCTTTTTTATTACTATGCCCTTTTTTATTTTTATGTTGATACTAATTAAAACTTTTGTTTTTGTTTTGTGGATGATGAAAAAGTCAGTAGAACCAGAAGGGCTATAAAAGGCATCCTACATCTTACTTAAAAAGTATTAAAACAGTGATTTTAGAAATGCTTTTAATTTTTAACACTACTAGATTAAAATTTTCTAGGTAATCAGTTTTAAGATTATAATTTTCAAGGAAATGAAATCAAAATGATATTTTTTTTCATAAAAAGTATGTTTGAAAATGCGGGTCAAATGTTGTTTTTAACTTTCAATGAAAGATTTTGAAGTCAAAATACCAAATTACACCTTGGTGTAAATTGGTAAATGTGGTGAAAAATATTTTGTGCAATTTCTCCTTAAATACGACAAGAAAAAAAATCTTTTAAATTAATTTAGCGCTACACAAATAAAGATATTGTTAAAAATTGCTTGCCGTTTAGAAAGGCTTTTCTCTCTTATTTTCCTTGTTAATTTGCTCCGCCGTTGTCGCCAGTAAAAATATATTATTGTTGCGAGTTTTCCTCAATTTGTAAAGGATTTAGAAGAGGAAATAAAATAATTGCCGTAATTGAAAAAAAAAACAACCGCCAATTTTCACGGAGAAGAAGTATTAGAAAAGGTCGGTGTTTGGCTCAGACGGCGTGTGCGAACGCTTGAATTTGATCCGCAATAAGCGCCCTTTATCCGTTGACCTTGAGTTTGTCTCTAACTGTTGCAAAATAATATTAGACGCCGAATAGGAAGGAGGATAGGCGTTCTCGCGAATCGCCGCCGCGCTCGCGTCGCGCGATAAAAACGTAAACTCGCGCCCAAACCTAGTCAATAAAACCGAAATGAACACATCAAGAAGCCGATTGTAAATCACGCGGGTCCCGCGCAACAAAGACCGCCCTTGTGGGCATCTCGGGATGGAAAATCCGCAGCGTCTCCCGTTTTGCCGAAATCCAAAACTCCTTCTCTCGTCCCGGCCAAGGACGAGATTTTTCGTTCGCTTCCCCAGCGAGAGCTGATTTTTATATATATATTTTTTTATATTCTCTCGCCTAGCTGGAGAGACTTGAGCGCTTGCGAAAATGATTTTTGACAACTCTCCTTTTCGGTCGCACTGGCCGTGACCTTGATCGGAAGCACGTGAAGATTATTCTGCCAGCCACGGCTAGCCAGCAGCAGATGCCTCAAAACCCTCTCTATCCGCGCAAAATAGCGACTCCTCTCGCGAATGCAAACAAAGCGGCCGCGTTTTCCTCAAGTCAGCGAGCGTTTCATGTTTTGGCGCCGAAAATTTATTAAAAAAAAAAAAAATTAATTTTCATTATTTGCCTCTTTGTGCATGTGTTTATTATTTTAATTCAAGCTTCGTGCAAACCCTTGCAGACAGGAAGTTGACTTTTTTTAATCACCCGCCGAATACGTCAGTAACTTAAACAATCACTCTAATTTTGTTCAGTAACATTCTGGAAAGGGCATTTCAGTTTGATAAGAGTGAATCGTCGGAATTCTTTTGGCCAAAGGCCTACGTGCTAAGAAACATGTTGAAGTTTATAATTTATTCTGCGATCATTTGGAGTCCAGAAGAAAGAGAAGATTCCACGAAAAATTCACAGTTATTTACATTGTCTGTTTCTATTTGCCTTATTTGCGATTTTTTTATATAATTTTTTATATACCAGAAAAAGCCTCTGCTGGTTTCTTAAGCATAGAAAAAAATTTGCATGCGAATTGTCTAATTGGAGGGATTAAAAATCACGGAGATAAAAATAGTTGTAAAGTTAAAAACTTGTGCTGAATATATATTTATTTCAATTATCATCTTTCTTATATAATTTGAAGTAACATTGTTTGAAAATGTCACTTTTTCTTTGTGTTAAAATCATTTATTTAAATTCTGTTTCCTTCAGAAGATTCCAATGAGATTCCAAATAAATTGAAATATTATTTTTAATCTTACTTGTTTATTAATACAAATAAATATTCACACAAAGCTTAAAATATTATGCAACACGCAGTACAAATTAATACAACACTTAGTCATAGAAATTATATTCAACCGATATTGTCATCTAAAACTAAACCTTAATCAAAGATCTTGTCGCAAATTTTTATTTTGTATTTTGTTTCTCTTGCCTACCTGTTTGACTTATAAATTTTTGTACAATTCATTAATGAAAATTGCTTGAAAAAAAAAAAATTTTGGGCGCTTTTTACTCATTTTTCCAAAGAACACAATAAAGTGGGAAAAGTTACAGCAATCGCGCATTGTATGCCGCGAGATTAAGAGAAAATGAGATTAATTTTGGCTGGCGTCGACAAGGGGAAAACAATTAGTAGCGCAGAGTGAGGAAAAGAAATAAAATCTCGACAAAGCACACGACACTGCTCCAGTTTCCGATTTTTCACGCGACTTCGTTCTCGGATTGAATAAAAACACACGAGTCGCGACGTTGCTCTCAGCTGTAATTACAACTTCAAGGCTCCAAATGCAAAAAAAAAAAAAACAACAACAGCAAAGATTGCATTGGTCGGCAGAGAGCACGTGTGCTGCAGCAGTAAACAAATGGATATTGGTTCGTCGCGAGGACAAAGTGCCTTTTTGAGCAGATTCGCCCGTGTTTTGCGTTTCTCGTGGCGCAGACAGCGCTCGAAACAATTATCGTTATTATTATTCGCCGCGTCTCTTCTCCTGCTTTGTCAGTTGACTCGAGCATCAAATGGTTATTCATTTCGCGAAGAGGCTCGCCCGGCATCAAAAAGTGCATTCACCACCACCAGCCAAACAACACTCGACTGCTTTCCCCTTTGCGAAAAGCATCCAGTGTGCGTTTTGTTTGCTCACAATCGAGGTGTTAAATTCGCTCTGCAGACAATAATGCGTGCACGACGCGCAACGCTCGCCATTCAATTTTATAAATAACAGGAAAAATCAATCAACGTCAATTTTTTTCCATTTCAGTTTATTTTTTTTAAGACAATTTAAATGAATTCGGCGAGACTAATCTGGTTCTGCAAATATCAGAGAAGGGCTGCAATTTTTTGCAGTCGTTTATTTTTGTAGCAAGTCTCGGTGAATTTTGAACGGTGGCCAAACAAGATCTTGATAGGGGAGCAAAATGTAATTTTAGAAACAATTGCATGCTCAAAATAGGATGTCATCAGAGCTAAACCTGAATTTAAACCCTTGTGTTTGTTCAAATTGAAAAATGAACTAAATTTAAAAATCAACATATGCTGTAGTTAAAAAAGGTACAAAAAAGTGATTTTTTTTTTATATGAACCATTAGGCTAAGTTTAAGCTCACTGCTCACTCTTATCAGATTGTTTCATGATAAGCAAAATTTGTCTTAAATTTTTTTATGTTTCCTTACGTCTTTTTGCAAACTTATTAAAAAATTAGCTTATCATTGTTAGTTTGCAAATTGTAATATTATCCATTTCACTTGTATTGGTTTGTCCCTAAACAAAACCTAATATATTAAGCGTCATGTTGTTTGAATGATGAAATTTATCAAGTCCTCCAATTTAAATTTCAAATGAAACCCTTTCAACATACTTTACTTTTCATCTATTGCTTTAATTTTATTTGTTGTTATTTTTCCTGGGCAATTCCTTTTTATTAAACCAAAAATGAACTCTTCATTATTGATTACACGAGCCATAGTTTTAGTTTCCAGAATCGGCAACTGATTTTTCATACTCCTCAGGAAAAAATTCAGTTCTTCAAAATTTAACATTACAGGAAATTGAGTTTATATTAATTAAAAATTTGATTTTGTGCCACGTTTCAAAATTTCATGTAGATAGCAATTTATTTTACCTTTTTGTGATGTATTTTTGTAATTATATAAACTGTATTTATTCAAATTATTATTGAAAGATGCTGATTTTTGTTGCTTGGCATTTTGTTTTTCTAAAAGTTTTTTCCTCCGGGCTGAAAATTGATAAGAATTTCCCCCATGAGCGTTTCGCTGTTGCGAGCGAGCCGAGCAAGAAGCGTTTTTCGTGCAGCACCAACGTTTTCCTGCTCGAGCCCCGCTCGCTCGCATTTCGTGGCTGCGCAATTTCGCGAAGCGGCGGCACACATTTATTCCGTATTAAGCAAGGGCTGCTTTGGCGGGTTGCATAAGCTGTGCTGAATGGCCGCGGCGGCCACGCCCCGGACCGGCCGGTCCGAGTTCGGGGCGCGTTTACTTGCCGCGATTTTGCTTCGGAATGACGCGCAATTTCGCGGCACCAACTCCGAATTCGGTTGTGTGGGCCGAATTGCCGAATCCGTCGGCCCGGGGGAGGGGGGCGGCGTGTTTGCCGTCGAGTATCGATTGGCGGCCTATCGATCCGCTCGGGGTAGTAGGGCCTGCGCGCTCGTCCCTACTACGCCCCAGCTTGTTTTGATTGACGCACGTGGCCCATAATCGGTGGCTCGACCGCACTGCAACAATCACAAATAAAATAATATTATGAAAACCCCGAGTGCGATTGCACTTTCACGTTTCCAGAAAAAGAAAACAATTATACGGGCTTCAACCTTTTTACCGGCGCAATTCAAGTCGTTCAACATTTTCCCCCCGTCTTGCATGCTACGCATTAAAAGCCCGAGTTGTGTGAAAAGTGCGCAATTTCCCCCTTCTCAAAAGAAAGGATTTATCTTTTCACAAGGAAGTTTTAAATGCGAATTTTTATCTAAAACTGTATGACCAAGTTCGTTAAAATTGGAATTAAAATTATTTTCCTTTTTTCCACCAATATACAATTTAATTTACTGCATAATAAAATCGACCATTTTTTTTTTAGTTTATTCATTATTGAATTTAATAAGAAGATTCCAAATTTCTATTATAAGTTTAAAAAAAAAAAATTTGTTTTTGTCTTACAGTTGCAGGGGTTGGCGTTGGTCTGGAGGTGACCAAAACGGTAAACGCCACCGAGGGCGATCCGCTGGTGCTGCCATGTGCACCTGCAGGTGGCAGTCCCGAGAGGACAGTCACCGTCAGCTGGATGGTCAATGGAAGCGTGGTGGTGCCCAACGACCGCGTCTCCATCCAGCCCAACGGATCACTTGCTTTCACGAGGGTAAGAAAAACAGAGAAATCCTCTTCTCATGCTAAATGTATCTAATTAGTCGAATGTTTCTTCAATAAAATATTGGAGCAAGAATATTGGTTAAAATAAGTGGTATAATAATGGAAAGCAAACAATTTTTATAAATTTTAAATGTTTGATTTATTTTTAATTCAAATTATATTTTATTTCTTCAATTGTCAACAAGAAATTTTTTAACTATTGTCCTAACTGCAAAAATCAATTTTATATATATTTATGTACTAACTTTGCTATTTAAGATGTTAAAGGAAAGTTTTAATGAAATTATTTTAACTCTTCATGCTTTGTAATTGCAGATTGTTCGTCAGCCCCCGCATAAGTCAGACCAGGGGCTCTACAAATGCCAGCTGAGAGATAGTGATGGCGCTTCACTGTATTCGCAAACCTTTTCCCTCATAATCAATGGTATGTGCTATCCTGTCTCTTCCACTTAAACTTTTTTTGAAAATGGCAAACTTGAAAAATTAAAATTAATTTGAATTCCTGCTTAGAATCAATTTAAAATGTGTGCCTATGAAATGAAGTAAAACTGAATCTTTTTAACTGCATAATATGGTCACTGTGATATCCTATCAAATGAAGTAGCCCCGTCTTTTTTGATGAGAAACTACGCAGTTCTTGCGCATTATGCGCCACTCTTGTGCACAACAGTATTGTATTGCGTTGGAAGCAAGGCCTAAAGGAGACTCGGTTGGTTTTCTTCAATTTCTTTATTGCTCAGCCTGAGATAGAGAAATAACATAGTGGTTGTTATCATGTGGAGTTGAAATAATAACAGCCTTTTTTGCGTCACGCTTGAGCTACTTTTTATTCTCCACGTGCTTTGTCAGCTACAAACAACACATCATGTAAGGGGAAGCAATTTGGTTTGTTTCTCGCATTTATTCCACTACTAAATTACAATAATTTCCGTCAGGCAATATGCAATCCAGAAATAATATCATTTTTATCCATCTCCAAAATAGAGGCTACTTGATATGAAAACGGCTCGATTAATAATTGCTCAATAAATTTCAAGGCGCATAAAAAATGTCATTTGTATTTTTATTGCAAAATTAATGCTGAATTGGTATTTTTTTTTAAACAATTGCAGGGGTTGATCTTGGTCTGGAGTTTGCTCGGCAGCCAGCCAAGACAGTTATCGCCTCCAAGGGCAAGCCACTGGTGCTGGCATGCGCCCCTGGAGGTAACAGTCCCGAGGGGACAGTCACAGTCAGCTGGCTGGTCAACGGAAGCCCATTAGAGCCCAACGAACGGGTCTTCATCCAGCCCAATGGATCACTTTCTTTTAAGGAGGTATGCGCACACAAAAGTAAAACTCCTGTTCTCAATTGAGAGTAAATTTTATGCAAAATTCAATATTAAATTTAAATAAAAGATATTATGGTTTTTTAACCAAGAGACATTTTTATTTATTATCTTAAAAAATATAGTTTAAAGTTTTGAGTAGATTTTTTTTTCTTAAAAACATCTGAAGATAATTATATTAAATTAAATTTGAAAATTTGGATTGCAGTAAATAATATATATATTTTTTTTAATTTCCTGGCTTTAATCCAATAACTGTTATTGAAATAAGTAAAGTGTGAATTCTTCTTTTTGCACAGAGTGTTCAGGAATCTGATCAAGGGTTGTACCAATGCAAGCTGACTGGCAGCGATGGCGCCTCCCTGCTCTCGCAAACCTCTTCCCTCAGAGTTGCAGGTGTGTATGTATATTGCATTGTGTGTAAATGTAAAACCACTCATCCCAGGTATGGGAGAACCTTTTTTGTTGTATCGCTATTTCCCCATCCCAGCTGATGTTCTTGCCGGGGAGCTCCTCAGGGCATTTGTTGGAATTCAATAACAAAGCTCTCAAAAGAGAGGCTACGTGCGCCTTCACTCAAACTGGTCTAGGATGAAACCAAGCGGCTAATGAGGAAAATGCGCAATTCACAGAAATCCAGTTCCCCAATAACAATCATGCAGCCACCCGTCAAACACATTATAAACTTTCTTTAGCAGAACCCTTCGCTCGGTTTTCCATGCCACTTGCTAGCCATTTCCGGCGCAGTTGAATTTTTTGCTAATCATTTTCCTTGTGTGCAGGGATGGCCGCCAAATTCACACAGTCTCCAAAGAACTTGAGCGTTGAAACGGGGGATTCCGCAAGACTGAGTTGCCACATTGAAGCGGTACCAACCCCTGTCGTGCTTTGGGAGAGGGGTGGAAAAACCTTACCTCAGGATCACAGGTAAGCTTTATGATTTTTTTCAATCTGAAATTAAAAAAAAAATCAATCAAATAACCTGCAATTTTTTTATATTAAATTTTTTATTTGACTCGCAATACCAATCTGCAATATTTCCTTTGCAGATACCAAGTGTTGCCCTCAGGAGTTCTCCTAATTGACACGGTGCAGGCCTCTGATGCAGGGTCGTACCGTTGCGTAGCTACCACCAAGAAGAACAAACGCGTCAGCACCGACGCCCATTTAGAGGTGGTGCCAGCCTCGAAAATTTTCAGACCTGTCGAGATACTGGCCGACTCAAATGTAGTAGACATTCAGGTGCATACGGGTGAAGCCTTGTTTTTGGAGTGCGGGGCTTCTGGCTACCCTGTGCCCTCGTTGCGCTGGAGCACACAACCTCCCGGCCAAGAGGAGCTTAGTTTAGAGATGGCACCAAGGCTCGGTACCAATGTCCTCTTGATTCAAAACATCTCTGTTCAGTACACTGGTGTCTACATTTGTAAAGCCACCAATGTGGACGCACAGAACAAAGAGCACTTTGCTCAAATTGTGAGTATTTGTAAAATTTTGTAATTCACAGTTTTATTTTTATTTATTTTTTGCAGAGGTACAATGTGTCGGTGCTGGTGGCACCTAGGATTAAGACGCCTCCTCAGAGTCTTATGTATCCTATTGCAAAGACTGTGAAATTTGAGTGTGAAATAGACGGAGTCCCAAAACCAAATGTTACATGGTACAAAAATGGAGAGCTCCTTCACATCAATGGCCGAATCAAGCAGAAGGTTTTGGCCCTTTACCTCAGCAACACGGTCAAAGAAGACTCGGGCATATACCAGGTACATTTTCCAATTGGTTGTTAATTTTGATTCTAATTTGATCACGACAGTGCCGTGGCTGGAACGAAGCTGGAGAAGTCTGGGCTGCGGCTCGGCTTATTGAACAAGTCGGCAAGCAGAAGACTAAGGCAAGTCATGTGACTGGCTTGACCTGCAGCAACATCACTACCTCCAGCATTTCGTTTACCTGGGATGCAGTACCTGGAAATGTCACAGCGTACACACTGCATTATTTCCCCACCAGTGAGTATTTTCAGTTAATATTTTCCGTCAAGGAACCAGATTACTATGAGATAAATAATAACTACTCATAGTATCAGTAATGCCCTTTTTTCCTGTTTAATTTAAATTTTGATAGGTCTTAATAATTTCCCTTATGTAATAACTAAGAAAAAAATGAGTGTGTAAACTGAAGTAAAAATGGGACTACTTTGAAATTTCAGATGGAGGAGATGAGCGGCAAGATGTGTCAATCGAAAACGCTTTCACTGTGCATCGGCTTGAGCCGTACACAAACTATACATTTTATGTGAGAGCCTACACAAAAAATTATGCTGGTGAACCCAGCAAAAACATCATTTGTAGGACAGGTGAAGGTCGACCCTCCGTTGCTCCTCAGATTATCATGCAGCCTATCAGCCCTACATCGGTCAAAGTGGCTTGGAAAAAACTCAAACCACACGAAGCAAGGGGCATCATAACAACCCACAAGGTCCAGTACAGAGTAGTAGGCACAAGAACGGCATGGTTTGATGAAGTACCTGCACATGTTTACAACTACACCATCAGAGGTTCGTAACTTTTGAAATTCTACAAATTGAGATTTAAAGTTTTTTGTTGTTTATTTAGACTTGACTCCTGGTGTGGGGTATGATGTGCGAGTACTGAGTGGGACCAAAGCTGGCTGGCCAGAGTTGAAAGCGGAACAGGACATATGGTGGTCAATCGAGATGCCCAATGCCAACGACACTGTTCCTCTTGCTCCAGAGGTCGAAGTAAAAGGGATCAACAAAGTGGCCATTAAAGCTAGTTGGACAATGAGCAGAAGGAATCGAATACAACCAAGCAAATACAGAATCACACTGTTGAAAAATGAGATTTTGTTTAAGGGGCCATTGGACGTTGACAGTTCAACAAGCAGTTATGTTTTTGACAATATAGGTACGTCCCGAGGACATATTACTTTGCTTTTCAAACTAATAAATAAAAAAATCAGATCCCCAAGACTCCCTCATGGTCCAAGTTCAAGCCCTTAATGAAGAGGGGGAGGCTGGCGGGTCAGGCTTTAAAGTTTTCCAGCCTGATCAACCTGAGGACAGCGAGGGGAGCCACCCTCCATGGTCTCTTGACGCAGCCGCCACAAGTCCTAATGCGATCAAACTCAGTTGGGAAGGCTCTTCAGATGGATTTTTCAGCATTAGCTGCCAATCACTTGCCTCAGAATCTGCCATTCTTATAAATAGGTTTGTACTTTTTATTAAAGTTTGATTCCATTCTAATTTTAAAAACAGTTCCAAGCACTCAGTGCTCATCTCGGACCTCAAACCTCACACTACCTACAAACTCTCAGTCAGGATGTTCGACAAAAACCTCAATCTTGGACCCTCCAGCCAAATAATAGAGTGCCAAACATTAGAAGATGGTAAAAAATAATAATAAAATTTTCAAATTTTCTCACTTACATGTTGTGCATGATTGTAGTTCCTGGCCCACCAGCAAACCTCATGTTCGCCCAGACAAACTTGACTGCTGGGAAAGTCTCGTGGTCACCTCCAGTGGAGTCAAATGGCCAGCTGCGCTCCTACAGAATCTACTATACCCTGGAGGAAAATGTTGGCAAGCCGTTGGATGAATGGCTCCAAGTTTCTGCCAACCAAACATTTGCCGAAATCACAGGTCTCACTCATAGCAGCTACCAGTTGACAGTAAAAGCCTCGACTCAGGTAAATTTAATATTTTTCAAAAGATATTTTGATCTGACCAATTCTTTACAGGCTGGTTATGGAAAAGCAGCAGACTTCATGCCGATTCGCTTGCTGAGCAATGAAATTTACTCATCCGACAAAACAACAAGCAACCCTACCTCACGATACACTATACTTCTTGCCATCTTGTGCGGCACAGCTGCGGTCTTGATCATCATTGGTTAGTCAAATTTACATTGATTTACTCCAAAATTCTTATCCTGAATGTTTCTTAGGAATGGTTGTCACCTTGCGATTGGCCAAGTCTTCAGTGCTGCGTAGTCCTAATCACGATTTACCTCAGACAAATGGCAATGGCATGCACCACACAGAAGGCATCGACATGATTGCCCTCAGTTCTTGCTCCAACATTCCCCCTGCCTCACCAGCCCACCTCGACACTAAGGTTTGTTGTAATGACTCATTCTAAATCTGTCACAAGTAAAGTTTTTTTTTTTTTTTTTTTTTTTTTTTTTTAAACTTTATCCTCATTTATGGTATAACTAAATTTAAAATATTTTCCCTGTTTCAGGGTTGGTATCCCACCCCAAAAGCTAATGGTGCTCATAGCAATGGCCGAGTACCAAACGGCATTTCAACCCCACTGCTAAACCAAGTGCACATCACAGAGAACCCCCAGGTAAATTGGTTTTACAATTGAAGTTGCCTTTTGGTAAGCTAATTTTACTTTAGTTCAATTCGCACGGAGATGGAAAGAATGCATGTCCGTCGTGCCCTGGGCCTGGCTGCAACTCTCGGGGCTGCCCGTCGTGTCAAGTGGAACCTCTGCTGGCGGCCGACGTGACTCAAGTTACGGTGCTAGCAGAAGATTAAGGTTTAGTTCTATTGTATAGATTTAAAGAGGAGAAGTTTAACACAACAAGTTATTCGAAAGAAGTGAACACGGGTAAACTACCTCACAGTCGGTACCTGATTCTGTAAATAATGAAGAATCTCGTTTTTTCCTTTCTGAAGTTAAACCGAGAAATGTGCATTTGGCTGAGTTGAGCTTTATTATTGCTCACGATGCATTTTTCAGTTATTATATTTTACTTGAATTCACAATGACGGCTAAAAACAGTTCGAGAAAAAGAAATCACGCAGCAATAACACTTCAGTATTTGTAAATACGTACAGCAAATTACAAGAGAAATTTAGGGCACGGTTCGAGAAAAATTGCAGAAAGTAAAGTAACTCTTTAATCTACCTCAAGTGCTACACTCAGGGACTCTTCTCTCCCAGTCGTGTCAAGTATTCCTTTTCATTAATTTATCCGGAGCAACACACAATAAGAAATTATTGTTTAGAACTTCCTTGCCGCCTGCCACTTTGACAAATCGGCGTTCGTTGTGAGGTTTTTAGAGTAATATCTGCCCAAGAAGTCATAATGCCGTCAAACACGACACACAAACAAACAACACAGGTTTTATCTGTTAATTTCAGAGTAGTTTTTAATAATTAACATTTTCAGATAAATCTTATTTTTTAATTTTTGTGGCATCATTACTTTGTAGGCGTAAGAGGAGGTCTTTAATCCACACACCTCATAATTTTGAAAATCCGTTGAATCATAAGTTAGGCTTTAAGAAAAGTGTTGCCCGCTGTCTGGACGGCTGCAGCAACAGTCACTAAGCTCGTAAATCGAGTCACCGATTTTAATTTCCAAACAGTTGAATTTTTCTCGTAAATATTCCAGGGATAATAATCGTCAATGGTTTTCCTTTGAAAACGTTGATTCAGTGTGTGCGTGTTGAAGTCGAAAAGTTCAACTTTCAGTGACTTTCCTTTACAAGCTTAGTGAATGGTTAATGGAAGTTTCAACGTAACAGTGGCATAGAAATAAAATGTAATAATATTCGATTAATGTTGGAAAAGCTAAAGTTATCACTATCTTGCCCAATATCTCTTAATGACGTTGCTAAGAATCTTTTTGGAAGAGAAATTATCGCTGATATCAGATTTGTTCTCTATTTTTTAAATTTCCATTGATTGGAAAACACCGTTCGGATGCCGCTGTTTCTCGTCTGATTGATTTTATAGTTCTATAGCGTTGCCGCATATTTTACTGTTTGTGCATTTTAATGTTGCTAATAGTTTATTTTTTTATTGTAAATCTTTTTTTGGAAGAAAACCATTTCTTTTTTTATATTTATTACGTACCTCAAAACTAGAAATTACTTCCATCCACAGGGATTTCATTGGCGAACAATCAGTTCGTCGCTATGGCAGTGTTTGTTTTAGTTGACTTTTTCCAATTAATTAGACAATTATGTGTGTGGCTTCTCTCAGCTCTTCTACTTGGTCATGTTTTTTCCCGTCTTGTCTCCTCTCTATTTTTCCTGTGCGTGTAAATATCACACTGTTTCGTATGTAGCAATTTAATCGTTTATGCTTTTTCAATGAACACAGTGTAATGTCACAGAAGGCCAAGTAAAGAAGACGCGGAGAATGGTTTTTTTACTCATCCAAACACAAGCAAGCAAGGCAAACAAACACATTTTTAAAATGACGAATATATAACTTTTACAAACTGCCATCAGAATAAAAATAGGTCGCAGACAGACGTTTATTTTTGTATTTTTAAATAATATTTAATACTTATTAGATGGAATAGGAGGAATGATTAATTATTGAAAAATGAAGTAAAAACAAACAAACAAACACACACAAAACAGTTACTGTTCTCGCGTCATCGCAAAAAAGAAAACTCGTTGATCGACCGATTTATATTGAGAAAATCTGCTTTGTATTTTGAGCCGCGTAGTGTCTGATTTGAATACAAACAGTACGCTGACTTTAGGGAAATGCTGGCAATTTCCCCCGACAAAACAAACAAATTAATACAAAAGGGGTGTCACTTTGCAAACAGTAAACCAGAAACATAGGTCCCTCCGGCCTAAGACAACGAACAAATTTTTTACTCAGCAGCTCACAACTCCCACCGCATTCCGCGAAAAAACAAACCCTTGCATTTTTCGAAACGTTCTCTGTCGGATGGCTTGGAAAAGTGAAACGGAAATTTCGAATGTTAAAATTGGAACCTGTATATTTTGATTTGTTGAAAAATATTTTTGTATATTTTATATAAATTGGACATTGTTGAAAATTTTTAAATAATATTCGTTTTGAAGAAATGAAAAATTTTCCAAGCTCTCCTCCTTGTATAACACATGCATAATTCCGCCAAGAATAAAGTTTGACGCAGCATCATTCCTACTGGCCAGATTTGATTAATTTACCATGAGACTTGTTAAATAATAGCATACTAAAATAAATTACAAAACCAGAAGGAATACACGCTAAGTAATTCAGAACGAGGGGTCGTGCGAAAGCCCTGAACGCTGGAGATGAAATGTTTTGTCTAACTCCTGAGGCGTTTCCCCCCTGAACTGGTTCGCCACCATCCGTGCCGCCCCGAAAACCAACCCTTGCTTGCAACTGCTCCGCACGCTTCTGTAGAAATTTTTTTGATTCACTCGCGCGCGGAGCGTGGGCTCAAGGGCGCGCGGAAAGTCGAACTACTCGCAGATGTGTACAATTTTTGCAAATTCGCGCGACCGCTCTCCCTTTTTTATTGATTACCTACATACACCTATATACTTGCATTTGACTGATTCACGTTTGTAAATTATACATAAAGAAATAATATGTAATGAAAATAATAAAAATCACACAACAGTCGCACTCTGCTTTGTCTTATTTCAACCAACCCTTTGATAATCATTTTGAATAGCAAAAATATTCACATAAATGTGTGCTCAATTTTTTGAATTTTTCATTGACTTGAAACCAATTCAAAAACGAAAATTTAATGAAGGAATTTTGAATCCGAAAATTATCAGCAATCATACTGTTTTATCATTTTTATTCCTAAAATCGTATTAAATTCATCATTTTCTTAAAATTTGTGAAATTTTAATCATAATTAATTTTTTGCATCTTTAAGAAAATCAGTTTTGCTCTATTTTAAATCTTCTGAGCTGCAAATAATTGCTAAAATATTTGTGAAAGGCAGAAGCACTTAGACTCTACAGTAATTTTGTTTAAAGGAATCATTTATATTTTAATTTAAAAATTGAAAAGTGAATGAATAATAATCAGCACCTGACAAAATTTTATAAAAGACGCTACGTAAAAATAAACATCTCTAGTAAAAAAAAATGCTTTTTATCTTTGACTTTGGCAAATATGTAGCTTATATATTCAAAATTTTAATTTCAAAAGAAGAAAATTATTTTCTTTTTCAAACAGAGATTTTCTCATGCTATATAAAATCTTGATAATTAGGTTCTTTATTGCCACACCCAGAGAACAATTCAGTTTTTTGAGTAAATTTTTTTCGCATGGCGTAAATTTGGGGTTGTCGCATTAACGTGCGTTGCTCTTTTCTCGCCGCGAGAGCTTTTTCTTGTGCAGCGAGCGCCTTAAATGGCGAAAACCTTGGGCCTCGCGGCCTCTCCACCGCTTTTCTCATCGACGCGGCCGCTCTCAAGAGACTGCATGCATTTCATTATTGTTGCAATTTTCATTCCATATCGGGCCAAATCAGATAATTGTGCGTTCAAAGGCTCAGCTCGCGGATCAAATGAAATAATAAATAAGCGTAGAGCACACTGTGCCGCCGATTAGCAGAACCAGCCTCGTAATTTATTTCACTGCGGGACAGTGAAAAAGTTAATCGCGGTTCTTTGCCAGATTGCAAGATTATTTGTTGTTGGGCAGTGATAATAATGAGTCTCTACAACTCATGCAAAATGCTACAAAATACACAATTATTCAATGATTTAAAAAAAATCTTCCTGCCTGATTTTGTTAAAAAGTTTGATTTTTTTTGGCTTGTTTTTATATTAAGCATTAAGAATTTGATTTGAGCGTCATTACATTTAAAAATGAAATTACAGGGGATACGTTTGGAGATTAAAAATAAAAATACACAATAAACGATAAAATATTGTTGTACACTATGCATGAGATTATCGGGGATTCTACAAACTTCAATATTTAGCCATCTTTAATGGAAAACGGCATTTAATTGAATATAAGCTAGCAAGCTAGTGCACTGAGAAAGAGTCAAGTATTCTGAGTGAAATGTTAATTAAAAGTGCAATAAGAATGTATTCTTAAGACTTTTAGAAAAATTAATTATGCTATGATTTATCAGTTTTTAAACAATGATTAAAAAAAAAATTACGTCTTTTTTGTTGAATTGTAAATTTAAATAGATTTAAAATAAAAACAATAGAACTTTTATAAAAGCTATAAAATACAGAGTTAAATTTAATAACACTTTACATTTTAAATCGTATATGTAAAAAAAAACCTGCAACAATTACCAATAATCCTTTAATTCCTTTAATTTTTTTTCACTGCCCTTTAAGCTTGGTTAGTTCTTGCAAGGATATTTTCCAAAGACGGCTGTTCGAAGTGGGCACTCGATAATTTATTGATGGATAGCCGCGTACGGCACGTAAATGGCCACATCTCGCGGAAAGCGAACTGATAGCCTTTCAGCCTTTGTTCGACTTTTATATTATTTATTTTCTGCGCACATACGTCCGTGAAATCAGAGCAGCAATTATTGATTGTCTCCGATTAATTATTGTCCTCAGAGTGTAATTGACGTCGCTAATGAGGGGCTATTATACCGTAATTAAGCGGAATGCTCGGCGGAGAAAAAAAATCATGATCCGCCTCTTACGAGGGAATTGAATTTTTAAAACGAAAGTCAAATAAATTAAAACGGATCAAGAAGAAAATGTATGGCTTTTTCTCTACTCGAATTGCAATTAAAACTGTCCAGAGCGTTTTCTTTAGCACCTGTGATCCAGGTTGTTAAGGAGGAGTTGGAGATGTTGCAGGGAGAGTCAACGTACCCTAAGAGATTATTTGCATCGAGATCAAGAGCATGGCGCGTCTTTTTTTTAAACAGGTTGAGGCACTGAAATGCACTCTCCGGCAAAGATTTATCCTACGGACCGAGCAGAAAAAGGAAAAGAAAAGCGGGACTTTGCAACTTCAACATTATTTCTTACGCCTTCATTGCGATTGCGACGTGAAAAAAAAAGAAACAGAAAGAGATACGGAGCCATAAATAGTTTTGAATGCAAAGAGTGAAATGTTTCAGCATTTATCTATTTAAAAGTAATTACATATATAATGTAAGGAATAAAGAAGTCAGTTATAAACAGAAAATGTTTTCGTCCATTGATCTCTTTCCATAAATCATAATTATGCGTGATTTAAATTCAATTATATTTTTTAATTATCTGGTTGGGTACCATCATAATGTCCTAAAGATAATGTCCTAATTTGAGGTTAAAGATAATTTCCTAACAGAAAATGTCCTAAAGAAAATATCCTAATTGATAATGTCCTAAAAGTTACGATCGCACATTCTCAGCCTACCACTATTTGATTTTGATATTTTTTATTTTTCTTGTTTACTTGTCCAAATTGTTAGATTGTTAATATGTTTTTACAGCATAACTTAAGACATGTTTATTTTATTTAAAATGTATTTTTTTATTGCTTTATTTGCTCTATTTTTAAAATTTGATTTTGTGCTCATTTAATGATTTTGTATAAGACAAATTAGTCAATTGACCGTTATTTACTTAAGAATGTGCAAATGAACTTCTTCATTATAAAACAATCTTCAAACCAACCAAATCCAGGAGAAATAAAAATTAGCAAAAATTATTGGAAATTGAGCTATTAAAAAAGCTAAATAAACGTAAGTTTAAAGGAGTACAAAAAAATTGCTTTTGATCCTCGAAGTTTTATATAGCATGAGTCATATTTTGAAGGGTGTCCATTTTTGCACCTTTCCTTTATGAGATGGACTTTATGAAGAGCCGTCTGGAATAAAGCAGCACTTGGCAAAGGCTCTCTCTCTCTCATAATCAAACTGTATATTATGCATGCGCCGGAGGAAAGGCGTCGAATCTCGATGCTCATGTCACTCTGTCGCGACCTGCCCGCCGAGACGGATGAGAGCTCAGGTACGAAAATACCTGAGGCATGCTTGGAATGATATTACACCTGAGCAAACACGAAGCGAGTCGCTGTTTACTCCACGTGTTTAATAAACGTCCCTGTTTTTTCTCACTAAAAATTTTCTGTTGCCGCCGTTTTTTTGCTCGGTCTCCTCTCTGCTCCGAATATGGCGCGAAGGGGTTCATTTCAGGGTGTGGCCCGCAACCTTTTTCAGAACTCGCTCCAGCGTTGAAATCTCCTTGCGGGCACTGCAAAGAGATGAACCCAACGAACGCCTCCGCTCGGAAAGTTCTTTCCTTCAACTTTTGCTCTCTGATGAGAGGAAAAGCGAATTTAGCGGCTTTTATGGTTGCGATCTGAAAGTATGCGCGCGGCAATCTTGGTCTCCATGTCCTGTTTCTCCTCAGTTGGAAAGAGCGGCATAGGATTTGCTTAAAGTCGTGCGCTGATCATGATCAGCTGAAATTTATGGTGAGAACAAGAGAAGCTTTTGTCTTCAGGCTCTATTAATTAAAATTAAGCTCATGACATAAGGGAATCGTTTTTCCCTCACTAAAACGGTGTTAACTAATTAAATTAATTAACTAAATATTGAACGAAGTTTGTTTCCAAATTCTTACTTGACATATATTATATGAAAACTACAATTTCATTCATATGACACGAATATGCAAAATTTGTCCGATTGATTTTTATTGCATTTTGCCCAAATTATTTTTAGTATAAAAATCTAGTTTTAATTTGTAAACAATATTTATAGTAATGATAGTTAAATATTTTTATTTTAATAAACTATACCAACTATACAACAAAATTTCAACCTTAAACATGCATTTTTTAAATTTTACAACTATTATTATTGTTATTATTTTTAAAATAAATTCTGTAACATTATTTGAGAAACAATATGTCATCAAATTTGTAAATTATAAATTACTACCATAAATATACGAATATTATTATTATTTTTTTTTCAATTTTGTTCTTTCAAAACTGATTATATTATTTCTGTCACAGTGACTGTTAAGTGTTAACAAAAATTTAAATTCTAAAATTTATGCTGCACCGACTGAATGTTAAATAATTTTGAATCTCAATTGGTTCAAGTAAAAATCGTAAAAATATCAAAACCAGTAGAATATATTGCATGTCTTCCAATCAACATGAATACATTAATGAAATTCCAATCCACTTTTCCTGGGCCAGGCCAGTGCCATTACTCCTAATTAACTAGTTGCGCGCCCGATTGCCGGTTGCTCGTGAATTTATTTATCTGGCTGGATTTATTAGCAAGAACACCTCGTTGGCACCGGCAGCGCTTGGCCCTCGTGCAGCTGCTTCCTTGGCGCTCTCGGTCTTATGCAATGCGGCACGCTCGCTGCTTCTTCCTCGTGGCCGTCAATCTAGGCCGTCGAGTGACCTTTCAAGGTCGGTGCCCACCTGTTCGTCTCGAGGGCTGCACTGGCGCCAGAAGTGTCGCCACCCCTGTCAAGTGGGGTGTCTATTTGAAGGGCTCGAGGCAAATGAGACTTTAATGATGTCCATGTTAAATTTTGAAATAGTTTTAGGAAAATTTTATGTCAAATAATTTGTTGGACTTTTACTTTGTGTTTAGAAAGGTCACTGGGAATGTTGATAATAATTAAGTGCGGCTGGTTGGTTAAGTCTCTCTCCTTTTATTTTGTGATTAATATTTACAAGTCACCGTCCTGCAGCTTAGTGATTAATAATCATAGAGTGTATGTTACAATAAACGTACATTGTATTTTTTTCGCTCACTCGATCACACACAAGTAGTATGGCGTTAATTTTAAAAAATATGATACAATTCTCATAGCAATGGTTCGACGGCGCGACGCTCGTCGGGAATGATCTTCTAAAATAAATTAGGCAGCTACAAAAATATTCACTTTCTATTAATTTTTCATTGAGCACCGTGTCCATTAACTTGCAACAACTGTTAATAAAATTTTCAGTGTTAGGGGAACAACTTTTTCGTATCTCTGCTTCCACAGGTGTGTCTCAAAAAATACTTCGGGGTGGGCCTCTGCTCTACTAGTCTAGGTATCAAAATGCTTATCACATGTTCGTTTCTGTCAATTCTATATTAACAAGCGAGGGATCAGCGTGAAAATCAACAAGGCGTCGAGGTTCTAGTCTTGCTTCAATTAATCATTCCTGACCAAATAGACTGTCAACTATAACATTAATCTAAATTCAGAAGCTCGTGATATTTTCAAATGTATATAAAATTTATTTTTATACTTAATTAGGCCAATGTGTTAGGTAATGGGGTCTAGGACCATACTACACTAAAAAATTTTGATAATTTTTTTGCTTGGAAAAACGATGCTTTCCAAAAAGGCTAATCAAAAATGGCTTTTAGTGCGCGCAAGACCTGTATTGTCCAATATCTAAAATCTAAGCATGAGGCACACCTTACAGCAGAAATCAACCACATTAAACCTGCGTTAATAGTTGGATTCGCGTGATTTTTCTATAAAAGGTCAGTAATTAAGGCTGAGAAAACCCAGGTGGCTGTCTTAATGGCAAATTTGCAGCTAATTACTTGCTTGCGGTGCGTTTTATTCTCGGCGAAACCGATCAGCAGCAGCAGCAGGCTCGTAAATTGCTCTGCGCGCGATTACCAAGAGAGTGAAATTGGAAAAAAAATAACCTCCAGCTGCAGACACTTACAGAATCCGTGTCACACTGCTGAGAGGTCTCTGAAGGCGAGTTGAGTTGATTTGGCTTGGAAATGCGTAATTGGATAACGCCCTCCTCGCGAGATGTTATCAAATCACCACCCTATTCAACAGGGCGTGAACGATTTTTTTAATCGTTTAAAACAAGATGCAACATTTGTCATCTGCTATCAGAAAGAAACGCCCGTCTGCAGCAAACAAAGGGTCATTTTGCAAAGGTTAACTTTGCATAAATGAATTGTACAAATTTGCTGATTGAATAAAGAAAATTCAATCAGAGGTAAACAACCTTTGAAGAACCCTAAGCTCAAAATCTGTTAGTTTTAAAAAGTGATTTTTTTATACAAATTAAATACATAATTTTCATAAAGAGCTATTATATGAAAAACAACCAAACTCCAAACCAACCTAAATCATGCAATAAAATTTAAAGAAATAATATAGTATAGGAATCTCGGTAACAGCTAACAGATTTTGAGCAAAACAATGTAAGGTTGTCAAATTCATTCACAACGACAGCCCCAGATTCACTTCTGCGCGTTAAAAAAAAAACAAGTTAATAAATTCACTCGCGTCGGAAAGTCTTAATTAATTAATTCAGAGGCAGCAAACGTCGTCGGGAGAGTTGCCCGGTTTGGCATTCTGCTTGTAAAAGGTAGGCACAGGAATCTTGGAGTCGCCGGACATCTTTCTCGGGGTCGGATGGGCCTCGACCTTGTGTTCGTACTGGCTGATGATCTCGCGCAGGTTTTGAATGAACGCCGCCTCGTCCTGCTCGGAGGAGGCGATGATCTGCTGCAGCAAAACCTGTTTGGCGGGCGAGCCGGGGGTGGAGGTCGGAGGCGGCGGTTGGGGGCGGCGCGAGTCTTTGGGCAGACTGCGGCGCGTGCTGTCTCTGGCGAAGGGCGACTGGAATGTGTCGGCGCCCAACGCGGGCCGCGACTTTGTGCTCCGGGGGCCGTTCCAGGTGTTGCCGCCGGCCGCCGGGGGCGGCGCACGGAGGCTGCGGGCGCTGCGGTAGCCCACGGCCGTGCGGGACAGGGGTGAGGCGGGGGCTGAATTTATTTTCGGGTCTGAAACTCCTGAGCCTGAGACGGAACGGCTGCGAGGCAGCGGCTGCGTTTTGGGGGTGGAAGGGGTGGGTTTGCGCACGCATGGACTTGCGCTGCGTCGCGTCACGTTGCGCAAACGCGATGGAGGCGACAGGTGATCGGAACAGTCGGAACCGTTGGATCGCTGTGAAATTGCTGATTCGGGCCGTTCTGTAACAAGGAGAAGAAATATTTTGAAAATTACAAATTTTAGGCACGTACGAAAATTTTAAAATTTGATTTATTATTTATTTATGTTTTCCTCTCATATTTTTATCAACATAATGAAAATGAAAACAGTTGTTTCAATATGATTTGTAATTGATAAAAATTCTTTTTTATTGCTTTTTTATGACTCAAGTAAAATAAACATTATTATGAAACTACAGAGAGTCTTAAACAATTGCAACTGAATCAAATTTTGGAGAATGTGTAAAAATCCAGTTTTGAAGCATTTATTACTTTTAAATTGCCCTCACGTGGAATATTATTACATTAAAAGGCAAATCAAATTCAATAAATCTACTGGTTCACCGCACTCAATCTGTCCCTTTGTCAACAATATTGTCACTCGCGGTCTCCAACATATTGTCTTTTTTTATTCAAAGGTCAAGATCCCAAGATAATCTCGGCAGCGCTTGTGGCCATAAAAAGCTAATCCGCAACGCGTGGAGTATCTCGTGCAAGACCATAAAGGTATAACGCGACAAATACAATGAATCATCCGCGTGCAGTGCGATTTCATGGCCGAATTGTCAATCTATTGACCTCTCTGTGGGTGAAACAGCAAGGCACATTTTATTATTTCACATTTTTCTCAGCTGCACGAAGACAGCGCGGAAACAATGAAGCGGCAGAACTTGGCGCAGACCGTGACATTGTTCGCGAAAAGAAAAAAGGGAAATAAAAACAAATCGGCGGCGGCAAACGCATTAGACCAGCATTTGTTGTGCGTTTGTCAAGGTGAGGAATGAGGAATTAATGAGAGTGCCAAATGGACGGTCAAGGGCGCGACCCAACTCGACTGCCCAAATAAGGCACCAGAGACCTTATACAAACTTTCCTTTTTCGCCGATATTGTTCGTCTCGAGAGCGCGCGCTCGGAACAAAATGAAATATTGTCGAGCGGCGCAGATTTTGCCGCGCGGAGAAAGGTTGAAAACCATTTTTGGCGCAATTCCAAATGTGTGACGGCGTCATTAAGCTAGTTTCAATACCACTGAGGCGTGTTAACACACGTTCCAATATGGCAAGATTACGAGAGTGCTAACCTTCTGCGAGAGATCTCGAAAATAACCCTGGGAAAATTTGTTTTCGCACTTTGTTTGCGCAAAACTGTCCTGCCTGCATTTGCACTTCGATTGAAGGCAATTTGGGAGAAAACAAAAGCACGTGTCACAACAAACAGTGCATCGAGCTTTTTTACGTTACGACTGCCCCACTTGTTTAAATTGCACGTTTTCGCGCGGTGGCAAAATAAGTCATTCCGCGATTTATAAATGTAATAATGACAGACGTGCCAAATAAAGGCTTGAGTGTCGTTTGACAAAAAGGCCATGATTGTGTTGTTTCATGTTGGCGTGAACTGCGACTCTCGATTGCACCAAGCAAAGTAAACACTTAATAAAACAAATAGCACTTCTTTATACGGTTGACAGTTTGGATTTGTGGAGCCGGGCAAATATTTGTTGCAACCGAAAGTCAACCGTGTCACCAACGAGGGCGACGGAGTTTTCGCGACGGCAAGTTACGAAATTGTTTGTGTACTTGCATAGAAGGCTAATTTTATTGAACAATATTTGCAATGGCTTCTGACAGACGTAAGGTAAATATTGGTGGGCTAGATATTGTGAAGAATAAACTTTGAATGATGTAAATATTGAATATTCTTAATTGGATAAAAGAAATAAGGATCCTTTTAAAATTTGTATGAATCCAATCTTCAATCACAGATCACACAATTAGAATTCAATAACAAGAAACAAATATTTAAAATCATTAAAAAAAAAAACAATTTCGGTATCAGGCAAATAACTCGAGAAAAAATTAACAGGGGAAATTTTAATACCATTAATTACGGTTTTCGTAAATGTTTTAATTTATTTTAAAATAAGATTAATATTTAAATTATTTTTTTCATTCTTATACACAATTTTAAGAGATAAATTTCTGTTGAACATAAATTTAATCATGATAGCGTTTTTCATATTGCATTTAAAATTCATGGGAAAAGTTTTTTGCCGCTGCATATTTATCTCTTACAGCAAGTTCAAAAAACTCATCTCTCTTGCAAAAGGAGTGAGAGCAGTTCATGAATTACATATGCGCGACTGCATGAAATATTTATGACGCCAAACCTATCATTACGCAGATTAGAAGGGCACAGCTTTTCGCAAGAGTGATACTCTTTTCGGACGCGCTGCAACCTTTTTGAACCTCAGTCCTTAAAATGCACATTGTCTCGTGTGGGCATTAAATATTCGTTTTGTGAGTCATTTGGACAAATCGCGCGCGCAATGAGCGTGTGAGAAAAGGCATTCCATCATTACACAAGTGATTCAGCAGGATTAAAGTTTACGGCCGGCGAGCGTCACAGACGGAAAGAATTATATGTGTGAAGAAAGGATGAGTCCGGAGCCACATCAGAGACGAGTCGCCGATTCCCATTATTTATTTGCCTTCATTAGCTCCGTTATTGTGGCGGATTAACGCAAAAAAGATGCAGTTCCAAGGCTCACAATCAGTTAGATTTTTTTGCGACTCACAGACGTTCAAATACGGATTTGGTCGCCAGCAGGATAAAGGCGCAGCAAATTTAATTATCACTGTGCAGCACGGGCTTTCATAATGCAAGTCTAACTAAAGTGATGGAACAAATTTTTTGCAACAGCATATCTGATCAACTTTATTATGTTTGGTTGCAAATAATAAAGCAGGAGATAAAAAAATGTATAATTTCTTGAAAATTTACAGTTCAAGTTCTAAATTTTTAATTTCAATTTTTTGAGGAACCCCTTTTTAAAATTTTAATAATTGCAGCTAGCTCCTGAGTAGTTTTCCGAATTAGATATAGTGTGAAAGCAGCAATAAAAATCTCAATTGTATGAAATAAAAAACAAATGTCCGCACAAGCTGTCTGATCTCAATAGCGAGATCAAAACAAAGTGAGTCACTCGCTCGCCTCCAAAACGTCGAACACACGTGAAAAATAATTGGCATCGCACAATAAAACGGTCTCAACATCAGCAGCGAGCCAATTAACTTGGCGCGTGTAATGAGATCTCTCTCTGTAATAATATGAAATGCGTTCGGCGCAGCCTTGATCCGAAAAACTGCGACATCGAAAGAGGGTAAAGAAAAAAAAATCAGAAAAAATTAAACTTCATATCGCTTTAAGTGGATTTAACCATAATTGCTATAAGTGAGACAGAAATGGGATGTGTTTAAAAGAGAGACAAATCACCCCTAATTTCATGGGACACAAAACGCAAATCACTTTATCTGTGGGACGGCTATAAAAACTCACAGGGAATAAAAGTTTAAATTTAAATAAAAAAATTTTAAATCAATTTTAAAAAGAAAGCAACAAAGGTGTCTTCTTTTTGAGAATTTGCCTCCTTTACACTATTCATATTTGATATAAAATCAAATTGCAAAATTGATACGTTTTTAGACCAACCAATATTTCTGTTTACTCAACATTTTTAATTTTGTAATATATTTATTCTTCCTTGAAAGTCTTGGATAGAAATTTAGCTTAATTTTGATCGAATATTGGGATATTTTCAATGAACAAATTTTGATTGGAAAGGTTGTTGAAACCCATTTGAAAAGTAAAGAGAGCAAGTGATGGTTACCTGTGGGCAGGTCGTCGTTGGGCACGGTGAGTTTGTGGCCCAGACTCCGGTAGCCCTCATCGCTGACCTCTGACCCCGAGTCGGAGTTGTTGGCGTTCTGCGGGGGTCGCGGCGACCTGGAGCGCGGCCGGTTGGAGCTTGCAGGTCGCGGCGAGCGGCTTCGGGGTCGAGCACGGGCGGGGGAGGCGGGAACGGAAATGGACGGCCGCAGGGTGGCTTCGGAGGTGCTGCCCTGGCTTGAGGTGCTCGAGCGGCGCGTGCGTGGCGGCGACGTTGGCACCCTGGAGAGCAAACGGACCAACAGGGACGGTTTGTTAGTGTGGTTGGACACTCTTCACACAGACATTTATTTATGCATACCCAGCATTTTGAAAATCAAATTGTCAATTTCCATGCAGCACGAGCAAAGGTTAATTGGATAAAATTAAAAATTTGTTAAAAATCTCAAAAACACAAAATGAAAAAAAAATGATACTCTCTAAAAGAAGAGGATAGAAGTGTCATAAAAAAATTCAATACAAATAAATATTCTCTGCAAAAATAAATAGTTTTCCAATTTGAAATTTGAATGGTTAAAAATAGAGATTTTGAACGCCTCTGAAATGTGAAATTTGAAAATGATCATCCCAGAGGTTAGTAAACATTAGAAAATTTGGAGAAAAGTGCCATTGTTGCCAAAAGCGTTTTAAATTCATTACAGGACAGAGTTTTTATGTTAATAAAAAAAAATGAATTAAGTAAGGTAAAATTAATGTTTGCTGATTTTTTCCTATTCGAATTTCAATTAAGGAAACTCTTTTATTTTCTATTTCATAATAAAAAGGATAATTACGAAAGCTTTATTCTATAATTTTAACTCTACCACAAGTTATAATTATATGCAAATGAAACATCAGGAACAGACATTCCTTACATTACATGAACACAATAATTTTCAATTTAATTCTTAGAAGAAGCTACATTTAATCAAATTAAAAGTTCATGACACGAGGAAGATTCTCTGAAACATTTCTAAGCCGTGCTTGTATAAAAGTTTCTTTCTATAACACGTTATTATATGTCGCGAGCACACAGAGAGTATCAAGTTTCTTACCAGAATCCGTGCAGCGGTCTGGGTGAATAATGAGATTCGAATCATGTCGAGAGTCATAGTGTAATGAGATATAGTAAATAGCGTGATGTAAATAATAAGCAAATAAATGAGCAACTCACCGGTCGTAATGCACCTGAGCCGTGTTCAGATCCACATTGTTGCCGGACTTGGTGACCAGACGAGAGGAGAGCAGGGTGCGGTGGCCTGAGGAAAGAGAAAAACAAAAACCGTATCAGTCGCTGCGATCGACGCAAAATGTAATTCGAGAAATAAAAATAAACGAGTTGCTCCGGAATTGTATATAAAATTAAATGTATATGCATGAGAGGATAAAAAACTGCTGCAGGCCAACCCGTCTTTATGTACTTGTAATGCTGAATGGGATTTTATTTTGAGCGGTGCATTTATGCAAACGAGGAAATCGCGTTAAAAATATACACACCATCTTGTTTCTCTGTGCGAGAGATCGAGATCATCCACCGACGTAATACAACTTGTTCAAGATGAAACTCACTTTTCGTCTCTCGGAAAACACAGCAGCTGTTGTGTATGTGATTATTATTTAATGCCCCATTATAATTGGCGCGGATTTGCATAAATCGTGATAAAAACAACTTTTTCAACAGGTACCCTCTTCACAGTACGCCCTTGAAAGCCACTTGCACTCTTTTTTGCTTCATTGGCGGCGCAGACAAACTCCAAAGGAGCCGCGCGACCGCGGCACAAAAGAGGCTTTGAATTTGCGGGAGGATCCTTTCGCACGCGGGGGGATAAATTTCAGCCGCAGGAAAGAAGGGTTCGGCACAAGTGCGAAACACTCGCATCTTCGTCCATTCATAAAGCACTTAACATTTTTTGCGCGGCATAATTACTATGGGTATGCAGCAACTGGTTGGAGGCTGCGTACAGGTTTCTGTTTCGCGGAAATTTGATTCACAGAATTAAAAGTCATAAGAAGTGTTTTCCGAGCAATAACTTTCGTTCAATTTGAGTGAAGGTACGCTTCAAGTTAAATGCAAAAGGAATAAATTTTATAATCATCATACCGACTTTACCCAGCAAAATGTTAATGTATGAGTTTGCATTTCTTTATTTGCTGGAATTTAAAAAGTTAAATAATGTTATTTTATTTGAAAAGTAAAGAAACAATATTTTACTTCGGAAGAAAAAGCCCGAGTTCTTTACTACCATGATAATCTCAAATGTGAAACAAATATTTTATTTGTTAATTTTAAGATCATTGAAGATGTGATTTCAAGTCAATTTTATCAAGTTAATTGAATCGGGCAGTTTTTGAGATTTGCTTTTAAGAAAAATCTTTATGGAAGTTAAGTGGGGGTAGAATACTTATTATTTGAGAATATTTATGAGTGAAATTCAATAAAGTATAAAATTTGATGCTAAAAAGTTACGATGAGAGAAACAAAGCATACAACTTTCATCCGCCCCTCAAATTTATCTCCACGATACGGTTAAATTCGGCACCACGTGGGCAAAACAAATTACACACCGCACGAGTCTGTGTTGAATAAAATAAGTCCCATTTCGCTTTCGAGATTCCCACACAGCTCTCGGACGAATTCATTCTCTGCTTTCCATCTGATAGGAAGATGCGAGTGGAAATTTACATTTAAATGTGCCGCTTTTATTACGTAAATCGAGAGACGTGTTTGTTTGGCCTGTTGCATAAATTTATTGTGCCGGACTCACCTGCCCTGCACCTGCACGGGTCGTGTTTGTCGAGGTAATGAGAAAGTGTGTCCCAGCCGCCACCCACGCGCACCATTACGTGCTTGCGCAAAATCTGTAACAGAAACAATAATTCCGATTTATGGTGGGTTAAAATTATAACACATAAAATTCCAGAGAATTAATGAAACAAAGTAGCATATTTATCAAATTCTGCTTCTTTTGAAAACAATTTAGAATTTTTATTATTATAATTATGCTAATAATATTCAAAGAAAAAATTCTAGAGGTATCTTTAGAATATGTTTCATTAACAAGCAGTTGAAACGCGGAAATAATAAATATTTTATTGATTAAACTAACTAACCAAAATAAATATTTTTAAGAAAATATTTAAAAAAATTGAATTTTTAAAATAAATAATTTAAATAAAAACTAAAAAATCTTAAACATAATAAATAATATAAAATTTATTTTTAATTATCCCTGTAGAAATATTTAAAATCGAAATTATTTATAGTTTATTTCTTGCAGCTTCAAACAATTTCTATTGAACTGGAATACTTCATATTTTAAATAAATTTAAAATAAAATGATACTAACTCTGACAAAGATGAGCACTTTGGTGTCGCCGATGCGGTACTTGCCCTCGGAGACCCTGATCATGGGGAACTGCGTAGGACAGGTACATCTCTCCACCAAATCACGTACCTGCAAAGAGTGGTCGAGCAAAAGGGTGAGTCAGTCTGTTTAAAAAAGGACTGGTTCTCCAGCAAGGTCAGACAAGGTATTTATGTACAAGAAACAAGAATCACATACAAAAATAAAGCAGCGCGCGCCGCCGCCGCCGCGTTTCTGTGCTCGCGCGCGGATCTCACATAAAGGAGCAGAAAATAATAATAAAAGAGCAGTTCTGCAATTTATCTCGAAAAGTAAGAAGTATCTAAACGCTGCGCTGCCGGGATAACAACGATGCCGTGTTATAAATTTATTGTTTGTTTATTTATGGACGGTGGCGCGGCACAAAACAGGTATCAAGCGCAGTTGGAGACAAAAAGAAAAGTGAAAAATTACACGCGTCGCGACACATGGGTTGCAATCATGAAAATATACAATTAATATGAAATGAATACAATAAATAATATAATTTTGGTACGTCGTATTTTTTGTTTAGAGAAAGGAAAGGTCAAATCAATGTATTGTTGCATTTAATTAAAAAATTATCACAAATTTATTTCAGATTCAATATTATAAAGGGCTGAAACCCAATACTTGACATAATTAATTTTCGCTTCAGTAAACAAAATGAAAAAGTGAAATTTTAAAATAATTCTGTTATAAATAAACATTGATTAAAAAAATTATAGCTTAAAATTTTTAACAAATTGAGATCACGACGAAATTTAATAATAAAATTTAGTTCAACTTATTAAAGAAACAAAACATGAGTGACATATTATGAAAATTGTGACCGGCCTCTTTTATCTTGAATGTCTTTAACATGTTATTGTCAGCGAGTTTAAGCTTTTTAAGCTAATCTTGAAGTCACTCATCATTTACTTAACTCGCTGTCAACAGATATACTATTTTATTATTTTTGCTTCTCTAGCATTAATTTGCTAATGCGCTTCTCTGGGACCGAAATGACTAATGACGCAATTTTTATAGAATTAAGATAGCAGAAAGATTAGCTGCTGAAATAATGACAAGGCCGTTGTATGGCGACGACTCGTCGGCTGTGTGAAATACTTGAGGTGGAAATTATTTTCATCCGCGCGCGGTGCAATAAAGTTAAAAGAGCGGGCTGTTGAAATTTTCGCAGGAAAATATTTGTGCTGCTCTGACAGAGATAAAAAGAATTTTTATGGGTGGCGCGGCGAAAATGAATCAACCTGACGTGAAATTCGCGGAAAATGTGCCTGAGTGCGCGCCGCAAAAAAATTATAAATTAATCACTCTCAGCCGTGTGCTAAAAGTTGGAAAGATTTCCTGCGAATCTTGATTGTGGGCATTAATTTTTAGAGTGTCACGACCCCACACGACCAACTTGGAAGAAGACACAAGAATTCATACTCAATTTCTATAACTCGATTAAATTAAATTATAAATTATAAATTAATCACTCTCAGCCGTGTGCTAAAAGTTGGAAAGATTTCCTGCGAATCTTGATTGTGGGCATTAATTTTTAGAGTGTCACGACCCCACACGACCAACTTGGAAGAAGACACAAGAATTCATACTCAATTTCTATAACTCGATTAAATTAAATTATAAATAAATTAAAAACATTGATGAAAGGAACATTGGAAGAGACAAATTGGGATGGTAATACGTTTTCAAGTTACCAATAATTATTGTTAAGGGATGGTGTGTTAAATTTAAAATAAACAAAGATTTGTTTACTTTTCTATCTAATATGATAACCAGAGGACAAATTAGGCCAAAGAAAATTAAATAATGTGACTTTGTTTGAAAACAACCTAATTTAAATTATTATCGATTATTATAAAAATGATAAAATAAACAACAAAAGTTTATTATTAATAATTAAAAATAAAACTTGAATGTACGTTTTATTTAATCAAAAACTACACGAAATGTCAAAATTCAGTCTAGCCAAGCAATTTGCAAAATTTAAATACTAATGTAAACAAGTTTTTAAAAAAAATCAAAACACCATATCAACTTTGAAACAAATTGAAAAAACGCGGAAGAGTTTGTTAATGGCTTAACTTGACGTCAGTCTACTTTCGGCGAACAAAAATTAGCATATTAATCAAAATACCAACGCGACAGGTGGCAAAGCGGCAGTTATAAAAAAAAATTAGCTCCATAATCCGGCACGATTTGGAGAAAACCGCCTCAAGCTGCATGAGTTTATGGTTTAAGGAGCACCGCTTCATTTATGAAATTAGATTTGGCCAAGTCTGGGAAGTTTTTGACGCGCCAATTATTATAATAATTTTTCTGCGTCGAGACGCAGTACGCAGGACGATAAATATTAATCGTGTCTCGATTTTGCGTAAGGCGCTGAGCGTTGAGATCAAATCTGAGCAGGAATAGTCAAGGTCGGCGCTCTTTAATATAAATATTGCCATGTACGATCAATTAGCCAAGGACGACGGGATTGAGAGAAAGATCGGTTTTGCGAGTAGCCAGACGTCTTTCTTTTTGCGCGACAAACCGGCGGCTGAACATAATTTTTTTTGCAAACTGATCGCCTAATCGAAAAATGCAGGAAGTGAATTTTAAAATTTTAGCACGAGTGCCCTGCCTTCTAATGCTGCATCAAGTGGTGAGGTTAATGAAGTTGTGCATTAAATTGAAAAGGTCGTGCGGCACGTGCTTTTGTTCAGCTGCGGACTAACGTCATTACATGCACGGTTGTAATTACCAATTACCCAACAGCGTGCGTTAATTATAATTGCGTTAAATTGGAGAACGTCGGCTATTTTAATACGCCACAAGAAGTGTTATTTTTACTGTGCACATAGCGTAGAATTTGCATTTTACTGCAAGTAATGAACATAATAAAGTTGTGTATTTTATAATAAAAGCAGCCTCTTTTACATTAAATTTGATTTACAGCATGCATCACAAGTCAGGTGTATTAATTTCACTTTTAATACAATTATATAAAAATATAAATATATATTTTTGTTGCTACACATTAAATAATAATTATAAAAAACATTATCTTATTTTTAGCTTTTAAATTTTTGTTTATTTTAACAAAATTGATTGATATTTAAAATCAAATTTTACAGTGGCATGCTTTTTGAATATAATATAAAAAATCCTTAAAAGCTTATTTACTACAACCCTTTCAAAATTATTAAATACATTCTGGACATCAAAATAAAGTATAGATTAATATTGAAAATAACTTTACATAACCTTGTAGAGTCTCTTTCCTTTTTTTTGTGCACAGTAAATATCAGATAATTTAAATGAATAAATGCTGTACTTTCCACAACTTAAAAGTTACAAAATTTATTAAGAAGATGATTTATGAAAACGCTTACATGTTAATAATATTTTCTGATGCGCTTCTTATTAGGTGGTAGGCTAAATGTATAAAAAAATTATAATAACAAAATAAACCCTGATTTCCAAGGTCTTAAGTGAAATTTGATAAATTGGAGAAAATTTTTGTTGCATGCCAAATATAGCAAATAAGTCTTGAACTTGAAGGTTAAAAACAACAATCTATTTAGTTCTGGGGAAAAAATGATGAAAGGAATTACTTTTATTAATTTAGGATATTGAATAAAATTTAAAATTATACGGAGCTGTAGAGGAACTTTTCCCCTCTATATTTATGTAATTTTTGTTGTTATTGAATGTGTAAAAAAAAAACATATTTACAGATCATGCCTTGCGCATGCCATTGCCAAATTAATCTTTTTGGCTTCTCCGCGTGTAGAGGGTGAAAAGCTTGCCGCTGTGGGAAATAAATATAGAACTTCCGAGAGCCAATCAAATTTATTTTTTGGCTCGGAAAGCGGTGGCAATCAAAGGCAATAAAATTTGCAGCCCCGCACGTCCAAATGGAAGAGGAAAAGCAGGTGAATTTTCCGGCTGGGCATGAGTCATTGCGGAAAAGTGCCGCATTGCGGGGCTCACACTCGACCGCTCCGTGCAAACAAAGCCAAGAGGAGAAATCAATGAAAATGTATATTATACATACATACTGGGAGGTATATTATTATAATGATCTGATCGGCGCGCAGTCGGCCAAGGTTAATCGCTCATTACAAGAGTGCGGCGCCGCTTCCTGCTCCTAAGTTTCGCTTTCAGCGAAAATCAGAGCCTCGTAAATTATATCTCCTTTAAATAACGCGCAGCATCAAATGTGTTGGATTGGAGGTTTTATTGCAAGGCGGTCGAATTATACAATTTGCAACAGAGTCCAATAAATGTGCCGACAAACGCTAATTATTTTATGGTGTACACATTTATTTTTTCTGATGTGATGAGTTTAGTGAGCGAGCATAAAAGAATGTCTTGTTTTTGCAAAATTGCGAAAAAGATAATGGTAATGGGGGTCACTGAAGGACTTCTTCGGAAATTTTATTTTATTGAGCACAGTTAAAACAACAGTAAAATTACAAAACAATTTTTTGATGCAAGAAGATTTGGCGAATCTTTTTTTTTTTAGCATTCATTTACAACATAGAAAAATGTGTTTTTCTTTAAAAGTTTCCACGGGAAAATGTTGGTGTTTTTGAGTTAATTTTAAAATCGGTTTATTCCAACTTATTATTTAGGTTGGTACAACTCCAAGCACAATATAATATTTCCCAATGGTACATTAGTAAATTCATAATTAGCGGCTGGATTTGTGAGTAAATAAAAATATGAAAGAGGTAAATTAAAAAAGAATTACTAAATGGAGGCAAAAACTGTCAAATATATCAAATATATATTTATATATTTTTTTCAAACAATTAATTGTTTTGCGTTTAAAAATAAAATTTTCTAGTTGCATATGACTTATCATTCTCGCTTTTTCTAGAGAAATTTTACAAGCTTTTCTTACACTCTGTTGAACAGCCCACTTTTCACACACTGGACAGAATTCTCGTTTTTGTGCACACAACGGTACTCATTTGTTCCCACTGAGTACACAAAAATTTTCATCCCCCTTTGACAGCTCCTTTAAAACCGGAGGCAAGTGAGACAGTTAACAGTTTTTTCCTCTACCTGCC